TAGATTTTATTTTTGATTCAACATATTTTATATTTGAAAACAAATTTTATAAACAAATATTTGGTACACTTATGGGTTCCACCATTTCACCAATTTTGTCAAGTTTTGTTTTAGATGAGCTTATTGATGAATGTTTTCAAAAATTATCTTTCCGTATTCCATTTATCAAACGTTTTGTAGATTATTTGAATCTGACCATACCTGCAGATGAAAAAGAAGAAATTTTAAACATATTCAATTCATAGGATTTCATATCCAGTTCAACATTGAAGAGGAAATAAATAACTCTATTCCTTTCCTCGATATGAAGTTATTGAGACCAGAACAAAATATTATCATCACTGAATGGTACAGAGAAGCAACATCAAGTAATAGATTCATTAATTACCATTCCTATCATCCAAATAAAATGAAAATCAATTCAATAAAATCATTAAATAACAGAATCATCAAAATTAACTATCTCGATTTACGAAACAAAAGTTTGTCTAATTTCAGTAAAATTTTTATCCAAAATTCTTATCCCAAATCTTTAGTAAACAGAATTTTATTTTGTTGAAGAACAAACTTTCAAAATAATGACGAAGTTGAATACAACAACGTTATACCTTCATTCATATATAAATCGCTTCCATATATTCAAGAATTGACATCAAAATTAATTAATGTGTTCCGAAATAATAACCTCAAAATCTCTAAAACAAATGTTCCTACTATATCTTAATTATACAGTAAACTAAAAGCTCCAATTTCAAATAAACAAAAATCCAATTTAGTATACAAAATTTCTTGTATGGATTGTTCTAAAACATATATAGGACAAACATCTAGACCTCTTAGTAGTCGCATCACTTCCCATAATAGCGACTGTAGACGAAATGTCAATTCTTGTGCATTAACAGAGCATGTTAATAGCATAGACGAAATAATACTCGTATTTATTATTAAAATAGATAATACATAACATTAAAATGAACAGTTCAAAAATAGCTTTACAAAACGCTCAAAGGTGCGAACTCGTTGCCCACTTAACATTTGTTGGAAATATCGGTCAGGATTTTCTGTTACTGGTTCTGAGTGTGTAGAAATGTTCGACGTAGTTCAATTTAACTTGAATATATGAAAAGTACAAGAATAGAATAAAATTAATTCAATTACAAAATGAAACAATCTCCATGACATATTTATCAAAGTTTGACATTGCTCTCCCAAAACCTCTATATGGTGAGCCAAAATAATAAATAAATGACAACACAACAGTCAAATTTTGATCAACTGGAATCAAAATTGATTACAGTGCTGCCTCTCAGTGGCAAAAAAGAAATATAACTTTTCGGTCTGTGAATTCAGAGTCATTCTCCCAAGATACTGTTATGACGAACTAGCTGTTGAAAATAACTCGGAGTGCGGATAAGTCATTGTTTGTTTAAAATGTATATCTTCAGTCGTAATTGAGATTCCACTTGCTTCAAATGTAGAGTTAATCAAAAACTCACGATTATATGGCATAACAGCATCATTAACGTGAAAACTAATGCGGCCTATTGTAATTTACCGTTACTTTTAAATATTGATTTGGATGACTAGATTGACATCCGTTGTCTTGGGTTAACCACTTGGCAAAGGTTGATGACCGGTTTTCTGTTGATTGGAATTTTTATTCATTTTTTTGAAGGATCTTATAGATTGTTACTGCAACGAATAAATCCGTTTGAAATTATTTTCCTTCGTTTTTCTCAGTTTTCAATTTTTTTATTTTATCTTGAAAAGCGCAAAATTTTCAGCGTATACCTATGAAGTACACACAAAATGTTTGTTTGAAGGTGGTCGACAATGTTTCATGGTGTATGTCATCAGTTCGGACTTCCATTGTCTAATATAATATAAATTGTTTTTTTTCAGGGTTATCAAATCAATTTATATTATATTAGATAATGGAAGTCCGAACTGATGAAATACTCACAAAATACCGTATTTTTCATGACATTTCCTGGGGCAAAAAATCCTTAAGATGTGTGAATTGAAAGTATATTTCATATTCTTTCTGTGTTATACTAATCTATTTTTTTTACTCTGCCGGTTAGAGTATAAAATGGTTGTAATTTAAAAGTAACTTTCAGTTTATGCTTGAGAAAGCTATTGTATAGCGAAACACGTGTCGCGGTTTTTGTAAAACCCGTTATAGTGAAAATCATACAATAAATAATAATCATATTAATAAGTGTTAGAAAAAGGAATTGTACATATCCTTATAAAACGGAGAGTTGTTATTAGTGGCATTATTCATTGAATTTTTTCGTCTCATATTCATTTGATAATCGTAGAAATTCATTGTGAATTGATTCAAACTTTTATACAAACTGTTTAATGGCATAATTATAGCTTTCATTTCTTCTTGCGATGCCGACCAACAACAGATCTAAAAAAATGGATTTCGGTCGATCCATCTGAATTTTTTTGATGCAATGTTAGGAACTTGGTTCATTAGCACCTTGCCTACACGCCCTCGAGCCATTAAATCGTTGTATGCGGTGTATATGGTAGGTATTCTTGTGAAAAATAAAGTCAGCTAGCTTTGGCAAAGTCAATGATCTTAGGAGGCCGTTGATCTTACAGAGGCGTTATGAGTTGCCATAACGCTTCTCGCTGTGTCATCTTAGTCCAAACTCACGTCACTCGTTAAGTATTTAGGAAATATAGTACCGGTTCTTCCGATGTCCTTGAAAATCCCTGGATCTGCATACTTGGTTTCAATTTCAATATAATTTCACTCGGTGATCCCAGGAAACCTATTGTCAATCCTTTTTAGTTGCAAATTGACCCCTACTAATTACAAAACTAATAATCATAAAGAAATATATCATGAAACAAATCAGTCTTGTTGAGGATATTCCATAGCATTAGAAACCCAATTGTCTTAAAGAATTCATTTGTCATAAATCATATGGAAATTTAAAAATATGAAACAGAAATCAATTACCAGTTGTTATATTTCGCATGTGGTATCACGATTTGCAGGCAGGTAGAAAAGACCACATGACGAATTATAGACAAATTGCAGTTTTACCAGTTTTATCTAAAATTATTGAGAAATCAGCACATTCTAGATTGTTTGAATACCTTGAGATGTTAAAATTATTATATGATGGGCAACAGAGATTTTGCAAAAATGATGACGCGGAATCCGCAGTATATCATAACTCAATATTCAGATTCGAACAAAAAATGTGGAGCTCTTTCATTAAAACTGTGAACCACAGTATTCTTCTGAAAATAATGCATAATATAGGTATCTGAGGTTTAGTTTATAATTTATTTCACATTTATTCATTGAATAGAAAGCAATATATGGATGACATAAATGGTTCCAAAAAATACAATATGTGGTACCGCAAGGATCAATATTTAGACCTATTTTGTTTCTTATATATTCCAATACTTTGGCCACAGTAAATTCATTTGATGAATTACAAATGTTTGCTGATGACTACACTTCAATTTACAATGGAAATGGAGTACAAGAAATTTAATTTTAGTGTTAATTCGTGAATATATGGAAGCGATTTATATATAAACTAGTACTATGTTGCTGTATCGCTGATGTTCCAATGTTTTGACAGAATCAGAATCAACGAACTTAGGCGTACGCAGCGTTATAGAACAGTGCTTTCAAAAAAAATTGTTCTACAGCGCCATCTAGTGGCGAGTTACAGAAAATTTGATAGCTTAAAAACCTTCTCTATGAAAAATTACTCATACATGTCAAGTTTCATCACGATCGTATGAGCGATGTAGAAGTTTATCATTTACCAACCAACCAACCAACAAACATCCATTTTTATATAATAGATGAATATATACATTTGTCATGTTCAACTTCTTCATTATTTTGAAACTTTTTTCTTGCACAAAATAACATTTACTACAGATTTGGGATAAGAATTTTACAGAAATTAGATAGACTTTCGTTTCGTATATTGAGATTGGTAATTTTAATTATTTTGTTTTTAAAGATTGCAATAAATTAATCTTCACTTCATTTAGATGATAGGAATGATTGAACATGACAACTTCATACCTACATTCATATATAAATCACTTCCTTATATTCATAAACTATCACCAAAATTATTTAATGTGTTCAGAAGTAATGACCTCAATAATGACCACTACTATAGCTTAATTCTACAGTGATCTCAAAGTTCCAATTTCAAATAAACAAAAATCTAATTCAGTATACAGAATTTCTTGTATGGATTGTTTTGAAACATATATAAGACAAACATCTAGACATCTGCGTACTCGCATTACTTCACATTAGAGCGACTGCAGACCAAATATTAGTTGCGTAAACAGAACATGTTAATTCGGAGGATCATAGTTCTGATTTATTTTTTTTTGTGCCTTTCGTACCTGTTGACAATGTAAAGATATCTAATCTATGAATAGTCAATTTCAAACAGAAAACTTTTGTGCGTGATTTTCAAAAGTGAATAACTGGTTGCATAACTTAATAACCTTAAAAGATCAACTATATGGTGTAATTTTAACTGTGGACTGCCCAATATTTTACTATTTCCAAATCGACGTGTATGAAGGAACAAATTTCTTAACGTTTGTACAAGAATTCTTCAAGATAGTAACTGATACTCGGTCATTCTCTAGTATTTCATTTCCACTTCACTAACCAGAGTAGTTAGTTGCAGAACATTTCTTATTTGCATATGCTCATTATATTCAGTACGTTTATCCCTAGAATATGTCAAGAAATAAAGATGTATTCATCCGTTTATAATAGGTTTGTTCTAGCAGCGATTTCAAACGATACGGAATCGTACGAAGCATGCGCATACGAATATAGGCGTTCTAGCAAAGCAAATCCAGGATTCGAACTAATAGTCGCATGTTCTAGCGAAGACGAAATCCAGTTTGCAAACCGTATGAGAACTGTCGAAGTAGTCCAGAGGAATTCTTAATAATGACAAATATCTTATTTGCAGATATCAATGAATGCGATGATCCCGTAATAGCTGCCAGATGTGTGGATAATGCCGAATGTTGTAACCTGCCAGCGCATTTCCTATGCAAATGCAAAGCAGGATATGAAGGAGATGGAGAAACACAATGTTTTGGTAATATTATTCAGTACATTTTACTCTCGGTACAATTATAATTATTATAAAAAGATTGAATCTGCTACAAAATATTTAGGTATCTTCTTGAATCATTCCCAAAAATGTTCCACTAGATTTCAGCTGAAACAACGATAATTATTCGTAGTACAGTATAGTACTAAGCTGAAAAGAGTTAAAACATTTAAATTTGGAAAAAAATGAACAGCAGTATAGAGTACAAACTTCTTTATCGATCAGTATAGGTAAACTACGCCACAGTGGAGATATGGGGCTACAAAAACACATGACATTAAAACGGACAAAACTTTTGAATAGTTTGTTAATTTCGAATCACTGGTGATATGCCTTTGTGTCACGGCCTGCACAGATTCCGAAAAGAAAATTGTCAATCTATATAAGGTATTTTAAAATATATAGGAGGCGTGATTTGATCAAAAAACTACGACAACAAAAACCAACTCTTTTGATTCTTGTCTTACATACAATTGTGACAGTTGAAGTTCGGAAGTAAATATAGTACTCTTACGGCCATGCATAGTAATACGAAACTGTTACAAATGAAAATTAAGTATATTAAAAATTGTGTATTAATGAAAAAATAAACTAGAGTTATGGCTCAATGATATCTTAATGGAAGACAAACAAAAAAAACACTGGAATTATAGCACATACAGGTTCAAGTTGTCGGGTTATTTCTATCAATCATATGGCGGAAATTGTCGAATTTTAAAGATCTTGCATTGCAAAAAATATTGACAACAATAAAATTACCCACAAGCTCAGATTGTCTACAGAACCCGGAATCATACGAATAAATAGATTTGGTGTGATGTCAGTCATTTCCAGATTTTGACAACTTGGGTAGCGAATAGGGGTAGCGAATAGGGGGAGAAACATTGCTTCTGTTCTGGCGTAGCAAAAGCGTTTTCAATAGACTAACAAATGTACATAGAGATTGAAGATTTCTTACTTGCTGAAAACCAGTGGTACAGCTACCGGAGTCATGGCCGGTGGGAGAAATCGTATCGTATCTACACGAATTTAACTGTTTAAAATATGTTTATGCAATTTACTTTTAAACTACATCACTAACTAAATACGGTCCTGAATGTGTATGTTTACTGCTCGAATAATCTAACAGACTGATAACAGATGTCTACACATCTACTGCACATCTTGAGGAAGGGCCTTCTCACCGGCCATGACTCAGTCCGGCAGCTGTACTAATAAGAAGTTTCGAGATTAGGTTTACCATTAAGTCCATACACAACTTTGCAAATAAACACAACAAAAAACAACAATGGACGTAAAAAAATAAATGGATTCTGCAAACCAATATCAATGACACATTGTGTTGAAGTTCATAATTTCATTAATTGGATAATGATAAAAAAATATGTAAAATTTCATATATGCATGGAAGCTTATGAGATAAACACAAATACTGAAAACAACACGTTCCTGAGAAGAAAGTGCTGATCTTAACTCTGAACTCAGAAAAGAATAATTTGTTTTATACATATACAATATAAACACTTGACATTATGAAAAAGAAACAGTACAAAAGAATAATGTAATGGTTACATAAATAATATGGTTAAGCTCAGATGCTTATTTCAGAAAGAGATGTACTGAATTATTTAAATTAAATATAGGTATACCGTTTTCTTCTGTATTTTTTAAATTCACTCTATACATATAAGTGATAGAAAAAAGCATAGTATTCTGATTGGAAAGAATGGCCACTTTTCTCATTTCTTGATTTAAATGGTATTATTACATTGCTTACAAACCCAACAGTAAAGCATCATTATTACTTTCTATTATTCTTTCACTATATATAATTGATATACAACTATCAATTCGAATTGACAACAATGTCAATGCGAATTGGTAAAATTTGTAAACACTAAAGAAATATTACACAGGCATTTCTTCAACAACGTTGCTACATGTGGAGTTGCAACGAATTACCCAAAATCATTTGAAAATACAAAACGAGTTTCCATGCACATTGCACTAGTTGAGATTCTGGAATGTTTGATATCGAATTTTATTCCATGAAAAAGGTCGTAATTTCAAGTTTCTGAATTGAACTCTTTGGCGATAAAGTTGGTCAGTGTTGGTGGATATTGAAGAATTATCACGGATTCGATATGACAACGCTCAACTCAACAGGTTGACCGTAGAATGTTGCAGAACGCGAAATCCAAATGAGGTAAATAAGTGGATCCATTTTATTTTTACGTCCATGAAAACAACTACACCATTTCTTTCGTGAAAGCTTGGTGGAATGTGGAAATGAAAGGTGACATTTGTCACATGGACACTAAACTGCTGTTCAACCGCCAAATTTGAATTTAAAATTTCCCAAATTACACCTCGTACCCCGAATAAACTCGTCCGACGTATAACAAACATCAATAGGTTGTTTCTGTTGCCAGATATTGATGAATGTTCCAATCATGACGCTTGTGGACAACACGCTCTTTGTCATAACATCCAAGGAAATTACACATGCTTGTGTCCCGATGGATTCTACGGAAACCCCTTCGAAGGATGTATCGACGTAGACGAGTGTGAGCAGCCTAACGCTTGTGGTCCTGGTGCAATTTGTCAAAATGTTGTTGGGGGAAGGGAATGCTACTGTCCTCCTGGTTACGAAGGAGACGCTTTTACCAGCGGCTGCAGTGACATGAACGAATGCTCAAGATCTAACCCATGTGGTAGAAATGCCCATTGCTCAAATTTAGATGGCAGTTTTAGGTGTACCTGCCCTTCGGGATTTATTGGTGACCCAATGACTGAATGTACAGGTAACTGCTTTAATAAATTGGTCGCATTATGTATATATTACTTGTTTTCACAGAAACAGACACGTGAAGACTGATTTTCTTGTACAAAAATTTTGTTTAATTTCAAATTCTTATTTTTGGTTTGGGTTTTAATATAATATTCATTTTCGAACCACTAATATTTAATGAAAAAAAAAATTGAAATATGTGTTTCTGAACCTTGCTTATGTCCAAATTCATATAGTGCGACCTTTCTACTAGAGTCAACTGAAGACTTCTGTATTTGTATATAACTTAAATATTAAGTGTTGAGGATGGTTGCACTATACCTACATGTAATGGCGGGTTCATTAAAGTGATTAGGTAGCGCAGCATTCACTTTAGTGCAAGAACGGATTTTGATCTAAATTTCGGGGAGGGTTACAATAGTTTCTGAAAAAGAAAAAACCCGCAGAATAAAGGGTTATTTTCGGTTTTAGGGAAATATGTCAATTAACAATAAAGCAAACACAAAGTTATTTCTTATGCTCTATTGACGCAAAAGGGTTACAAAAATGCATTAGTCCTTGCGAAACAATTGCATGTAAAACAAATGAAATTTGCAAACTTGATGTTGCAGGACATCCGACATGTGCGTGTGAGACAGAATATATGTGGAATCCTGTGACATCAACATGTGAAAAGCCATCTGTACCAGATTGTGCTTCCAATGATAACTGCCAGCCAACAGAAGCATGCCAGCCAGACCCTCTGGGTGTTCTGAAATGCGTCTCAGTTTGCTCGCATTTTACTTGTCCTGAAAATTCTGCTTGTGTAGCTGAATCTCACATAGGACAGTGTCAATGTTTAGCTGGATTCACAGGAAATCCAAAAGACCGAGGCGGTTGCAGGGCGGTAGTAAAAGACCAATGTACTTCAGATGTCCAGTGTTCTGAACAAGAAACATGCAGAAAACATAGTAAACACGAGATTCTCACTTGTTTACCTGCTTGTGAACAGACAGTTTGTGGTCCGAATGCTATATGCATTGTGAACAATCACGTACCTCAATGCCAATGTCCTCAAGGGTCCTATATAGGAGATCCATATGATCATTCATAAGATGGTGATTGCTCGAATATTCTCAGCTGCCAAGAAGGTACATGCATCAGTCCTTGTGCTACTACACTTTGTGGATCACATTCCGGAAATATGTCAATTAACAATAAAGCAAACACAAAGTTATTTCAATTTTTTTTTAAGTGGTGGTAATAAAAACATAATAAAAATCAAATTAACTCTAGTACAATTCCTAAAAATCTAACAAACACTACTGAGAAAATCATTCTTCTCTCAAATAAGCCTAATTTATTTATCCTAATGCTTTTAACATCGCTAGACATTAACGAGTGTGATTCAAACCCATGCGCCCCAATCGCATCCTGCATCAATAATAATGGAAGTTATTCCTGCATTTGCCCTGAGGGATACACAAGCTTGGCTAATGGAGACTGTTCCGATATCAATGAGTGTGGAAGATCGGGGGCTTGTGGAATAAACGCTAAATGCATTAACGTACCTGGTTCTTTCAAGTGCATATGCCCTCAAGGTTTCACTGGACAGGGACATCAATTTTGTGAAAGTTAGTGGAAGAAATTACATTATTCTTTACAGATGCACGAATCTCTCTTTACAAAGTTTCATTCTTGGGGATTTATCCATACAATATTGGAAGAAAGGAAAACATTTTTTGCCTGAATAAATTGCATGGACAAGATGTGTATGCCCAATATTTGGATAAAAATATCCCTAAGTGAAATTAAGTTTGAGTATTCCTGTAGCTTAGCATTATTTTCCACTAATTACTCCTACCTTTACTCAATTCGTTCAGTTTCCTGTATTTTCCACATAACAACTAGAACTTTATTTATGTATTACTCCTATGTTTCCGTATTTTATACTATATTTAGAAAGCCTAACTGTACTGTATACATTTTTGTACAAACTCATTCATTTCTGTCTCCTGTTATCTTTGCAGTGTTCAGTTTGTAATCTATATTTTACTTTCAGCTTCTCTTTGTATGTTTGACTTTACCTGTTCTGTTTCTTTCAGTTTTTCTTCTGTAGGATATCATATTTTTTCAATTGAACATTTTTACGAACTGTTTTTCTAACATTTTCTTAGATATAAACGAATGTGATGCAAAACCTTGTGGGATGAATGCAGTTTGCAAAGACACTGTAGGAAGTTACATTTGCTCGTGTCACGAAGACTATACAGGAGACCCTTTCAAAGAATGTGTAGATATTGATGAATGTATTTCATTAGAAAAGCCATGCGGATTGCATGCTGTTTGTGAAAACACGAAACCAGGATATAATTGCTTGTGTCCACAAGGATATCAAGCAAATCCAACCCCTCAAATTGCTTGTGAACAGGTAAACTATTTACTTTCTCGTAGAAATCGTTTTCACTTTATTTTTCCAGATTGATGTCAATATCCTATGTAAATCAAACTTTGATTGTACCAACAACGCAGAGTGTATTGAAAATCAATGTTTTTGTCAAAAAGGCTTCAATCCTAGAGGTGCTACATGTGTTGACATAGACGAATGTGAGAAACAAACTTGTGGTAATTTCTCAGTTTGCACGAATACAGTAGGCAGTTTCCACTGCGAATGTGAAAGCGGATTTGTGGGAGCGCCCCCTATGATCCAATGCAAGGCTCCCTGTGATGATGTTTCTTGTGGTAATCATGCTTATTGCAAACCTGACGGCCAAGAAGCGTATTGTATATGTGAGGATGGGTGGACCTTTGATCCGAGTGACATAGCTGCTGGATGCATAGGTAATTGAATGTAATAGGTCATCAACATCCGTAACTCATAACAAATTTGTTGATTTCAGATATAGATGAATGTGACAAAGTTAACGGCCCAAGTGGTCGCTGTGGGGATAATGCGGTATGTACTAACCTACCTGGAACTTTCGCTTGTCAGTGTGAACCTGGATTTTCTGGAAACCCTAACTCTAAATGTCATGATATCAACGAATGCTCCAACGCAAATTCCTGCGCTGTGGGTGCAATTTGCACAAATCTTCCGGGCACTTTTACGTGTCAGTGTCCAAGTGGAACTGTACCAGATCCAGATGCGAAAACAAAATGTAATGAAATTGTTACTTGTGAAACTGACGCAGACTGTCCAGGCAATGCTATATGCGATAATCAAAAAATGTGTTTGTGCCAAGAACCCAATATTGGAAACGACTGTCGGCGTAAGTTTAAAAATAATGTTTTCATTTCTATTTCCGCTAATCTATCTGTTTTCTTCAATTACAGATCCTTGTGAGACAACTGTATGCGGCCCAAATGAGCAATGCATGTTGGTAAACCAAGAGTCTAAATGTATTTGCAATGCAGGTTACACTGGCACAACTTGTACCGATATAGACGAATGTCTTGGTAATCCATGTTCTTCAGGAGCAATATGTAAAAATGAGCCTGGATCATTTACTTGCCAATGCCCAGGAGGAACCTCTGGCGACCCATATAGATCGGGTTGTACAAAAACCACTAAGGTTTCAGAGTGCTCCGATTCGAATCCATGTCCATTGGGAGAACAATGCATCATGGATGAATATCTCAACGAAAACGTTTGTATTTGTGTTCAAGGTTATGTGAGAGACAAGCAAACTGGAAAATGCAGAGATAATGACGAATGCACCGAGCTCAGAGAGAAACCAGCGTGTGGTACAAATGCCATCTGTAAAAACTTACCTGGAAGCTATCACTGTCAATGTCCACCTGGTTTTGACGGAAACCCATTTTTAGAGTGTCTTGAATGTAACAGTCCTGACTGTCGCTGTCAGCCTCCTCATAAACTGCTTGATGGAAATTGTGTTCTTGCTAACTGTGAAAAAGATGGTACATGTCCAAGCGGTGCCGAATGTATAACAATTACTGGAGGTGTTAGCTATTGTGCTTGTCCAAAAGGATATAAAACACTGCCAGATGGATCATGTGTCGATATCAATGAATGTTCAGAACAGGAACGAGTTTGTGGCTTTGGGGCAGAATGCACAAATTTACCCGGATCATATGAATGCAAATGTCCGAAAGGGTACACTGGGGACTCTTACAATGGAATGTGTTCCCCGGCGCAGAAAAAATGTATTAATGATAAAGAATGTTTGGCTAATGAAAAATGTATACAGCCTGGGGAATGCATATGTCCCCCTCCATTCTTCACTGACTCACAAGATGGAAATAAATGTAAAAACCCGTGTGGAAGATATCCTTGTGGAATCAATGCAAAATGCACTCCTTCAGATCCTCCAATATGTACATGTGAAGTTGGATATAGTGGAGACCCCTTTCAAGGTTGTATTGACATTGATGAATGTGTACAAGAACCATGTGCATATGGTGCTCACTGCCTCAACCAGAAGGGTGGTTACAAATGTTTCTGTCCCAGAGGTATGACCGGAGATCCATACAAATCTGGCTGTATTCTGGAAATACCCGGAATGTCGAAAACTGAATGTCAATCAGATGGTGATTGCTCGAATATTCTCAGCTGCCAAGAAGGTACATGCATCAGTCCTTGTGCTACTACACTTTGTGGATCACATTCCATTTGTGAACCAGAAAATCATAAAGGAATATGCAAGTGTTACGTAGGATTTAAGAAAAATTCAAGAGGGCAGTGTGTATCCAGTAAGTAATATTCACATATTGCCGGTCAATTTTAAAGGATATAATAATACAAAAGGCAAAAAGGATTTTCCTATAGAAAATAGAATACCTACTTATTACGGTTTTTTCAGAAAAAGAAATATTTTTCAGAATAAAGCGGTCAAACTTTGTTATTATTGAGCAATATCAATCGAGCAACCAGCAATAGATAAAACCACTCGTCCCACGAATTCGTGATTGTATTTTGCTGTTTGCTCCCATGGAATGCTAAATAACAAAAGTTTTCGTTGAAACATTGAAATTAATTCATTAACTTTTGAGGTCTTATGGTATTACTATTGATAAATGAATAATTCTGACGTAACAGATAGATTCCAAAATAACAATCACAATACTACCAGGAAAATTGTAAATTACTACGTGGTAGGAAATCATAATGAAGAAAAGATAATTGAAACTTTCTATGTTTTTTCCAACTTTTATTTGTAACTAACGTTACTGCAGTTTCGTCCTATAAGGATATTTTCAAACCTATACAGTTTAATGTATTATAATGGTTCTTTCAAAATCTGCCTGGTTACCCGAATCAATCATTTATCTAATTAAGTTTTGTAATTACCTACTGTTATGTAATATACAAGTCCAACTGATGAAGCTACCGGGGATCGAAACACATCCTAAACAAAATATATTGTGGAAATTCTATAATTATTATCACGCATAGTATTGATGTATTATTTAGAATGAGATACTACGTTCCACCTTTTCAATGAACATTTTCCGCTGCCTGATCGATTCAAATTTGCAATATTTAGTAGCTAATTTGCATAAGTAGCCAATACAAAAATTGCACAATAATGAAATGAATATTCAAATCAGATTTTCGGTGGTCAACCATATAAACCTAATGAATTATTGGGAATTGACTTTAATCATTAGAAACAAAATAAACTTTTTCAATTCAAATTTCAGAGAGGTAAATAACGTTCATAAACACAATAGTCAGCAGAATACTTCTTTCTGGTGCCTCAATCAGAAAATTAATTTCATGAAGTTGTCATAAAACATACACAAAATTTGAAAAAAATAAAAATCACTACTTGTTCAGAAAATATTTGAAAATATATTTTCTGAAATTGATATAAACAAAATATAATTGTTTTACTCATGATTTTATCTCTATTTCAACAATTTAATAATAGGTATTTTTCTTATATAGTTCAATTTGATATACATTGTATTTGGGTAATATAAACTGTAACAGTGTTTCTTGGCAAAATAAAGTTATTATTAGAAACAAATATCATTCACATTTACGTTATAACACGTTATATACCTACATCAGGTTTTCTCAACTTTCTATCAAATAAATCAAAACCATATATTTGACATCTTTCCTAAATCTATATCCTAAAGAATGTTGAATTCCCACTCACTGTTGAATTTTTCTAGTTTGCGAGGGAGTCATTTGTGCTTCTGGCGCACAATGTATTGCTACTCCAAATGGTCCTACATGCAAATGTCTTGAAGGATTAATGGGAAATCCATTCCCTGGAGGGCGATGTTCTACAGATGTTTGTTCAAAGAGCAATCCGTGTGAAGAACCTAAAGTTTGCGTAAATGGTCGATGTAAACAAAGATGCGAGGGCACAATTTGTGGTGTAGGAGCTCATTGTGACAAAAATACGAATAAATGTGTGTGTGATCATCTATTTGTTGGAAATCCAAACCTTCTCTGTATGCCACGTAAGTTGACGATCTTCTATTGAATAAGCATATTTCAAAAATATTTTTTAGCAATCACCGGTCCAGATTGTAGTCCTGTCTGCGGAAAAAATGCGCATTGTGAATATGGCATCAGAAACAAATGTGTTTGCAATACCGGTAGTGTAGGCAATCCTTATGAGGTTTGTGAGCGAATAGAAAGAAAAACATGTGACCAGAACTCATGTGGAAGAAATACTGAGTGTAACAGCAATCTAAATGGAATTGAATGTACGTGCCTCCGTGGTTTCACTGGCAATGCATATATAGCTTGCGAAGATATAGACGAATGTAATACTGATGTTTGCGGAACAGATGCAGTTTGTATCAACACACAAGGGAGCTACGACTGTCGATGTAGGGAAGGATATGCAGGAAATCCTTTCATAATATGTAATCAAGTCCAAGGCGGTACATGTGAAGATCCAGAAAACTGCCATTGCAGTGAGAAGCTTCTTTGTCCTAATGGATATACTTGTCAAAAAGGTCAATGTCTGAGTTACTGCGATAAAATGAAATGTGGACCCAATGCCACATGCCATTCAGGCCAATGTATTTGTGATCCTGGGTATGAAGGAAATGCATCAGACTTCACAACTGGATGCAAAATTCAGGGACAATGCAATAGTGATAATGATTGTAGGAGCACAGATATATGTTTTCAGTTCAGCAAAAACACCAGAAAATGCTTAGATGCTTGCAGTAAAGTTCAGTGTGGACCAAACGCATTATGTCTAGCTGATAAGCACAGATCGTCATGTATTTGTATTCCCGGCTATTATGGAGACCCTAGCGATGCCTTGGTTGGGTGTCAGCTGGAAGGAAGAGTGCCTCAAAGATTGTGTGAGAATGACAGTGATTGTAAATTTGGTACAGTATGCTCTATTGACGCAAAAGGGTTACAAAAATGCATTAGTCCTTGCGAAACAATTGCATGTAAAACAAATGAAATTTGCAAACTTGATGTTGCAGGACATCCGACATGTGCGTGTGAGACAGAATATATGTGGAATCCTGTGACATCAACATGTGAAAAGCCATCTGTACCAGATTGTGCTTCCAATGATAACTGCCAGCCAACAGAAGCATGCCAGCCAGACCCTCTGGGTGTTCTGAAATGCGTCTCAGTTTGCTCGCATTTTACTTGTCCTGAAAATTCAGCTTGTGTAGCTGAATCTCACATAGGACAGTGTCAGTGTTTAGCTGGATTCACAGGAAATCCAAAAGACCGCGGCGGTTGCAGGGCGGTAGTGAAAGACCAATGTACTTCAGATGTCCAGTGTTCTGAACAAGAAACATGCAGAAAACATAGTAAACACGAGATTCTCACTTGTTTACCTGCTTGTGAACAGACAGTTTGTGGTCCGAATGCTATATGCATTGTGAACAATCACGTACCTCAATGCCAATGTCCTCAAGGGTCCTATATAGGAGATCCATATGATCATTCATTAGGCTGCACCGCAGTTCCATGTATGTATAATATTGACTGCCCAGAATCACAATTATGTAACCGTTTAACTCATACTTGTTATGATGTTTGTGATGAGGAAACATGCGGTACAAATGCCGTTTGTATTGCTGAAAACCACAAAGCAATATGCCAATGTCCACCAGGTACTACACCAAACCCACTACCTGAAATTGAATGTATTTCTGTCAATGTATGTGAACCTAATCCTTGCCATAGTGATTCGATATGTCGTCCTGCTCCCGATGGCTATACATGTCACTGTCCTAAAAATACTATCGGAGATCCTTTTAAATCGGGATGTATTCCAGAGGGAAATTGTCCGAGAGGAAACATCGATTGCCCACCCGAATCAGTATGTGAATTAAACAAATGTATTAATCCATGTGAACAAGTATCATGTGCTTCAAACTCCATATGCTCTGTTCAGAACAGAAAAGCTATTTGTAAATGTCCTGAAAAATTTATTCCTTCAGAAGGAGGAATACAAAATGGTTGCATACGTTTTCAAGCCCCATGCACAAATGACATTGATTGTGGAAATGAAGTATGCTTTAATGGACAGTGTAGGGCGGTTTGTAGAAATAATAATGACTGTTCTTCAGGAGAGAATTGCCACAATAAAATGTGTATTGTTTCCTGTGGAGATCATAGTCAGTGCTCAAAAGGTCAGGCTTGCATAAATGGTACATGTATGATAGGATGTCGTAGTAATAAAAATTGTCCTTCCGAATATGCGTGTCTCAACAATAAGTGTCAAGACCCATGTCAAAGAGAATCATCTTGTGGTCCAAATGCTATGTGTTCCTGCAAAAATCATGAAACTATTTGCAAATGTCCTGAAGGTTTCGATGGAAATCCTACACCCCAACAGGGTTGCATCAGAATACCTAAACCATGTCAGGAAAATAATGAATGTTCCCCAGAATATATATGCGAAAAAAATATTTGCTCACTACCTTGTCAGAACAATAGCCTTTGTGCAATTGGAGAAAGATGTTACAATAATAAATGTATGAAAGTTTGTTATAGTAATAGTAACTGTCTACAAGGAGAAGTGTGTCAAAAAGGAGTTTGTCAACCTGGATGTGAGGTTGATTCAGACTGTAGAACAACTCAGATCTGTTTCCAAGGAAAATGTAAATGCGCGAAAGGATTCATAATGACACCTCAAGGTTGCACTGATATTGATGAATGTGAAGACCATCCTTGCCATATAACAGCCATTTGTAAAAATCAACCGGGCTCTTTTACCTGTATTTGCGGCGAACGAAGAATTGGTAACGCCTATGGTGAACCTGGATGCTCTCTTCCTGGTCAATGTCGTCATAACAATCATTGTTCTGATGAACTAATTTGTAAACAAGGTCATTGCAAAAATCCTTGTGAAGAACCAAGGTGTGGATCCAACGCCATCTGTTCTGTTTCAAACCATGAAGTAACCTGTGCATGTCCTCCTGGCCACCTGGGTAATCCCCATGATACTAATTTGGGTTGCTTCAAAGTGGAATGTTTAGAAAACAAAGATTGTTCTCCGGCTCAGATGTGTGACGAACATTCGAATAAGTGCATAAGTATATTTCTTCCTGAATTCAGGTGAATTGTTTTCTAACCCTATTTTTGTTTCAGATCCTTGCAATGATATCAATTGTGGTAAGGGGACATGCTCCACTCAAAATCATAATGCTGTTTGTACATGTTTCTCAGGATATGAGTTAATTGATAATAAATGTGTTGATATTGACGAATGCCTAGAACCATCCTCCTGCCACACAACAGCTACATGTATTAATACTGATGGTAGTTTTAACTGTATTTGTTCCGGCGGATTAGTAGGAGATCCATCGGGAAAGGAATGCAGGAAACCGGGATATTGTTTTAGTGATGCAGATTGTCCATCATCTGCTACTTGTGATAATAACAAATGCCGTAATCCATGCGAAAATCCTAATGTTTGTGGTAAAAATGCGGAATGTTTTCCTGTAGCACATGCAGCCACTTGCAAATGTCCTGCTCGTACGAAAGAAGATTTTAATCATAATTGCATTCCCATTGAGTGTGCGGATAATAACGATTGTTCCGAAGAAAAAACTTGCGTGGACTCCAAATGTCAGAATCCATGTGATTTGCCCAATATATGTGGTAAAAAAGCAATATGCACACCATCAAATCATCTTGGTATCTGTGCTTGTCAGGCAGGAACTACCGGTGACCCTCATCTGGGATGTGTATCTGTGCAGTACTGTGCAGCAGACAATCAATGTCCAACAGGTCTGAAATGCTATAATGGATTGTGTACATCTGTTTGCAGAAATTCAAGGGAATGTATTGGTAGCCAACTATGTATTCAGGAAATTTGTCAACCCACCTGTAAATCTAACTCGTCCTGTCCAGAATATCAGTTTTGTCATGACAACATATGCACCCAAGAAATAAAGTGTAGGTCAAATACAGATTGTGGCAGTCGAGAAAAATGTTCTTCAAATAGTGTTGGACGAACAGATTGTGTTAATGCATGTGAAGGTGTACTATGTGGACGAAATGCAGAATGCTCTTCTGAAAATCATAAAGCAGCTTGTCTTTGCAAAACTGGCTTTAAAGGAAATCCCAATGACGACAAAATTGGATGTCAAAAAGTTGAATGTGAAACCGACGACCAGTGTTCAAATGACAAACTCTGTGATCAATACATGTGTAAAATAGCATGTCTTGTACATAATCCATGTGGAAGAAATGCTTTATGTTCAGCGGAGCATCACAAACAAACTTGTTATTGTCAACCAGGTTATACAGGCGATTCCCATGCAGGATGTAGACTTATAGATTTCTGTGCAGATAAACCTTGCGGGTCAGGAGCTGTCTGTCACAATTCCAGAGGCTCGTTCAGGTGTCAATGTCCACACGGATCCATAGGAGATCCTTATAATGAAGGCTGTAAAGCTCCTGTTGAATGCTTAACGAATAAAGATTGTCCGATAGAAGCAAAATGTGATAAAATCAATGGCATCTATAAATGCAGGAATGTCTGTGAAAATAAAAAGTGTGGTCCTAATGCTGAATGTGTAGCTGTCGAACATGAGGGTCATTGCACCTGCCGAACTGGATATCATGGAAGTCCTAATGAGTTGAATTCAGGATGCAAACCCAAATTGGTTAATTGCAAAACAACAATCGAATGTCCTTCAAACACATATTGCTACGGAGATATTTGCAGTCCACCGTGTGAAACAAACAGAGATTGTCAACAAGATGAACAATGTCTACAAGGGCAATGCTTGAATCCATGTCAAGTAAAAACAGCTTGTGGAATGAATGCAGATTGTCGAGTGAGAGATCATGTGAAGACATGCAGTTGTCCAGCTGGTTTCACTGGAAACCAAGATGTAGAGTGTGTTAGATGTAAGTATAGTAATTTCAAATTTAATATAACGTCATATAACGAGTTTAAAATCTGTAAATAATTTTTTTCAGTGCCAGTATCGTGTACTTCTGATAATGATTGTAGTAACAGAAGTATTTGTATAAGTAATATGTGTCATCCTCAATGTAAAATGGACAACGAATGTGCTTACAATGAAAAATGTCTCAGAGGAAACTGCCAGCTAACCTGCCGTGTTGATAACGATTGTTTCTTGGGACACATATGTCTTAATAACACATGTTTCTATGGCTGCCATAATGACGATGACTGTACAAGTAGTGAATCCTGTAGAAGTAATAAATGCACAAATCCTTGTAATGAAGATTCTTGTGGACCTAATGCTTTGTGCACGGTCTCCAATCATAGGGCTACTTGTTCCTGTGATAAGGGTTTCGTGCCAAGTCCATCTGCTAAAGTTGCATGTGTGAGAGCTCCTGCTCAATCATGTAGGGAAAATCGAGAATGTCCCGCTGGAAATATATGTTTAGAAGAATTGTGTAGAACAGTTTGTTCCTCAGATAGTGGATGCTCAAGTAATGAACGATGCGACAAGAGTGGGATTTGTAAATCAATATGTAGAAAAGATGATGATTGCAAAAACGATGAAATTTGCGAAGGCCTAGTATGTTTAATAGGTTGCAGAGGTAATTCAAATTGCCCTCTTGATAAATCATGCGTAAATTACAATTGTATCGATTTATGTCAGTCCCCTACAGCTTGTGGATTGAATGCAAACTGTTCCACTGTTCTTCACCAAAAGCAATGCAGATGTGAAGGCCAACTGACTGGAAACCCACTAGAGAGTTGTAAATACCCAACAAAATCATGTTCCAATAATACTGAGTGCTTCAAAAGTCAAACTTGTCATGATGGTATTTGTCATGGGACATGTAGAACGTAAGTATAATCTCATCAATCTGATTTTCCGACGATTTTGAATATTTCTCTTTTCAGTGACCATAACTGCTTGTCCGATGAAAGGTGTATCAAGGGGATTTGCAAAACTATTTGTAATTCTGATGAATCTTGTAGAGCTCATGAAATATGTGAAAACAGAATTTGTAAAATTGGATGTAGAAGTGATTCAGTATGCTTGGCAGATCAAGCCTGTATCAACAATGTATGCCAAAGTAAGTAATGCCTCTATTTCAAATACAGATATCCTCTTTATTTTCTATCTTAGCAGTAGTTGGTCAATAACTGGAATCAAAGAATAACTACTTACTCAACCATCTTTTTTTTTCAATTGAGATTGTGAAAACTGAATTGTTTACATTCTACCAGATGCTCTCAATAATTTGTACTTCAGTATTGCAACCAACCTTACAAAAAACATCAACAGTCAGAAAACCGATTTTGTTCAAGTCAAATATTGCAATTAGTAATGAGTTTCTACTCATCCACAGAGATACTCGTATTTTTGAATTTAGAAAAATATTTGATGATACTCAAAATGATAAAGCTTTGAAGGTGCATTTCATATATTGGCGCAAAAAAATATTCATTCACTCAACAAAAGTGAATCCTCAGATTACCAGCCTATATACCTATAGGTATATTTTAACAACTTCAACGAAAGTTAAGGAGGAGTCAGTCAACCTATAACAATGTATTGAGTGAAAACCAATTTGGATTAAAATACTAAGAAATACAAACGATGCCATATTTTTATTTCTAACAAATGTTTTCAATGAATTCAACAATGGTAGCTGGTTGCAGCAGTGTTTTTTGACTTTGCCAAAGCTCATCATTGTAAAAATCATAACATATTGCTAATGAAACTTATTCGATATGTATTTAGAGGTATGGTTTCAAACATATCTTAGAAAACGCAGACAGTTTGTGAGGACAACTACCTCGTGGGACTGATCGAAGATAAAAGTCTGAAATTTGACAGCTCTATAGAACACATATCTATGCAAAACTATCTCCCGGATACTAGGCAGCGAAAAAAAAATACCAAAGCAGTGTTGAAACTAGCAATTATGCACCAATTTTGTCCCATATACGACCCGTTAATGCTTTTTGTGAAGTATGCCCTAAGTAACACATGAAAACTCTTTTAGTTATTTGAAAAAGAGCTGTCATAACTATTTGTCAAGCTAACTCGAAATTATCAGTTTGTCCACTTTCTGTCTTATAAACAGCCTGCTTAGTTAATATTAGTTGGGAAAGATTCAATGATATATTTAAAAAATTCGATCTTCTCAAAATCTGAAACTATCAACCGACCAACAATAGGTATGAATTAAGATAGTATATAATAGTTAATAACTTAGAAGTAAATAACCACCTTGCGTTGCCAATTAGGGAATTGAATAATTCAAAGAGAAGTAAGAGAACCCTAAAAGATCTTATTACAGACCAATACTGAATGATTACTGAATGTACAGTACCTATGTTTATATTAGCAATTTTCAATATGTTGTTTTTATATTTCTAAGTATCATCTACATTTCAATTTTGTAGACTTTGTCAATAAGAAAATCTTCTTGAAAAATGAAATATATTGTGATTGCTTCGATTTAAGGTTCTTATTCACATTTCTTATGAACTTATCTGAAGTTTTTTCTTATTTACAGATCCTTGTGAAAAAAATACGACATGCGGTATATGTGCTGAGTGCTCCGTGAAAAATCATGTTTCCCAATGCAGTTGCCCTGTAAACTTCTTGGGAAATCCTTTAGTATCATGCACACAAGCAGCCACGAAATGCAATTCTAAATGTGAATGTGACGAAATTGGTTACTGTACAAAATCGTGTAAATCAATCTCCGACTGTGCCTGTGGAGAAATGTGTGTGGGAGGAAAATGCCGAAACAAATGCATATCTCAATCATCTTGTGCCCAAGGTCAAATTTGTTCACGAGGAGCTTGTCTTCCCGGATGTAGAACCAACAATGACTGTCCAATTTCTGAAATATGCAAAAACAGGAAATGTGTAAACCCTTGTAAATCAGAAGGTTCTTGCGGTAAGAACGCAATATGTAAAGCTACAGATCATAGAAAAGTATGCATGTGTCCAGATGGATATCAAGGTGATCCAATAGATGCATGCAATCCTTTCGAGTGTAGGCAAGACCAAGATTGTGAATCTAACAAAAAATGTGGTTCAGATGGAGTATGCAGAAATCCTTGCTTGGAACAAGGGGTCTGTGGGCCCAACGCTCAGTGTCGTGTCTTAGACAGAAAACCTCTATGCTCCTGTCCACCAGGATTCATTGGAAACGCGTACATTGAGTGTAAGCAAGGAGTTAACAAAGGATGTCTGCAAAACTCTTGCGGAGATAATGCAAAATGCATCCACGTACAAGGTGGTTACGAATGTACTTGCCTTTCTGGTTGTCATGGGGACGCTCAACGCGGATGTGTTTGTGATCACGAGTTGACAAATATATGCAAAAATAAATTATGTGGGGTTGGCGCCTTATGCAGAATAGTGAATATTAAGGAAGCACAATGTTATTGTCCATCTGATAAACCATCTGGAGATCCTACCATTGAATGTAAGTACTAGTAATATAACACTAATTGGAATCTCAACTATTTCAAGTTTAGATACATTTTTACCGGCACGAAAAATTTTTTCACTCTTTTTTCAAGCACAAACTAAATGTAGGAATAAGAATGAAAAACCTAAGATTCATTATGAATACATTTATTTCATTGATTTTGACCATCATTTCTGTAGCTTCTTATCCACAACCTAATTGAAAATCATAATTGTATATATGAACATTACAAAAAAATTCAGATATAGAATTTTGGGTTAAAAATCGGTATGTAAGGTCAAAATCGATTTCTAAGCAACTTTCAAATAATTTATTCCGGTATCTCCAACGTGAAGCAAAAAATATCGAGATTTTCCCTTTTCGCAGTAGGCTGGGTTTAAAGTTGTCAGTTGGGCTACGTACTGGAAAATGTGCGGCCCATGAAGGTCTACGCCTGTACCAAGAATCAAATATTTGCTTTCATCTTAAATGTGTCACACAGTATATATAAAGAACAGTATTTTAGGGTTGCAGTCAGGTTTTGAGAGCTATTCAAAAAAAACTCTTTGTTTTTACCACAAACTGATCTAATTACTCTGATTATATGTAATATATTTCGGTGGCCTTAGGAAGATAGTAAGCAGTACCGAAAGATTGACAAAAACAAGGAGTTTTCTTTGAATAGTTCATCAGTGAGGAATGGCGTGTGAAGAAGAATTAACTCCGGGTACTCAATAATAGAAGTATCTATTTGAAAAATATCCGATTTTTTTTTAAATAAGCCTATGATCTACAAAAGTTTTATATGCGGAACTTGATGATATTATTATAATGTTACCTTTTCAGAGATATTATGTAGAAATCTTCATCTTGCGATGATTTTTCATGCAATTTTCAGAACTATTTAAATGTTCACGATATAATGGATAATATTAGAAGTACATTTCGTTTGATGCATCTGACTAAATGTATATTCTATTAGAGTATTGCTTTTCAGGTTCATCTGAAAAAAGTCTGTCTGACTGCAGAACAGAAGGATGTGGTAAGAACTCTGAATGCATTCGAGAACAGGCATTTTTTGTTTGCCGTTGTTTACCAGGATATACTGGTGTGCCCGAAAAAGGTTGTGAAAGCGGTGAGTGTAAAGAGTGCAATATAATACAGAAATTTTCCATATATATTGTATACAGTACATAGGCTTATTGCTCGAATTACGCATAAAATTTTTAATCAATAATATACACCATTATTGTACAAAGTTTTTGGCACGTTTGTCCGTCATGTAACACGTGTTTGATATGACGTAAATCGTAGAGTCGGTTCAATTTATTATTTAGATTATTGGGGTATGTAAATATTGTACTAGTTGTTGGCAAATATGAGCAGAGCTCGTCATGTGGAATGTACACTTCAGGGTTCCAATCTGCCTGTCACACAATCCCGATACGCCCACGCTTCCCATCACCCAGCCACATTCCACACAACTCGGTGCAATCTGTTAATAATGTTTGAATATAATCAGCACTGGTAGCGCGTGGCGCCCGGTGCATTTGTGCGCAGCGGGTACATGGATGATAAGTCAGATTGGGAACTATGAAAGGAGCATTCTCACATTGATTTGTATATTAGTATGGATTTCTTTCACTCGGCTGAAAGCTGTTATGCTTGTAAATACTGCCGCTTGTTCGGTCATGTTGAGATGGCCTCTTTCATTTCTCTCATTTTCTGACTATTCTTGTCACACCCGCATGCGATGTTGTGTTTAGTGAGATTTACTTCCTTTCACGGTTCTTATAAATGCTTTCTTTTTCTTGCCAACCCTGATGTTCCCATAGCTGCTGAATGTAACACTGACTTAGAGTGTCCTCACGAAAAAGCATGTATCAACTTCCAATGCGTAGACCCCTGTACTCTTAGAGGAGCTTGTGGATTGAATGCCCTTTGTGAAACACTACTTCACAGACCTCGATGTTCTTGTCCGGATTGTTATGTTGGCTTGGCAAGTACAGCGTGTCATCCAGATCAGAACTGCCTCAACCCAAATGGAGGGCCAACCACTCCTCCATTATGTAAGTCAGACTCGGACTGTGCTGATTCCTTGGCATGCGAATCTTCATCTGGAGAATGTTATGATCCATGTGAACACCCTTCATTCAAATGTAAAGGTAACAAAAAATGTGAAGTGCATCGTCATAGACCTACTTGTGTTTGCAAAAGAGGATTCGTAGTTAATGAATTTGGAGAAATTTCTTGTGCTTCGGATCATATAGAATGTTATGAAAACAATAATTGTCCTTCGAATAAAGCCTGTATAGAAGGAATCTGTCAAAATCCTTGCACAGTCACTCTTAGATCTCCTTGTCCACCAGAAAAAGGCTGCGATGTTGTGAACCATAAACCAGTATGCATATGTTTGAAAAATTGCAGTCCTTCTTTGTCCATATGTCTGAGAGACAATGGATGTCCTCCGAACCAAGCTTGTAGAGCATTTCGATGTGAAGATCCCTGCGATTCAGCAAACTGTCCTGAAAATACACCATGTTATGTAGAAGATCACAAACCAATATGCAAGTTTTGTCCTCCAGGATTCAAATCGGATGCTAAATATGGATGCGTCAAAGGTAAACACTAATTCGGGTGCAAACTACTTAGTGCTTGACGACAAACGGAAAATGAGTTCCATTGCTTTCGGTTACAGTGTGCAGTAATGATTTCAACTTTCTTCGCTACATCGTTTTCTTCATTATTTCAGTACTTTCAGATGGCAGTATTCCTCTTTACAACTTCCAATTTTCGAACCTATACTTTTTCTATATCATCATTATTATCTATTTCTAAATGAGTGACAATTTTTTCCTTTCGAAATAATATTATTAACAAATTCATTCTTGCCTCTAACTAACTTGATATGGAAATTGATGATGGTTATGAAGTTGATCATCTGTTTGAATTTTTTAATTTTTGAACCAAAGTTCTGAGGATTTGTTATTCTAAAAATATACTATCTGAGTTATAAAATTCGAATTCTTTAAAAAAATGGTTGAATGTGGTAGATAATATTGGAATTGTAAAGCACTTAGAAGCAGTTGATATACCTACATTTATCAAGAAAGTGAAAGTATGACATCCCTAAATATATCGTTTGACGTTAATCAGTTGCATTTTGGTTCCATTTGATACTGAAATTGGCAGATTATGAAAATTCGTCTATTTCATACTGAGAAAATAAAAACAATAGCCGATGAAATAAGAAATCATTTTCAAATTAGGAACATATATTTTTATCAACAGTTTTATATTCTGCATGTTACTTCAGTATTACTGTTTGATTCAGTCTTTCATTTTAAATATATATCGAATTGAAAATACTGAAAAATGCTTTCTGTAGATATTGTAAATATACCTACTGGTGGTGGATCATTAAGGTTTGGTAACAGAAATGTTTCAGAATTCTATTAGAATTTTCTGCTGGGAAATGCTTTTTGCGAATCAAGCTGCTTGCGCATCAAAGTAAATCATATGCTGCCTTTTTTTGAAAATTATTCAATTTATATTCAATTATTAATGAATATGTTTCAAAATAAAATAAAGAACATTGAAATAACTCAGTATCTGATTAAAACCATTCATTCCAAATTAGATGTATTGTGCCACTCGCATACAGACTGCCCATCACAACAAGCATGTGTAAATAGAAAATGCCAAAACCCTTGTGCTGTATCAAACCCATGCACTCAATCTCAAGACTGTCAAGTACAAGACCATCAGCCAGTTTGTGTGAAAGGTAACTTCGTTAAATTTAACAAAAAATATGGTTAACTAAAGGAATATATTTTGCAGTTTGCCAATGCCAGAGAAACGAAGACTGTAGGAATCAAAATTATAAATGTGACGGTTGCAAATGTGTTCTTGGTAAGGATTTTTTTTTCAGGATGAAATTTGGTATATTGGATGACAACAAGGAGTTTAATATAATTATATTTAAAATAATGATTCCTGTTGCATCAAAAAATTTTGCCTGGTTGATACTTCGAGCAAACATTTCCGTATATTAGTTTTGTCTAAGTTTGGTATTATCTTCTTATTTGACTTTCTAGTCTTCTGAGCTCTTTTTTGTAAAGTGCTTGATTTTCGAAGAAAAATGATGCATTGTAATACCCATAAACCATAAAACAAAAATCTAAATGAAGTTATTATAAATCATTTGTTGCAGTTATGAGAAACTGTGGAAGGCTATTTTGTTTGATTATTATGTGAACATTTTTGTTTCACAACTCACAGCAAGATATGAACAAACTAGGTTACCCTCTGAATCATAAAACATATAAAGTTTCATCACTAATTTTCTCAGTAATATGTATTTTGAAGATATCTATAAAATATATTCAAAGATTATTCAAATCGTTACTCACTTGAAAGATGTTGAAAATGATTCAAAAGTCTTCTGAGGTATTATTCAAGATTTTGGTTTATTGTTTTTGTTTAAAAAGTATATACCTACCTAATTTTTCATAATTTATGGCTGATATAGAATATAGAGCAAGTGTTTGCCTCTTAAGGGATTCTTTGAAACTTCATATATAACACATATTTATAATAGTTAGGACGATTTTGTAAATTACTTTTTTAAAACGAATATGTTCACTTATAAAATCATCTATTTTCATTGGACTTCAACTAATTGAGTAACAAAGCCCACATTTATATACCTACGTATGACCCGATCATTCGCTAGAAAATTAAAATATCAATATTTCCCGTACACCTTGTTTCCTCTCAACTTTGAATGAATTAAAAAATATAATTTCACCTCTGAAATTCCAGAAGAACCAAGAGTGCCTCAATGTCAACACTGCCCTCCAGGTATTCCTTGTGACTCTTCAACAGGAGCGTGTCTAAAAGGTAAGTTGAGAAAATATTCAAATTCATTTTTATCATTCAACAAAAAGTGTTGCTGTTTCATTGTCATTTCCATCCTTTTTCCTTCCTATCATCGAATCAGATTCAAAAATGAATCGCAGTGGTAAGCTCATGCTCGGGAATCTGTTCGAAAAAATACTTTTTTTGTTTCAGCTTGATATCATCTATAATGTTCTTGTCATCTCTGTAAATATGTGAAAATAGCAACACTCCCTGTATCATAAAACAATATGCATTTTTATGGTGTGATATTCTTTGTTTCATTATTTTCATTCTCTCCTTTACTCAATTTGTCTTTTATTGTAAAATTATAAAGAAAATGTAGAAGTCAAAAACATATATGAGAATTTTTCACTTCATCTCTATTTTTATTTATTTTCATTGAGGTGGTTGGGCTCACTGCTTGTCATTGCATGTTCCATTAATACATACCAATTTTGAAATATTGTAAATATATTGTACATACTCACACAAATTATTTGTTTTTGAAATAACAGATATGGGTTCAACACCTGAAACACTAACAGAAACACAAACTGTGACCTATTTACAAATAACAAATGCTACCTCTACTACCACTCTAACATTTAATGAGCCTGGAAAAGCCGAAACTACAGAGGAGTCTATTACACCATATACATCAGGACCTACTGATTCAATAGTACATATTACAGAAGAAAATAACACATTGTTCACATCAAAACCCATATCAACAGAAATGAGTACAGAGCCATTTACAAGTGAGCTCAAATCATCAGAGAGTACAACACAAGGCAAAATTTTGATATATCCATTCACCACTACTACTGAAAAATATATAACAATAACGCCTCTTTATTTCGAAACTACGCAGACTGAATCCTCGGTGAAATTACCTACTCCGTCTACAAAGGAGACGCCTACGCCTACAAAGGAGACATCCCCCGAACTATTTATAACAACAGAAGAAATAGAAAAATTGGATCAAACTGAGGTTACCCTTATGGAAAGATCAACTTTTATAGAAAAATATGTTCCGGATCTTACAACAGAACGTCATCTACATCAAATTGACGAATCATCAACGACTCATGTCGAAACAAATATATTAAAAGAAAACACAATTTATCAATCTTCAGAAACTACAGAAACATTGTCAAATTCAGAGAAAACCCACCCCACACCAACGTATGGCAAAACAGCGACATTCTCATTTCTTTCAACAGTAGAACATGAAGAAACAATATCTACAACACAAACCACTGAACTTTCCACTTCAAATTTGACGATCACTACGGAAAGTCTCAAAAATATAGGCACAACGGATACACAAATCGAAGAAAAAACCCCTCATGAAGCGATAATACCAACCGATCAAACAATCAAGATCACATCAGATTCTTCATCATTACAAAGTGAGCCACCAGTAGAAACAACTACTTTGAAATTTGATGCTGGGAAAGAAAGTATATCGGAAATTTCAAGGGATATCTCAGGAAATGGAAAATTTATGACTCAAGAAGTTCCTGAAAAGATCACTTCAACCTATTCTACAGTGCTGACTGAGAGCTCCCAGCAATCAACCTCAACTGCAACCACATTGGGCAATGGAAATGTCATACAAGCAAGTACACAAGTAACTACAAGTCCTCAGGAAGTAACAGTTTCAGTTATGGGAAATACAATGGTCGATATTGACAAGCTACCAAAAACTTCTTCAGAAAAAACAACTACACTTGCTGGTGAACGAACTACTGAAACTCAAAAAATAACAACTGAAATACCTAGACTTTCAGGAAAGGTTACCGTTGAAAGTATGGAGATTTTCGGTTATACGCCAACTTATGAGACCACAATCAGAATTGGAGAATTAGACGCTTCTACAATGTTAAATGAAAATGTTACACAGGGGATAAGTGATGTTCCACCTAGTAGAAAAACCGAAGAGTTCAATTCTACCACGGCCATTATTGAAGAAAAAACTACTCAAGAAACGCCTCAAATCATTTCAACAACGAATGGAATTGAAGAATTTAACAATCCAAAATCGAATTTTGTACCTGTTGACAAATTTGACAGTTCAACAGTTCCTAGTTCTACCCAGCATACTAATCAACAGAACTCATCACCGACAAATATAGATGAGTACACATTTACAACGTTGAAATATCCAAGTTCAACAATTATACCTGAAAAATCCACTACGTCCAATTTGAAAACCGAATATCCAAGGGAAACAACTCAATCACATCATATATCGAGTACAAATGAAAATGAAGTGACTGCCGATATTATTACGGCAATAATGCCAACAAATGGAATCAATGAGCTCACTACATTAGAAGCTCCACAATCTGTTAACGAGATAATCACATCCATTCCAGAATCTACGTCCATGTTTTCTAAAAAAACAACTACTATGAAGACATTACTTCACACCAACACGACAACAGATGAAATAAACGAACTTACTACACTAGAAGTTCCAAATTTAGTTAGCGAATCAATTTCATCAACTTTTGAATCAAGTTCTACTCTTTATAAAGAAACAACTACTATGGAGAAAGTACTTCATGATAGGTTGACAACAAATGAACTGACTACAGTTGGTGAAATAATCGCACCCACTCCCGAATCTACGTCCATTTTTTCTAAAGAACCGTCTACTATGGATACAACACTTCACACCAAGTCGACAAAAAATGGAATTAACGAACCAACTATAATAACTCCTGAAACTTTCTCAACTTCTTCTGAAGAACCATCTGCTACGGAAACAATACTGTACGATAGATTGACAACAAATCGTATTGATGAGCTAACTACATTGGAAGTTCCACACCCAGTTAGCGAGATAATCATATCCACTCCAGAATCTACGTCCATTTTCACCAAAGAACCATCTACTATGAAGGCAATACTTCACTCTAAGTCTACAACAAATGAAATTAACGAACTAACTACATCAGAAGTTCCGAATTCAGTTAGCGAGATGTTCTCATCAACTTCTGAATCTACCTCTACTCTTTCTGAAGAAACAACTACTAAGGAGACAGTACTTCAAGATAGGTTAACAACAAATGGAATGAATGAGCATATTACATTGAAAGCTCTAAACTCAGTTAGTGATATGATCGCACCCACTCCGGAATCTACGTCAAGTTTTTTCAAAGAAACAACTACTGTGGAAACAATACTTCAAGATAGTATGACAACAAATGGAATTATTGAGCTCACTACATTGAAAGCTTCAAACTCGGTTAGTGAGATAATCGCACCTACTCCTGAATCTACGACCATTTTTCCTAAAGAATCATCTACTATGGAATCGAAACTTCACGCTAAGTCGACAACAAAGGGAATTAACGAACTAACTACATCAGAAGTTGCAAATACAGTTAGCGATTTAATTTCATCAACTACGGAATCTTTCCCCACTCCTTCCAAAGAAACATCCACTATGGAGACAATACTTCACGAAAAGTTGACAACAAATGGAATCAGTGGAATAATTACATTGGAAACTACACAATCAGTTGGTGGGATAATCACATCCACTCCAGAATCTACATCTCTTTCTTCTGAGGAAGCAACTACTATGGAAACAATACTTCACGATAGTATAACAACAAATGAAATCAACAAGCTTACTACATTGGAAGCTCCACACTCAGTTAGTGAGATAATTACATCAACTCCAGAATCTACATCTCTTCCTTCTAAGGAAGCAACTACTAGTGAATTAATCACATCACCTCCTGAATCTAGCGAAACAACTACAATACTTCACGATAGGTTGACAACAAAAGGAACTAACGGCTTTACTACATTGGAAGCTCCATACTCACTCAGTGGAATAATCACATCCACTACAGAATCAACATCACTTTCTTCTAAGGAAGCAACTACTATGGAAACAATACTTCACGATAGTATAACAACAAATGAAATCAACAAGCTCACTACATTGGAAGCTCCACACTCGGTTAGTGAGATAGTCACATCAACTCCAGAATCTACATCTCTTCCTGCTAAGGAAGCAATTACTATGGAAACAATACTTCATGATAGTATAACAACAAATGAAATCAACAAGCTTACTACATTGAAAGCTCCAAACTCAATTGGTGAGATAATCACATCAACACCAGAATCTGCATCTCTTCCTTCTAAACAAGCAACTACTATGGAAACAATACTTGACGATAGTATAACAACAAATGAAATCAACAAGCTCACTACATTGGCAGCTCCACATTCAATTAGTGAGATAATTACATCAACTCCAGAATCTAAATCTCTTCCTTCTAAGGCTACTATGGAAACAATACTTCACAATAGTATGGCAACAAATGAAATCAACAATATTACTACATATGAAGCTCCACACTCAGTTAGTGAGATAATCTCATCAACTCCAGAATCTACATCTCTTCCCTCTAAGGAAGCAACTACTATGGAAACAATACTTCACGATAGTATGACAACAAATGAAATCAACAAGCTTACTACATACGAAGCTACACACTCAGTTAGTGAATTAATCACATCACCTCCTGAATCTAGCGAAACAACTACAATAATTCACGATAGGTTGACACCAAAAGGAACTAACGGCTTTACTACACTGGAAACTCCATACTCACTTAGTGGGATAATCACATCAACTCCAGAATCTACATTTCTTTCTTCTAAGAAACAATACTTCACGATAGTATGACAACAAATGAAATCAAGCTTACTACATTGGAAGCTCCACACTCAGTTAGTGAGATAATCACATCATCTCCTGAATCTAGCTCCTCTATTTCTAGCGAAACAACTATTAGGGATAAGTTGACAACAAAAGAAACTAACGACTTTACTACATTGGAAGCTCCATACTCAGTTAGTGAAAAAATCGCATCCACTTCTAAATATACCTCCACTTTTTCAGAAGAACCTTCTACTATGGAGACAATAGTTCACGCTACTTTAACAACAAATGATATCAACGATCTGACTACATTGGAAATTCCCCACTCAATTAGCGAGATAATCACAACAAATACTGAGCCACATTCTACCATGAAAGTAGAGGCAAAAACTGAATTTACGGAGTATGTCACAACAGTAAGCCACACAAGTGCTATTGATACCTCAATGAAACAAGACGTGTCAACAGAATTTCCTTCAACATTTAAGTTAAATGGAGACACATCAGTAATCAGTACGACAAGCACAGAATCGTTCGGCGATTTATCAACAACAGAAAAAATTATCTCACATGATATCACACCACCAATAACCAATATAAAAACAACAGAGGAAAGAGAATCTAATTCCAAAACAACAACTGAATTTATAAATGAGGAAGTTTCATGGTCTGCAAGCGAGGAGCCTTCTTTTAGAGGTCAACAGACTACCGATAAAATAATCGTATATGATACAACAACTGTTCCCTCCACTATTATTAGTGAATCGTCCTCTATAGTTGATGGTGAAACATCAACTACTTCAAAGACAGTGTCTGTACCATCAACAAATAAATATGCTGTATTAACTTCAGAAAAGAGTGAATCACAAATTACAGAACACTATACCACACAATCAGAGGCACAACCTTCTGAAACATCAACCATAAGTGAAAAGTCTACAATATCGTACGACGGAATGCGAACCACTTTATTAAATGAAGAATCCGTAACGTTTACTACTTCTCGAATTACGATACCAGTATATACTAATCAGCAAACTATTGATGAAAAGCGTAAATCAACTGAATCGGGAATCACCATTATGAATGGGAGTACTGAAGTTCACACTGACATAACAACCACAGGAACGCCTATAATAAATGAAAATAGTTCAGTGAAAGATCTTGAAAAAGAGGCTTCTACAATCTTCAGAGAAATTTCTATCGCATATTCTCCAACAACTCAGCTGAGTTCAACGTCAATTGTTTTTACTGAAACACCAAGTGAAAAGAAAACTACTGATTATATGAGTGAATCACCAATGACTCAAACAGAAACTATGGAGAAAATTTCATTATCTACCAAAGAACAATCAACATCAATAACGGAAACGTATGAGGGAAAACAGAAAATAACAGAGAGGCCTTATAATGTACAACCGATTTCTGTTGATAATATCATTGATAAATCGAATACCAACAGAAAATCTTGTTCCTTCGATTCAGATTGTTCTGATGTAGAGGTTTGTTTGGCGGAAATCTGCGTGAATGCATGTATGATTGGAGGTTCTTGTGCACCAAACGCCGACTGTATTGCTGTAAAACACACAGCGAAGTGCTCCTGTAAGCCACATCACTATGGAGATCCACACAGGAATTGTTTCCAAGGTATAAGCCATTATTATCACTCCGTTCTAGGGGCTCTGTATTTTTTTAAATTATGAATCCATTTTGACCACATTAAAACAACTAATTTTTCACAAACTAGTTCAGTTGAATAAGTACTGCATGTTTTGATTTGGGTTAGAGGTAATATAGGTTTTGTCGCCCAACAAAATCTGTGAATAAATAAAATTCTATACAAATAAGTGTAATTAATTTCATTAATTCATTAATCTCTTCTAACTTTCTAATAGAACCACCTAGTGAACGGGCACCTAAACCTTGCAAGTCTGATTTGGACTGCCTCGAGTCAGAGGCTTGTTACTTGTCGTTATGTCAGGATCCTTGCGAATTTACAAACGCTTGTGCAGAAACTGCTCGATGTCAGGCAAAGATGCACAGGCCAATTTGTACTTGTCCAATGGGATACGAAGGAAACCCCGCAACTAAATGCTTCCAATCGCCTACAAGTAAGATAACACTGTATATAATAATAATAATACATTTCACTCATTAATTATCTAATAATTACTACTTGTGATTTATGTATCTGTATATATCTCTCCTCAATACAGTCCTCAAACTAATTTCGATTTCAGTTAGAGTATTGATACATGGGATGTTTCTTTCCCGCTTGGGACTTTGTTACGAGATGAAGCTGTTACTAGTTAACAATCTTTCTCTTAGACGAAGGTCTAAGAGAAAGAGAAAGACTCATGTAGTCGAGTCACGGTGAAATCAATCGAATCCCAAGCACACTGCTGTTTGGGTAGGACCTTTCCTGTACTGATGGGAGGTAATACCTTGATTGATTTCAGCATGGTGCTGCTGCTGGATGAATGAGAAACATCTGCAAGATTAACCGCTGTGAGGTATCTTGCTTAAATGTATGTCGGATATAATTCAATGTCCAGCGTGGTATTAGCCGGGGAAGTTGTTATTTTCCGGCAGGCATTTACCAGAACCTATGGTGTAGGTACTTTGGGAGAGATGAATATTTAGAGATTTTATTTCAAAATACTTATTTTCTTATATCACTTGTCAAATTCACATAATATAAAAACGTCATGTACAGTATACTGCCAAAAGAAAAATCTGTAAACTTTTAGATAGAAGTAGATTAAATCTTCTTTTACTATTCTCTTTGCACCCTTTCGCTTTAGTGAGTTGCACGAGAAATGAAGACTGTTCAATCACTGAGGCGTGCATCGACAGAGCCTGCCATAAGCCATGTGATATTAGAAACCCATGTGCAGAGCATGCCGTTTGCATTAATACAAATCATGGATCCGACTGCAGTTGCGAAGAAGGTTTCCAAGGAAACGGTTATGTCGGCTGTGTGCCAGGTAAACCTTTAAATCATCAACTTTTTGAGAATATTCTCTATCGTATTTATTTTTCAGTGATAGACTATAAACCAGTATGTCAGTATAACGAAGATTGCCCTCCAAATAAATTATGCGACAGATTGAACAGAATTTGCATAAACCCTTGTTTTGAAGACTCTTGCGGAGAAAATGCCGAGTGTTTACCGAAAGATCACGGGATAGAATGCCGGTGCTTACCAGGCTATCAAGGAAATCCGTATACGGAATGTGCTTCTGTCCAGGGATGTAGGGCAAATGAAGAATGTCCTACACACGAGTCCTGTATAAACAACCAGTGTGCCTCACCATGCAAATGTCCCGCTAACGCTATTTGTGAAGTTATTTACCATGTTGCCAGTTGTAAGTGTCCTCCTGGTTATGGAGGAGATCCCCGAACTGGATGTGAACCTCCTTCGAACCCATGTGATCCAAATCCCTGTGGTATAAATGCTTTGTGTGAGCTTGACAACGGAAATCCCATATGTTTCTGCCCGAAGGGACTAACAGGAAATCCATTCAAAAATTGCAGTATGTATAAAATTGACTATTGTAGGACATACTGCAAACCTTTCTTCCTTTTTTTTCAGTCCCGGAAGGAGATGAGTGTTCTCCAAATCCTTGTGGTCCAAATTCAGGATGTAGAGTCGTTGGTGGTAATGCAGTCTGTTTCTGCCTACCAGAATATGAAGGAACTCCACCACAAACTCCTTGTTCCTTACCAACAAATCCATGTGAACCTTCACCATGTGGCCCGAATACTCAGTGTGCAATTTTGAGCAATGGTTTTGCAAAATGTACTTGTTTGCCCGGTTTCCTGGAGAGCCCAAATACAATTCGTGGATGCATAGAAGCAAGAAACCCATGTGATCCAAATCCTTGCGGGCGAGGGGCGGAATGTGATCCTTCACAAGAACCAGTATGTTCTTGCCCCACTGGAACCATAGGAAATCCATTCAGAAATTGTGCTGAACCACAAGTTACATCATTATGTAGTCCAGGTCCGTGTGGAGCAAATGCTGATTGTTATGTCACAGGAAACCAAGAACAATGTTTCTGTAGGCATGGATTTATCGGCAATCCCTACTCTGGATGTAGATTGAAACCTTCAACACCCTGCTCACCAAATCCGTGCGGACCTGGAGCTCAGTGTGTTATAACATCAGGTGGTAATTCCATGTGTCAATGTCCAGAGGGCTTAGGTGGAGATCCAACTGGTCCGGCTGGTTGTCATGGGTTTGAATGTGTTGTTGATGATAACTGCCCACTACATCAGGCTTGTATTGGATACAGATGCAAAGATCCCTGTCCAGGATCTTGTGGCGTGAATGCAAATTGTAAAATTGAACAACACCATCCAGTGTGTTCATGCGATTATGGACTCACCGGTAATCCAGTAATTCGGTGTATGTCTATTTCAAGTTTGGTACCAATGGAAGATCCTTGCATGCCAAGTCCTTGTGGTTCAAATACTGTATGTCAAATCATATCAGAAAGAGCTGTTTGTTCATGTTTACCTGATTTTCAAGGTGATCCACAATTCGGTTGTCATCCCGAATGTATTCTGAATTCTGATTGTCCGATTAACAAAGCCTGTCTGGATAGACACTGCTTAGATCCATGTAGCACAGGAAGTATTTGTGGTGTAAATGCAATATGTAAAGTCAGAGATCATACCGCCACCTGTATTTGCCCTGAAGGTTTTATGGGTGACCCTTTCTTCCAATGTGTGTCTACACCTCCTGTGACTATTCCCACATATCCCAATACCACAACTCAACCCTGCTTACCATCTCCCTGTGAAAATATGGAGTGCTATATTTATGGAAGTCAAGTTGCTATTTGTGATCCATGTCTAGGACCAGAAGCTCCTTATGATCCACAATGTAGACCAGAATGTTTAACGAACGCAGACTGTCCATTTGATAAAGCATGTGTCGCATTCTCGTGTGTAGATCCTTGTCCAGGTTCTTGTGGTGTAAACGCTTTCTGCTCTGTTGTATTACATACTCCTGTATGCAGTTGCCCACAAGGTCTTTTCGGCGATCCATTTCAACATTGCTCTGCACCTTTAAGTAAGTAAGTGTAATATTCTTCATAAAAAATAATGATTCGCTATTTTTCAGAACCAGAACCGCACATTGAAACATGCGAAAGTGTCCGGTGTGGTGCCAATGCTATTTGTAAACAATCAAGTTCTTCTCTAACCTGTGTATGTAAATCCGGGTTCTTTGGAAACCCATGGATAGCCTGTCGTCCAGAATGTGTTATAAATCCAGATTGTCCTTTGAGCAAAGCATGTATAAATAACAAATGCATAAATCCTTGTTCAGGTGTATGTGGAGTGGGTGCACAATGTGAAGTGACAAATCATATTCCAATATGTTACTGTCCTCCAAAATCTACCGGAGACCCCTTCATGAGTTGTTACGAATTCAAACCACCCACAGAAATAGTTCCAAGTCTGAATCCATGTGATCCTTCCCCTTGTGGACCTTTCAGCAGATGTTTAGTATCACATCAAGGGTACGCAACCTGTTCTTGTTTACCAGATTATCAAGGCATTCCACCAGCTTGTAAACCTGAATGTATAATCAGTTCAGAATGTCCACAAATAAAAGCATGTGTTAACCAGAAATGTGTTGATCCTTGTGATGGTACTTGTGGTCGTAATGCAGTATGTACCATCATCAATCACAACCCAATATGCAGTTGTACTCCGGGGAAGCAGGGAGATCCATTCATCAGTTGCTATAGCACTCCAGTATCTGAAGAACCTAAACATAAGGGAAATCCCTGTGATCCATCACCCTGCGGTCCAAATTCCATATGTCAGGTGAAGGAAAATCGACCAGTCTGTTCCTGTGTATCGAATTATATTGGAAGCCCACCCTACTGCAGACCAGAATGTACAATTAATCAAGAATGTCAAAAAGATAAAGCTTGTATTCAAGATAAATGTGTTAATCCCTGTATAGAATTATGTGGAAGTCATGCAAGATGTGATGTTATCAATCACAATCCTTTCTGTAGTTGTTTAGCTGGTTATGAAGGAGATGCTTTTATTGGATGTTCAAAAATACCTGTCGTTGTAAGACCCAAAGATCCTTGTTTTCCGAACCCATGCGCTGAAAATTCACAATGTACAGTGAGTGCTGGCGTTGCTCGATGTACTTGCATACCACCATACATAGGAAATCCTTATGTTAGTGGTTGTAAACCTGAGTGCACCATGAACTCGGAATGTGCCAGTCATCTTGCTTGTCTGTCACAACACTGCAGAGATCCCTGTCAAGGTCTTTGTGGAATCAATGCCGAATGTAGCGTAGTCAACCATGTGCCCGTGTGTGCTTGTGGTAAAGGACTGATGGGAGATCCATTTACAGCATGTCGAGAACAGCCTAGAGAACGTGAGTAATTCATTCATTTGAAAATGCAATCTGATCAATTCAACAATTTCAGCATCTGTGAGTCCCTGCGAGCCATCACCTTGCGGACCAAATAGTGTATGTCGTGTAAAACATAATGAAGCAGTTTGTTCCTGTCAGGTAGGCTACTTCGGTATCCCTCCCTTATGCAGACCAGAATGCTTAGTTACATCAGAGTGTAGTTTAGACAAAGCATGCATAAACCAAAAATGTCAAGATCCTTGTCCTGGAACATGTGGAATTGCAGCCAGATGTCAGGTCAACAATCATAATCCAATATGTAGCTGTCCTCCCAACTTTAGTGGAGATCCGTTCACACAATGTATCAAAACAGGTAAAAATACGTTTTATATATTTTAGGTATCTCATAACAATTAGAATCTCTCTATTTCAGTCAAGCCACCAACGTTGGTTTCTCCATGTATTCCATCACCTTGTGGAGCAAATGCTGAATGCCGAATAGTGGACAATAGAGCTGTCTGTACCTGTCTACCAGAAATGTTTGGAGTTCCGCCAAGTTGTCGCCCAGAATGTTTGATCGACCAGGATTGTCCTCTTAATTTGGCATGTGTTGAAAGTAAATGCAAAGATCCTTGTTTTGGATCTTGTGGATTCAATGCGCAATGTTATGTTATTAATCATAGACCCATATGCAATTGTCTATCTGGTTTTGCCGGAGATCCATTTTCAGGATGCAATCGTATTCCAGGTAAGTCGTATGTTTCAGACAAATAATTCATATTTGTAAGCCATCCGAGATTGAGACCAAAAACTATTTTCTTTCCATTTCTGTTTTTGCTATGTGATAGAACTAGCGATTACTTAAATATGTTATTTCTTATAACTTTTGAACAGTGCTGAGTATTCCAATAACGCTGAGCAAATATAAATCTTAAGTTTAAAATTATAAACCTCATAATTCATATAAAATCAAACTTTTTGAATCAAATTTCATCCAGTCGAAAAAAGAAAACGTATATGCACCTAAAAAAACCACAAATAGTATTATCACATTGAAGGTAATATAAGAGAAGGTTCAAGTATAAGTAAAACTTAAAAAAAACTCCATCTGGGAAAAATCTTCATAATGGGTTTGCAGAAGCAACACCAAAATTGACATGGAGAACTATGTATTTGATTATAAATTCCAATAAGGAGTGATTGAAACACTAATGAAATTAGTGTGAATTCCAAAGAATACTTTATTAAAATTGGCCATCTTCATACTGAGAAGGTAAGACAAATATGGAACAAAGGCAGAAAAGCAATTGTTGTGAAGCGTAGGTATATGATGTCATATTTATAACTAATAATTCGAGCACAAAGGAACATATGGATTTTATAGTAACACTATCAAAATTATAAAGTGAAATCAGAACTGTTGCCACTAGTTAAAAAATTATGTAATATTGCTTTTGAGTTTGTTAGTTATATTTCAACAATAACTCGAAATTGCGAGTTTTTTGCCAATTCTCAAAAATTTTATGAAAGATGATGTCAAAATTTATATTGGAAGATAGAAATAGACCCTCTTCTAGAATACTGTCGGTATTGAAGTATAATGGGTTATATATTTCAATACTGTTGTCAATTTTCAACAACTTGTCTATTTGGACAATGGTCAAAACTATGTTTTCAAAACAAATTTTTTTTTCAATCCTACGGTCAATCCTACGAATTGAATACGAATATGTTTTTTTTTTTATGTGAAAACCGTACGTCGAACTAAAAAAGAGACAAGATTTGCTAATAAAGAAATGAGGGTTATAGAAATAATGAAAAACTATGTTGTACGGCAGAAAATGCCTTTTGGTGCATATATGATGCGTACTATGTTTCACAAAAATATCTACTGTCATACCGAATTCAAATTCATTTGTCCAAACAAAGACCTGTTCGGGTACAGAAAATGTCACAACACTGAATACTTTCAGTGTTGTTATAGTTATAGTATACTCATAGATAATAAAATGGAATTACCCGTTTTAACCGTCTGATATCTATTTTGCATATTTTGGCAATATATTCAAAGTACTCAAAATTTAAATTTCATTTACCTTAAATAATAATTGTATTTTTGACAAAATTCAGTAAGAATTCTAACAGAATTCGTACACACAACTAAACTCATCAACCATGTTTATTAAACTATGATATAACAATATTATGGCTTGAAACATTTTATATTATTTTGAAACATAAAATATGGATGATGAGAAATTAAACCTGCAAATAAACGACACATTTATAGTTAGAGTTGAGCAATAAACATTTGAAACAACGAAAAAATTTGAAATTTTTTGAAAACATAATAAACATAACTTTATTTTCTTCGTAATTTTTATATTTTATTGCCAATATTCATGAAAATAATTGAAAAATGATCGAAAGCCTCATTTTTTTGAGCTCATTTTTCCCAATACAAAATTTTGTGTGCGCCCCTAATAATTATGAATATTCTGATCATGACCAGGATATCACCTAATAATTATTACATCTATATTTTTGAATGAATTAAAATGAATACTAACTTTTATTCATCTCAAGCAGGTTATATATTGTAATTCTTTTGGTTTATTCGTGTTAATTTAATTCAAAATCGGGCATTTTTGGAGTCAGTTCACTCTAAGCGAATACGTCACGTGGCTTCAAAGTCAAAGTAAGAGCTCCGGCCTTCCTCAGCTTGCATAAGTCTCTATAGAACCTTTGAGATTTCTCGTAGGGAAACAGCTAGGTACCTGTTAAAACGAATTTGATACAAAAAAACAATTATGTGACTGTTCAAAAGTTATAAACAGTATAAACAATTCTGTGCTATTTTTTATTCTTGTAATTATTCTTTTCATAATTAACTGTTTGCTACGAAAATTAACCCAAAGGTCTGATGCAAACTGGAAGCATCAATAATAAGTAAAGTAGTTTGGTACTTCTTTTGAAATCATATGCACCATTGACCATTGGGTTACTTGTACATAAACTCATTCTTCCTCCAATTCCTTTCTCATTATCTTTCAGTTATCACTGATGAACCACGAAATCCTTGTAATCCTTCCCCTTGTGGTTCAAATGCGATATGCACTGAAAGAAATGGTGCTGGTGCATGCATATGTATTGATGGATATCATGGAGATCCTTATAGTGGATGCAGACCCGAATGTTTGACAAATAATGATTGTGCGCATGATCGTGCATGTTCAAATATGAAATGTAGAAACCCTTGTATAGGTAGCTGTGGACTTTATGCAGAATGTACCGTAATTAATCATAATCCCTCATGTTATTGCATTGAAGGATATACAGGAGATGCCTTAACATTATGCAGAAAAATTGAAAACAGTAAGAAACGCATAATTATTGAAAATAATATTCTTTACCATAAAATTTTCCTCAGTTATTGTTGAAGAACCTCAGCGAAATCCGTGCATTCCATCACCTTGTGGCCCTTATAGCATATGCCGAATACAAGAGGGCAGACCAGCTTGTTCTTGCTCGCCTGGTTCCATAAATTTTCCACCAAATTGTAGACCGGAGTGTATTGTGAATTCAGAATGTTCACTTGATAAAGCGTGTCAGAATCAAAAATGTAAAGATCCTTGTTACGGTACATGTGGTTATAATGCTATATGTAAGGTGATTATGCATAATCCAATATGTAGTTGTCCTCCAGATTATATAGGGGATCCATTTAGTCGGTGCTTGAAGGAAGAAAGTAAGCTATTCTGTCTCCAACTCTCTATAACTTTCTGCATGTTTTCCTTTTTTTAGAACAAATCATAAATGAATTATCACCGAACCCTTGTTCACCATCACCTTGCGGACTTTTTTCCGAATGCCATACTTTAAATAACCGACCAGTATGTTCTTGTCTTGAAAATTATTTTGGTCAACCACCAAATTGTAGACCAGAATGTACGGTGAATTCACAGTGCCAATCAAATAAAGCATGTATCAATCAAAGATGTCAGGATCCGTGCCCTGGGTCATGTGGATCATATGCGGAATGTCGAACTATCAATCATATACCAATCTGCTACTGTTTATCTGGTTATACAGGAGATCCTTTCTCGGGTTGTGAAAAACGTAAGCCAAAAACGATCTTAAAATGAAAAAAAATTAAGAGGAAGATACGAAGAAAAAAAACTGATTTTTATTTTAGATATTCCAGCTCAGGAGATTGTAAACGTTTGCAACCCTTCCCCTTGCGGAACAAATGCAATTTGTAGAGAATCAAACGGCGCAGGATCTTGCTCATGTATTGCCGAATATTTTGGCGACCCTTATGTAGGTTGCAGACCTGAATGTGTAATGAATTCCGAATGTCCACGTGATAAGTCATGTGTCAATAATAAATGCAAAGATCCTTGCCCTGGAACATGCGGTATAAATGCTGATTGCCGTGTGAACAATCATATTCCCAGCTGCCTTTGCTTGGTTGGCCATACAGGGAATCCATTACGATCTTGCCATCCGATACTTGAAACTCGTAAGATTTATTTTTCATTTTCTTACTCTTCTCTTATTCTTACTCAAACTCACTTCTCTTTCTTTCCATTCAGCTGTAATCAAAGAGCCTACTGATCCATGTAGACCTTCACCGTGCGGGCCTTTCAGCCAATGTAGGGTTGTGAATCAACATGCTGTTTGTTCTTGTTTAAATAATTATAGTGGATCTCCTCCAGTGTGTAGACCGGAGTGTACAGTGAGCACAGATTGCTCTCAAGATAAAGCCTGCATCAATCAAAAATGTACTGACCCATGTCCAGGAACTTGCGGATTGAATGCAAGATGTCATGTAACCAATCATAATCCTATATGCAGTTGTTCACCTGGAGAAATAGGAGATCCTTTCATTCGTTGCATCATGAAAGAAAGTAAGATAATTGATTATTTGAAGCAGTTCGAAGTTTCCAAAAAAACTTGATTTATGTTATAACAGTAACGAGTATTAATATTTTTATTATGGATTCTCATTAAAAATCGGTCAAGATTCAAAGCAGAGTCAACATTTCATTCAAATATTTTAGAACGCCCAGTAGAAGATGAAGCGAGGAAAGATCCATGTATACCATCCCCTTGCGGACTATACTCACAATGCAGAATAATAGGCCAACAGGCAGTATGTTCATGTTTGCCCAATTATATTGGGAGATCTCCAAATTGTCGCCCTGAATGTACTATCAACGCTGAATGTCCAGGAAATTTAGCATGTATAAATGAAAAATGTAGAGATCCATGCAAAGGATCGTGTGGACGAAGAACTACCTGTATAATTGTCAATCATTCACCAAATTGTCTATGTGAGTTAGGATACACTGGAGATCCTTTTGCAGGATGTTCAATTGTACCCTTACTTGAAGAACACCGAAATCCATGTAACCCATCACCTTGTGGACCAAATTCAATATGTAAAGAACAGAATGGTGCAGGGTCGTGCACCTGTTTACCAGAATATTTTGGTGATCCTTATTCAGGCTGCAGACCAGAATGTGTAACTAACACAGATTGTTCAAGAAATAAAGCATGTGTGAATAATAAATGTAAGGATCCTTGTATTGGAACCTGTGGGATCAATGCTGATTGTAAAGTTTTCAATCATGCCCCATCATGTTTCTGTTTTGAAGGATATACAGGCAATCCCACAATATCATGCCATCTTGCTCCACCCAGTATGTATATTTTCAATTTATCAGTATATTTTATTCATCACGATCTTCTAACTCGAATTTTTCCTTAGTCCAAGAGGAATCGGAAAAACATCCCTGCCAGCCTTCACCTTGTGGTCCTTATAGTCAATGCAGGGTAGTGAACGGGCATGCCGTGTGTTCTTGTCAAGTAAACTATGTAGGTTCCCCGCCAATGTGTAAACCTGAATGTATGATCAGTGCTGATTGTTCTTTGGACAAAGCATGTATCAATTCAAAATGTCAGGACCCTTGTCCAGGCACTTGCGGTTTGGATGCCCGTTGTCAAATAATCAATCACAATCCAATCTGTAGTTGTCCTCCAGAATTTACCGGCGATCCATTTGTTAGATGTTTGCAGGAAGAAAGTAAGAAATATGGATGAATTACTTTGAGTATATTTTCTAAATTGATAATTTTATTAGGAACTCCCGTGATAGTTCCCAACGAAAATCCCTGCCAGCCTTCTCCCTGTGGTCCTTACTCTCAATGCAGAGTGATTGGAAACACTCCGGCATGTTCCTGTCTTCCAAATTTCGTGGGTCGTGCGCCTAACTGCAGACCTGAATGTCTTATAAATGCAGAGTGCTCTGGTAATTTAGCTTGTCAAAGAGAAAGATGCAGTGATCCTTGCCCTGGATCATGTGGCGCTAACACCGACTGCGTCGTTATCACACATCGACCTGTATGTTCTTGCAAACCAGGATATACTGGCGATCCATTCGCTAGTTGTAGTTCTATACCAAGTAAGATATAATCGGTTCTGAGTCCAAACACTGTGAACAATAAATTAACGAAATTTCAGTCATTCAATCTACCGAAGAACCTCCCTCTCCATGCAATCCTTCACCATGTGGGGCAAACGCTATATGTAAGGAAAGAAATGCTGTGGGTTCTTGTATTTGCTTACCTGAATATGTTGGAGATCCTTATACAGGTTGTAGACCAGAATGTGTAACAAACTCAGATTGTTCAAGAAAACACGCATGTGTTAATAATAAATGCAAAGACCCCTGTCCAGGTACCTGCGGACTGAACTCAGAATGTCGTGTTGTCAATCACGCTCCTCTCTGCTACTGTATATCTGGATTCATTGGAAATCCGCTGACTTCCTGTAGACTTCCACCTCGTAGTAAGCTTGTTGTACTTGTTCTAACAGTTCCAATTTAACTTTTCTTCTTTCTTAGTTGACGAACCGAAACGGGATTCATGTATACCCTCGCCTTGTGGGCCTTATAGTAACTGTAAAGAAATTAATGGCCATGCAGTGTGCTCTTGTCAACCAAACTATATTGGAACCCCACCTTTGTGCAAACCGGAATGCATGGTTAGTTCTGAATGTCAACAAAATAAAGCATGTATAAATAGTAGATGCAACGACCCTTGCCCTGGAACATGTGGGCTTAATGCACGGTGTCAAGTTGTGAATCACAATCCTATTTGCAGTTGTCCTCAAAATTATATAGGTGATCCTTTCGTGAGATGTATATTGGAAGAAAGTAAGGCTAACTATCTTTGCAATTCCTTATTTCTCTTTCTTGCATGTTCTTGATTCTTTTTTAGAAAAAGCTGTTGAGGAACCCAGCGGTAACCCATGCGTTCCTTCTCCTTGTGGACCAAACTCCCAATGTAGAATAATAGGTGGTCAAGCTGCATGCTCTTGTCTACCAAATTATATCGGTAGAGCACCAAATTGTAGACCAGAATGCATGATAAATGAAGAATGTCCCGGGAATTTGGCATGTCAAAATGAAAGGTGTAAAGATCCTTGCCCCGGTTCTTGTGGGTCTTTCACAACTTGTACTGTAATAAAGCATGCCCCTGTATGCCAATGTATAACTGGTTTTACTGGCGATCCATTCACAGGATGTGCTACAATACCGCCTTGTAAGACCTCTATTCACTTTACTTTCTATAATCTGTTCTTTCTTATTTCTTACTTTTCAGCTCCTCCTGTAACTGAAAGTCCTCCAAATCCCTGCAACCCTTCACCATGTGGCACTAATGCCTTATGCAAAGAACGAAATGGTGCTGGATCTTGCAGCTGCATACCAGAATACTTTGGAGATCCTTATACGGGTTGCAGGCCTGAATGCGTTATTAATACAGATTGTGATCGTAGCAGAACATGCTCTAATAATAAATGTGTTGATCCGTGCCCTGGCACATGTGGTATCAACGCTGAATGTAGGGTTATTAACCATGTACCGTCATGCACGTGTATTATAGGATATTCTGGTGATCCAACAAAAACTTGTACAATCATTCGAGCTGGTGAGCAATTTCCTTTCAGAAAAATCATAATGTTTGTTAATGACTACATTTGTATCAATACCAATTACGCTGAAATTCAGATTGTAATAATCCTATTTTCTTTCAAGCTTGGATGGTATTATACTTAGTGATGATTTCGTTTCTTATCAAAACTTTATAAGAATTTTCATTTTTTTCCTTCAAATTAACCAAGAAACTCGTTGAACTAGTTACAGATTTTGTAGCACAGTGAGAATCAGTAATAAGCATAATATGAATAATACATATAGTTTTGGTTTTCGAATGATGCAATTGGTATAAGTAAAATAAACAGTATTGAAGTAATGGTAACATTATTGTGGCATTATTTGGAAAACTTTAGTATTCATAATATAAACATGAAAAAAATAGCAGTTCAGGTATACAAACTTAAAAGTTCACCTCGAAAAGTTTCTGCGTAATATAAATCACTGAAGGGTCCAATTAGTCAGTAACTTTTGCCTACAAATTGAGAAAAATCTATTGAAACAAATAAAATTTCAATACTTATCTTTCGTTAGTGATCGACGTTTCTAAAAACAATCTTTTTCCGGTATCGAAGCCTAAAATTCACTTTAAAACTTCTGCCTCAAATTTTAAATAGCCGGTAGTGACATGAGTTTTTAACTATTATGAAATATACGCAAAATAAATTACTTGAGCCAGTCTAAATTTTTTTGATATCTGAAATTAAGTTTTCCGATTCTTAACTGTTACGTAAGTTTCATAAAAAGTATTGTTAGGTCGAACATTATTATTCATTGTTAATCCTTTTTGAAGAAACAGCGTTAATTTTTTCTTTAGTTGAAGAAAAACCTCAACATCCTTGTGAGCCATCACCATGTGGTCCTTATAGTCAATGCCGTGAAGTTAACAATCACGCTGTATGTTCCTGCAACTCCGGTTATATTGGATCACCACCTATGTGTAGACCTGAATGCTTAGGCAGCTCAGAATGTTCACAGGATAAAGCCTGTATTTCTCAAAAATGTATTGATCCATGTCCTGGAACTTGTGGTATAAACGCAAATTGCAGAGTAATCAACCACAATACCATTTGCAGCTGCTCACCAGGATTTACGGGAGAACCGTTTATACGTTGCTCTAAACTGGAATGTATGTTTGCTTTTCTATTTTCTACTTTCTCTGTGTAATCTTCTTCTTTTCTAGTACTTCCACCTTCTAAAGACATAGGCGACCCATGTTTACCATCACCATGTGGACCTAACTCTCAATGTCGAATCATTGGCACTCAACCTGCATGTTCTTGTTTACCAAATTTTATCGGTCGACCTCCAAACTGCCGACCAGAATGTATGAACGACTTGGAATGTCCTAATAATCTTGCATGTAAAGCCGATAAATGTAAAGATCCTTGTCCTGGATCATGCGGTATTAATGCCCAATGTAGTGTAGTCAATCATAGCCCTGTTTGTTCTTGCCTACCTGGCTATAATGGTGATCCATTTAGATCTTGTTCTTTACCCACATTGAGTAAGGATGCTCAAAATTCTTTGGTGGACTATAATTCTAATTGAATTACTTTGTTTTTCAGCTACAGAACGAACTCCTCCATCATCGCCTTGTTTCCCTTCTCCATGCGGCCCAAATGCCGAATGTCGCGAGAAAAATGGTGCCGGTGCATGTATTTGTCCAAAAGGCTATGAAGGGGATCCATACGATAGCAATAAAGGATGCCATCGAGAATGCGAAGAAAACATTGACTGTTCATCACACTTGGCTTGTCTTGCATATAAATGTATAGATCCCTGTGTTGGAACTTGTGGAATATCGGCTGAATGTACAGTAATCCAACATGTTCCTACCTGTACTTGTCCACCAGGTTCCACTGGGGACCCATTTTTCCAGTGTAAAGAAGTTATTGCAGAATTACCCAAAACTGAGAATCCGTGTCAACCATCTCCGTGTGGACCAAATAGTCAATGTAGGGAAGTCAACAAGCAAGCAGTTTGCTCTTGTGCTCCTTCTTATATTGGTGTACCTCCAAATTGTCGACCAGAATGTATTGTCAGTTCAGAATGTGCTTTGGATCGAGCTTGTATCAACCAGAAATGTAGTGATCCTTGTCCAAATACCTGTGGTTTGGGAGCTCAGTGTACCAGCAAAAATCATAATCCCATATGTGCTTGTCCTCCAGGCTTCACAGGAGATCCATTTTCAAGGTGTTCACCACAACGTACGTACATTTTAATCAAACATAGTCAACTAATTGTTGAAAACAACATTTTCAGAATATTTTTTCTTCTTCCACAGTTTTATAAATAGAAGTAATTTCAATCAACCAAAGTGATTTCAATTAACCATAGAAACATTTATACAATTACATCAATTTAGAAAGTTTAATTTTCTTTGAATCCGAGGTCGTAAAATTCAATAAACACAAAATTCTGAAAATACATCTTGATCTCAAGTATTTTTTCAAATGTCGAGGAGAGCTATAGTCTGTACAGTAGTTTCCTCGGAGAAACATAAAATTCCATTTGTGAGCAAATTGAAAAATGAAAACATAATTCTATGTAATCATACTATATCTGGAGTATATTGATTTTTCATCTTTTCAGCCATTGTGGAAGAACCCCCGCAAACAGAAAGACCACCATCATGCTACCCTTCACCATGCGGTCCTAATGCTCAATGTAAGATGACACTAGACAGTCCATCTTGTTCCTGCTTACCAAATTTCATCGGATCTCCACCTAACTGTAGGCCAGAGTGTCTCTTAAGCACAGAATGTAACAGTCAACTTGCCTGTATAAATCAGCAGTGTAAAGATCCTTGTCCTGGATCATGTGGAATTAATGCTGGATGCCATGTTATTAATCATCTACCAATATGTACTTGTTCCGAAGGCCATACAGGTGATCCATTTACCCAATGTAATGTAATCATACCAATCACTACACCACCACCACAAGTAGACCCTTGCTATCCATCACCATGTGGACCAAATGCTCAGTGCAACAATGGCATATGTTCATGCCTAACAGATTTCATTGGAAATCCTTATGAATCTTGTAGGCCAGAATGCATCCTGAGCACAGAATGTTCACGAGACAAAGCCTGTATACGAAGCAAATGTCGTGATCCATGCCCAGGAACTTGTGGACAAAACGCTCGTTGCGATATTATCAATCACATTCCAACTTGTTCTTGTCCTGATACATTTACTGGAGATCCATTCACCAACTGCAGAATGGTTGAACAAATATCAACAATACCTCAAGATCCTTGCCAGCTATCACCATGTGGGCCCAATAGCCAGTGCAAAAATATCGACCATCATGCAGTTTGTTCATGTCTTCAAGGATATCAAGGTAGCCCTCCATCTTGTAGGCCTGAATGTCTTGTTAGCGCCGAGTGTTCTTCGAACAGAGCATGTATCAATAAAAAATGTATAGATCCTTGTCCGGGCTCCTGCGGAGTGAATGCACGTTGTGAAGTCCGAAACCATAGTCCGATTTGCAGCTGTCAAGAGGGTCAAACAGGTGATCCATTCCAAAGCTGCAGAGAAATGCCAAAAGAAGCTCCTCCGCCAGTACAAACGAATCCTTGTGAGCCATCGCCTTGTGGTCCTAATTCCCTATGTAAAACAAGTGGAGAAACTCCATCGTGTACCTGCCAGCTGGGTTACATTGGTAATCCTCCAAATTGTCGACCAGAATGTGTAATAAATACTGATTGTCCGAGTTCTGAAGCATGCATAAACAACAAATGCAAAGATCCTTGTCCAGGTAGCTGCGGTGATAATGCAGAGTGTCGTGTAATCACACATACAGTTTCTTGTTCCTGTGCTACCGGTTTCACTGGTAATCCATTTGTTCAGTGTATTGTTATGGAAAAAGAAATATCTAATCCTTGTGAACCTTCTCCTTGTGGATCGAATGCTGAATGTAGACAAAGAAATGGAGTTGGTGCTTGCATTTGCATAGAAAATTATCAAGGAAATCCGTATGAAGGTTGCCGACCAGAATGTGTACTCAGCTCAGATTGTGCTGCAAACACAGCTTGCATCAGAAATAAATGTGCTGATCCATGTCCATCTGTTTGTGGAGAAAATGCAGAATGTTCTGTGATTAATCATATTCCGGTGTGTACTTGCCTTTCAGGATTCCAAGGAGATCCATTCGTTGTTTGTACTCCACTCCCTCCAATACGTAAGTAGAAGTTTTGAAACATCAAAATTTTAGCTAACAAACTATATTTCAGTCCCTACTGAGGCAACAGTGGCAGACCCGTGTAGCCAAAATCCATGTGGGCCTTACAGTCAATGTCGAAATGTAAACGACCAGGCTGTATGCTCCTGTTTACCCGAATACACCGGATCACCTCCCAATTGTAAGCCAGAATGTATTGTTAGTTCTGAATGCCCACAAAATCGTGCATGCCACAAATTCAAATGCGCTAACCCATGCATAGGTACTTGTGGAATTGGTGCTAGATGTGAAGTCATCAATCATAATCCAATCTGCAGCTGTAATTCAGGATTAACTGGTGATCCTTTCACTAGATGTTTTGAATTACCACCATCAGATTTTCATCCAACAGAAAATCCTTGTATTCCGTCACCTTGTGGACCAAATTCTCAATGCCGGGCAGTTGGAGATCAACCATCATGTTCTTGTAATGAAAATTATATTGGAACTCCGCCTAGTTGTAGACCTGAATGTTCTGTTAATACCGATTGTCCCTCCAACTTTGCTTGCATAACGGAGAAATGCAGAGATCCTTGTCCAGGTTCGTGTGGATTCAATGCTGAATGTAGGGTGCAGAATCATATCCCTATATGTTCCTGCCTAGAAGGATTCACGGGGGATTCATTTACTGAATGTTCTAAAATACAACCTCCAAAACAAGAAGAACCTACAGACCCTTGTGAAAAAGCTCCTTGTGGTCAAAATGCTCAGTGCACGGATGGTATTTGTTCATGTTTACCATTATATCACGGTGATCCCTATTTTGGATGTAGACCGGAATGTACCATGAATACGGACTGTTCTCCAAGCAAAGCATGCGTTAATATGAAATGTATTGATCCATGTCCAGGAACGTGTGGCCAAGGCGCTACATGTGATGTTATAAATCATATACCAACTTGCAGTTGCCCACTAGGTTTTGAAGGAGATCCATTCACTAACTGCAGACCCATTAAAAAAATTGGTGAGTGAAATTATTATTGTTATTTTTTTTATTATTGATAAAATATGAACTATGTTCATTCATGAATATGTTATTTATTATAGATCAAGTACGAAATCCATGTCAGCCATCACCCTGCGGACCAAATAGTGTGTGTAGAGTAATTAATGAGGTTGCAGTTTGCTCATGTCAACCTGACGTAATCGGAAGTCCTCCATCGTGCCGCCCAGAGTGTGTAGTTAGTGCTGAATGTCCTTTAACCAGAGCTTGTCTCCATAAAAAATGTGTAGATCCATGTCCAGGTACATGTGGTGTGGGGGCTAAATGTCAAGTAATCAACCATAATCCAATATGTAGCTGCTTGGAGGGTAATACAGGAGATCCATTCGTAAGGTGTTACAGTTTGCCAAAAGGTAAGACTTCATATTAATCTAAACAAAGTATACCGAAAATCATGACTTTTAAAATATGAGCGAATAAATATATCAAAATTGAATCACGAACATTTCTGCCACCATGCCATTGATGACGTACTTATTAGAAATTTCAATTTGACAGTAGCGTCGACAAAAATCCTAAAATGGCTATTTAGTGGAATGTGTCAATCCCTTTCTTCTAAAAACGACAATTTAATAATATAACATTTACTGAAGCTCCTCACCCTCTTATCTGAGTTCACTGTTGCATGCTGAAAGTACTTTGCTGTCACTTCATTGGTCACCTGAAAATTCAGCGTGTCTAATTGAATTTCATCTGTTCAACTTTTACAGAATGCATCTTTTTATATCTACACTTCATAATCATGTTTCTTTTAAATGTTTAGAAAGCATAGGATTTTTTCAGAGATTTACAAAACTTGATTCAATACTAATTATTGACATCATCAACGAGTGACAGAAAACTGAAATATCACTGATTGCTATTCATTTCCAGAACTCACTCTTGGTGAAAAACATTTGGAATTAACTTTCGCTAAATGTTTGAATAGTTTGAGTATTTATTGTAACTAGCCTATATATACCTTTATATCAGAAGTTTTACAGTCATCAAAAGGAAACTCGAGGCTAATGACCTTGGCAGTTGATGCCTCAAATTGTAATAAAAAAGGGAAACTTGTACTTTGAGACCAATTATATCATAGTAACATTCTTATTTTTGTCAAACTCTTGAAATTTACAAAGCACACAATTTTCAAATCTATGAATAAAAAGGTTTGTGATTCAGTATTTTCATTTCAATTTCAAGCAAATTACAAACAAGTATCATAAATCATTCAAAAGACTCAACGCTCAGCCCGAGTATTTGTCTGAAAACTTGCTGTATTATATTATTTTCCACATACGAACAAAGACAAAAATATAATGTTTTAAAATGTATTTAAAACAGATTTTCGTGAGGAATGTTTTCGAAATTATATCTTCCTTCAGCAGGTACAACATTTTTCATTTTAAAATGTTATTATCTCAAGAAAAGTGAATTAGCATGCTCTAATAAATTTAATAGACAAGCCCATATGATTTATAAAAATGAGAATCGCAAATGAACTGTAATTCGATATTTTTTCCATGAAAACATTGAAGTTACATCAATAATATAAATAAAAGTACTTCCCACACAGTTACCATTGTTTTGTGTAGTTGATATTTTGTCTTTTGTTTTCGTACCACTGTAAAATGAATATTACCTTCTTCATATTGAATTATAATTTATTTAAGTTGATTTGCAAATTCATAAAATGCTTTTTGTTAGATATAAATAATACATTATTATTTTCATTTTTCAGAAAAACCTGTTCCGATAAATCCGTGTGATCCTAGTCCGTGCGGTCCAAACTCACACTGCCTGGTTCGATTGGGCAGTCCTGCTTGTTCGTGTCTCGAAAATTACGTCGGTATACCGCCTAACTGTCGACCGGAGTGTACGATAAATCCTGAATGTCCTAGTAGTCGCGCTTGCGTAAATCAGAAGTGTCGCGATCCGTGTCCAGGAAGCTGTGGTTCGAATGCCATTTGCAATGTGATAAATCAGAGTCCAGTGTGTTCCTGTCGCTCTGGATATACTGGTGATCCCTTCCAAGGCTGTGTAACTGCACCTGGTGAGTTTTATGCATGTGTTTTTTTTACAAACGAATACCGATGATAGTTTCTAATGGCGAACGTGTAAATTAAATGCTAACTGATAATGTTGACTTATCAAAATATCACTGGTATTCTGTTCTTAGCATGCATTTCTAGTTTGTATTTACATTCACAATGGTTTCCTCCTTGCAGCAAATCGAGAATAGTAACAAGTTTATTTCAACTTGCTTGAATGTATACGTTGAAGTGAAATTTCCTTCTTCATAATCGTAGTGAAAAAATAGCAGTTTCAAAAACGGTATATCCCCGACATTTCATTAGGAGATAATAAGTCAACAAACATTTCACAAAATGATTCAGATATATATCAACAATTAAAACACAACCTCATGGAAAAGTTACATTGTAGTTATATTGATGACTTCGTGTCATGATGTGTTGTATTTAAAATGTGGGAAAACCGACTAGACAATTTGTACCCTTCTGAGTTTCACAAATCTGTTGTACAACTGTTTCCTAAATGATACCATCTTCAATTTCAAAATGAAAACCTAGAAATTTTCCGAAATGTTTTTGCTCGTATTGTACGTGCGTTAGGCAGATACTTTGAATGATCCTTAATTTTCGGAATGCATAATATTTACAAGAGAATAAACCATAGTTTTTTTCAGTACGATAAAGTCATATATAGCTGTATCATTTCAAACATGAAACAACAGGAAATTTCACTATCAATATTTTAACTCTGGATATGAAACTGCAATCGAGGAACCTTATAATTAATGCATGCTCCCGCTGTACATACTAATTGCTTTTATTATCAAGGGGATGTAAGGTAGGGATGATCCCCCAACGATGCCAGCGAGCTTAAAGATCACCTTCCTCCCAATTCCGCCTGCTTAAATCAATAAAATCCTTCAGAAGATCCGTTAAGTCTTAATAACTAGAGCTTCGTAAAAAATGGTTCACGAGCGTATTCACAGAACAAATTCCTCTTACCTCGACGCTTACAATTTTAATTCCCCAATGCTTTACAATAGACCCTGCAAAGCAGCTAATAAATGCGTCGATATAAACTACATGGTGGTATTAATTGGTATAAGCTTAGAGCTCCAAGCGAAACTAAAAGGGTATCTAATATTTGCGCTTCTGATTTATAACTGTATCAAAATAATCCCCAATTCTCATTACAGCCATGTTGCCAGAACCTGAAAATATCAACCCGTGTATACCATCTCCTTGCGGAATAAATGCTCTTTGTAAAGAAAGAAATGGAGCTGGTTCTTGTATTTGTCTCCCTGAATATGTAGGTAATCCCTATGATAAGTGCCGACCAGAATGTGTTCAAAATTCAGATTGTCCATCAACCAGAGCTTGTATAAGAAATAAATGTACAGACCCATGCCCCGGTACTTGTGGTCCACAAGCTTTCTGCCGCGTTATCAACCACTCACCATCTTGCACCTGTATTGAGGGGTATATTGGAGATCCATTCAAATACTGTAGCATTCCTGCCCAAGAACGTAAGATTATGCCCTAATTGATGATATTCAATAATTAATGTGATTGCTTTCCCAATAGCCGTGCGTGATACAATTGATTCCAACCCTTGTCAACCATCTCCATGTGGACCAAACAGTGAATGCAGAAAAATAAATAATCAAGCTGTTTGCTCCTGTTCTCCCAACTATATAGGTAGCCCACCAGTATGTAGACCAGAATGTGTAGTGAGCACTGAATGTATTCCAAGTAAAGCATGTATCAACCAAAAGTGCGTCGATCCTTGCCTTGGAACTTGCGGGCTCAATTCAAAATGCCAAGTTATTAATCACAGTCCCATCTGTTCTTGCCAAATACGATACACAGGGGATCCATTCTTGAGGTGTTACCCAATACCCCGTGAGTTTGATCTAATTTGTGTTATTTCATTTAGGTACTAAACATGTATTTTCAGCACCGATGCTCATACCAGAATCTATAACTACACAACAACCCTGCAGTCCGTCACCCTGTGGACCCAATTCCCAATGTAAAGATTCCGGTGGATTTCCGTCTTGTACTTGTTTACCAGAATTCATAGGTAGTCCGCCAAATTGCAGGCCTGAGTGTACAATAAACCCAGATTGTCCTAGCAGTTTGGCGTGTATTCGACAAAAATGCATTGATCCTTGTCCAGGATCATGTGGAGTAAATGCTAACTGTTACGTATTGAATCATAATTCTATTTGTACGTGTCCAGTAGATTTTACAGGTGATCCTTTCACAAATTGTTATGCTGAACAAAAAGACATTGAACCAATTAAAAATTACGATCCCTGCTACCCATCTCCTTGTGGCCCGAATGCTCTTTGCGACAATGGTTTATGTACTTGTTTAAAGGAATATCATGGTGACCCATACAGAGGTTGTAGACCAGAATGTGTTTTGAATTATGACTGTCCAAAAAATAAAGCATGTTTGAAAAATCGTTGCTTGGATCCCTGTCACGGCACATGTGCAAGTACTGCAATCTGCCAAGTTATAAATCACATACCAATGTGCAGTTGCCCACCAGATACTACAGGAAATGCATTTATCACATGCAGGGTAATAAGAAGTACGTATTTATTCAAATAGCCTAGAACTGAAATTAATATTGCACTATTTTAGCCCCACCAGAACAAAATCCTTGCAACCCATCACCTTGTGGTCCAAATAGTCAGTGCAGAGAAATAAATGGTCAGGCAGTGTGTTCATGTGTATCCAGTTATATAGGCAGCCCCCCAACTTGTAGGCCTGAATGTGTAATTAGTTCTGAGTGTTCTTTGCTACAAGCTTGTGTCAACCAAAAATGCATCAATCCTTGTCCTGGAACGTGCGGGATAAATGCAAAATGCCAAGTTATAAATCACAATCCCATATGTTCTTGTCCTTCCAGTTTTATAGGTGACCCATTCACCAGATGTATTCCAAAACGTAAGAATGAAAGCAACAGTCCATTAGAAAAGCTTAACAATTTCATTTCAGCCCTAGAGGAGCCTATAATAGTTTCCAAAAATCCATGTCTCCCATCCCCGTGTGGACCAAACTCCATTTGTAGGCAAACTGGTGATTCGCCATCATGTTCTTGTTTGCCAGAATATGTTGGTGCTCCTCCCAATTGCCGGCCAGAATGTGTGACAAATAGTGAATGCTCATTTGAATTAGCATGTATCAACAGAAAATGTGCCAATCCTTGTCTCGGAATTTGTGGGCAGAACACAGATTGTAAAGTTATTAGCCACACCCCGAACTGCATATGTGTGACTGGTTATGAAGGAGATCCATTTATACAATGTTCAAAAATTGAACGCCCTGCAGTCGAAATATCGAGGAATCCGTGCAATCCCTCTCCTTGCGGGTCTAATGCGATTTGTAAAGATCGGAATGGAGTTGGAGCTTGTGTTTGTTTGCCAGATTATCTTGGAAACCCTTATGAAGGCTGCCGCCCAGAATGCATACTGAATTCGGATTGTCCATCAAGCAAAGCATGCATAAGAAATAAATGCATAGATCCTTGCCCTGGTACATGCGGCCAGAATACGAATTGTCAAGTAATCAACCATATTCCGGCTTGTACTTGTAATTCTGGATACAGTGGAGATCCATTCAGATATTGCAGTATCTCATCTGAACGTAAGATGTTCATTGAGAAATAAGTGATTTTATATAAATAATGAATATCATTTCAGCTCCCAGGGAAGTCATTCAAAATTCATGTGAACCGTCTCCATGTGGACCAAATAGTCAATGTCGCATTGTCAATGATCAAACAGTCTGCTCATGTTTACCCAATTATACCGGTACTCCTCCGGATTGTAGGCCAGAATGCACAGTCAGTTCCGAATGTGCACAAAATAAGGCGTGTGTTAATCAAAAATGTATTGATCCTTGTTCAGGAACCTGTGGTTTGAAATCTGAATGCAGAGTAATAAATCATAGCCCTATTTGTAGCTGTCTTGGAGGTTTCACAGGAAACCCATTTACCAGGTGCCTTCCCATAATAGGTAAGATCAAATATTCCTTATCAAATGTTTTTCTACGATGTATATTTCCCATAGTTCATGAGCAAGAAATCGTTCCCATAGTAACTGATCCTTGTGTACCATCGCCTTGTGGTCCGTACAGTTTATGTAGAGATTTCATGGGATCACCATCTTGTTCGTGTGCAGATAACTATATTGGAAGTCCACCAAATTGTAGACCTGAATGTACAATCAATGCCGATTGCGCTAGTAACTTGGCATGTATTCGAGAAAAATGTCGGGATCCTTGCCCAGGTTCGTGTGGAACCGAAGCGCAATGTAATGTTGTTTCTCATACGCCAATGTGTACTTGCCCAGAAGGATTCACTGGAGATCCTTTCAACTATTGTCTAGTGATGCCACAAGAAATTGAACCAGTAATAAACGATCCATGCAATCCGAGCCCATGTGGTCCAAATAGCCTCTGTAAAGAAGGAACTTGTAGCTGTTTGCCAGAATATAATGGCGATCCTTACAGAGGATGTAGACCTGAATGTGTTTTGAACAGTGATTGTTCCAAAAATATGGCATGTATGAGAAATAAATGTGTGGATCCTTGTCCAGGAACCTGTGGATTGAATGCCGTGTGTACTACTTTCAATCATATTCCTATGTGCACGTGTCTTGAAGGTTACAAAGGAAATGCTTTCGTTATGTGTAAACCTATTCCAGGTAAATTAAGGTTGAGACATTTTATCTAGGTATGTAATTAATTTTATGCATTTCAGACGATTTACCTAAAAATCCATGCAATCCAAGTCCTTGCGGACCGAATAGTCAATGTAAAGGAATGAATGGCCAAGCTGTTTGTTCTTGTGTATTGGGTTATATTGGTAGTCCTCCTACCTGTAGACCTGAATGTATTACAAATATGGAATGTCGTCTCGATCAGGCATGTGTAAATCAAAAATGTATTGATCCCTGTCCAGGAACTTGTGGTTTGAATGCCAAGTGCCAAGTAGTCAATCATAATCCAATATGCTCGTGTCCAATCAAATATACCGGAGATCCATTCACAAGATGTTTAGAAATACGTAAGCATGAAAATGTTTAATCGAAAGTATGATTAAATATGGAACTTTTTATTCAGATGCGGAGCCAGTGAGTGACGTTCCCATTAATCCATGTCAACCTTCTCCTTGTGGCCCAAATGCGGAATGTAGAGTAACTGGAGATTCTCCATCTTGCTCTTGTCTGGCAGATTTCATTGGGACACCACCAAATTGCCGTCCAGAGTGCATTAGTAATACTGAATGTTCCATGCATTTGGCATGTATCAACAAAAGGTGTAAGGATCCTTGTCCAGGTATTTGTGGTTTAAATGCAGAATGTCGAGTAGTTAGCCACACACCAAATTGTGTCTGTTCGCCTGGATACTTTGGAGATCCATTCAGTCAGTGCAATAGTCAAGATCCCGTGAGAGAAGTTTTGAATCCCTGCCAACCTTCACCTTGTGGAGTGAACGCAGTGTGTAAAGAGAAAAATTTTGCGGGATCATGCGTTTGTGCACCAGAATACATCGGCAACCCATATGAGGAATGTAGACCTGAATGTTCAATAAACTCAGATTGTCCTTCAAATAAAGCATGTGTGAGGAACAAATGTCAAGATCCTTGTCCAGGAGCGTGTTCACCAAACGCCAATTGTCAAGTTTTAAACCATTTACCTGCATGTACATGTATTATTGGATACACGGGAGACCCGTTTCGATATTGTTATTTAGTTGTTGAAAAACGTAAGAAACCATTATACTCTCCAAATTATTTATTGATATTTGATTTTTGTCGTAGCTGAAAATGAAAAATCTCAAAACCCATGTTTTCCATCACCATGTGGCCCAAACAGTCAATGTCGTGAAATTAACAGCCAAGCAGTTTGTTCGTGTCTCCCTAATTATATAGGTAGCCCACCAGGTTGCCGACCCGAATGTACAGTCAGCTCAGAATGTACAATGGAAACATCCTGCGTTAATCACAAATGTATTGACCCATGTCCAGGAGTCTGTGGAGTAAATACACATTGTCACGTTATCAAACATAGTCCCATTTGTAGCTGTCAAGACGGATACACCGGAGATCCGTTCACAAAATGTTTCCGTATACCTCGTAAGCCAGTAAATATTGACATTGATTTCCTGAATCTATAGAGTAAAATTTCAGCTCCACGACCAAAACCAATTATTGAGGCAACCTTGACTCCTTGCATTCCATCTCCATGTGGTCCTAATTCACAATGTAGGGAAATAGGAAACTCTCCTGCGTGTTCTTGTTTGCCAGAATTTCTTGGGAGTCCACCAAATTGCAGGCCAGAATGTAGTATCAGTTCTGATTGTACAAGTAATCTGGCATGTATTCGTAATAAATGCACAGATCCATGTCCAGGCTCTTGTGGAGCAGGAGCTCAATGTACAGTTTTCAGCCATACTCCAATTTGTTCCTGTCCTGATGGATATACTGGTGATCCATTCAGTTTCTGTCAGTTGAAACCTCCAACAGGTACTAATGTTTTTATTTCGATGAATATTCAAAGTAATCTATCCGATCTTCTTTTAGCTGTAGAGCCTGAAGAAACTGATCCTTGCACTCCTTCACCTTGCGGTGTAAATGCAAAATGTGAAAATGGAATATGCTCATGTTTAAATGAATATCAAGGCGATCCTTATCGGGGTTGCAGACCAGAATGTGTACTGAGTTCCGATTGTTCCAGAGATAAATCTTGTATTAATAATAAATGCAAAGATCCATGTCCTGGTATATGTGGTCAGAATGCGGTATGCAATGTCATCAATCACATTCCGATGTGTTCCTGCCTTGAAAAATATGAAGGCAATGCTTTCTTGGGTTGTTTACCAATTAGAGGTGATTATATTTCTTCATCGTTAACTTGAAACATTATATTGACAGATATTTTCCTCTTAGTCGAAATGAAGGACAATCCATGCCATCCATCACCGTGTGGTCCCAATAGCCGATGTAGAGAAATAAATGGTCAGGCCGTTTGTTCATGTGTACCAGGATATATTGGAAGTCCTCCAATATGCAGACCCGAGTGTGTAACTAGTCAGGAGTGTTCTCTAAGTCAGTCTTGTTTGAATCAAAAGTGTATAGATCCATGTACAGGAACGTGTGGTATTCATGCCAATTGTCAAGTGGTTAATCATAATCCCATATGTTCCTGCCCGGAACGATTTTCAGGGGATCCTTTTATCAGATGTTCACCATTCCGTAAGCATATATATATTTTTGAAGTCACAAATACAACTGCATTGTCTTTTTTTAGAAGAACCAGTTATTCAGGAAAATCCCTGCCAGCCTTCACCTTGCGGTGCAAACGCTCAATGTAAACCCATAGGAGATAGTCCATCTTGTTCGTGTCTTCCTAATTTCGTAGGGTCGCCACCTCATTGTAGACCGGAATGCGTCAGTAATAATGAATGTGCTAATAATCTAGCCTGTATCAATCTGAAATGTACAGATCCTTGTCCTGGAATTTGCGGGAAAAACGCAGAATGTAGAGTCATAAGTCATACTCCAAATTGTTTCTGTATTTTGGATTATCAAGGTGATCCATTCAGGGAATGTTTTTCACGACCAAGTAAGATACTCGAACATTGCATATTTCTAATTTATCAATATCTATGAATAATAACGTTATTTCAGCTCAAATGATTCAAGAGCACATATCTCCTTGTTCGCCGTCACCTTGTGGCGCAAATGCCCAATGTAAAGAACAAGCTGGTGCTGGATCTTGTACATGTTTCACAGACTATATTGGAAATCCATATGAAGGTTGTAGACCTGAGTGCGTGCTCAGCTCAGATTGTTCCTATAATCAGGCTTGCATCAAAAATAAATGTCAAGATCCCTGTCCTGGAACTTGTGGTCAGAATGCAAATTGCCAAGTCGTTAACCATTTACCGTCATGCACATGCATTGCCGGTTACACTGGTGATCCTTTCAAATACTGCAATTTACTCTCTCAACAACGTAAGTTCTTTTCCTTATCAGTCGTGAGCATAAGATATATATAATGTGTTAACTCTTGTAGCCATACGAGATGAAATCACCTCAGTTCCTTGTCAGCCAAGTCCTTGTGGGCCAAACAGCAAATGTCGTGATATAAACGGTCAATCAGTGTGCTCGTGCCTACCAAATTATATAGGCAGTCCACCAGGATGTAGGCCAGAATGTACGGTCAGTGCTGAATGTCCTCAAACAAAGGCATGTGTGAATCAAAAATGTAAGGATCCTTGTCCAGGAACATGTGGTGTGAATGCTAACTGTCAAGTAATAAACCACAGTCCAATTTGCAGTTGTAAATCGGTATTTACAGGGGATCCATTCACGAGATGCTACCTAATGCCTAGTAAGTTTTTGATAGTTATCGACAAGCATTACCTTCATTGAATTTTTATTACAGTACCTCTGCCTTCCGTTACGATAGTCCCAACAAATCCCTGTGTTCCTTCGCCGTGTGGTCCAAATAGTCAATGTAGAGATATTGGTGGAATACCATCGTGTTCGTGTTTGCCAAATTATTCTGGAAGTCCACCAAATTGTAGACCAGAATGTTCTATAAATAGCGAATGTTCCAGTAATTTGGCTTGCATAAGAGAAAAATGCAGAGATCCTTGTCCTGGTTCATGCGGATCAAGTGCTTTATGTGCAGTTATCAATCACACTCCAGTTTGTTCTTGTCCAGAAGAATATACTGGAGATCCATTTACATACTGTCAGCCGAAACCACAAGAAACGGAACCTATAAATGAAGATCCATGCAATCCGTCACCTTGTGGTCCAAACACCGAATGTGACAATGGAATATGTACTTGTTTAGAAGAATACTATGGAGATCCCTACAGTGGTTGTAGACCGGAATGTCTACTGAATAATGACTGTTCACGAGACAAGGCATGTCTGAAAAATAAATGCCAAAACCCATGCGCTGGCACCTGTGGCCAGAACGCAGAATGCAGTGTTATTAATCATATACCAATGTGTTCTTGTATAGAGGGCTACAGCGGAAATGCGTTCGTATCATGCAGAAAAATCGAACGTGAGTTTCATTGTTTCATCTTATTAAATGGCTTCTAACTTTTTCAATATTCAGATCCACCACCTCAAAACCCCTGTTCTCCATCTCCATGTGGACCGAATAGTCAGTGTAAAGGAATCAACGGCCAGGCAATTTGTTCTTGCGTACCTGGATTTATTGGTAGTCCTCCAACTTGTAGGCCAGAATGCATAACAAGTTCTGAATGCTCTCTCAACGAAGCATGTCTTAACCAAAAATGCATAAATCCTTGTCTTGGATCATGTGGTGTAGGAGCGCACTGTCAAGTGGTGAATCATAACCCTATATGTAGTTGTCCAATAAAATTTACTGGTGATCCATTTACTAGATGCCTGCTAATACGTAAGATAATTAGAACGTTTTTTTTTTCAATATAAACTTTTTTTATTTGTAGAAGAAGAACAACCTGTAATCGTAACAAATCCTTGTCAACCAACTCCTTGCGGTCCGAATTCTCAATGTAAAGAAATTAATGGCTCTCCATCATGTTCCTGTCTACCAGAAACTATAGGATCTCCTCCCAATTGTAGGCCAGAATGTATTAGCAACGGCGAGTGTGCCAACCACTTAGCATGTATTAACCAGAAGTGCAAAGATCCTTGTCTAAATACTTGTGGGCTCAACTCTGAATGTAGAGTAATTAGTCATACACCAAATTGTATATGTTTAATAGGATTTGTTGGGGATCCATTTAGTCACTGTATGCCGGAGACACCTCTTAAAAATGAAATATTATCTCCTTGTTCTCCATCCCCTTGTGGATCAAACGCACAATGTAGAGAACAAAATGGCGCTGGTGCTTGTATATGCTTACCAGATTACTTAGGTAACCCTTACGAAGGTTGCCGGCCGGAATGTGTTCTGAACACAGATTGTTCGTACGATAAGGCCTGCGTTAACCACAAATGTATAGACCCCTGTCCTGGGACCTGCGGAATGAATGCCCTCTGCCAAGTAGTAAATCACATACCGTCTTGTACATGCATGACTGAATACACTGGAAACCCGTTTAAATACTGTACTTTCATTAAACGTAAGATATTTTTATTGCTTAAAGGTAGTAGGTATACATAATATTAAATAAATTTTTTAGCAACTCTTGCAGAAGAACCATATAACGTATGTCAACCATCTCCCTGTGGGGCAAACAGTCAATGTAGGGAGATAAATAATCAAGCTGTATGTTCTTGTTTGCCAAACTATATTGGAATACCACCAGGTTGTAAACCAGAATGCGTTATTAATAGTGAATGTACTCCTAACAAAGCTTGTGTTAATCAGAAATGTATTGATCCATGTTCTGGGACTTGTGGAAAAAACACAAACTGTAGAGTGATTAACCACAGTCCTATATGTTCCTGTCAGCCAGGAAAAACAGGAAATCCATTCACTAGATGTACTTCAATACCACGTAAGATCTAAGTAGGAGTATAACGCAGTTTATATAGTTTCTATTTCTACAGCACTGGAACCGTCATACAAACCAACTGTTTTTCATCCATGCCAACCTTCTCCTTGTGGACCAAATAGTGAATGTCGAGAGGTGAATGGTTTGCCATCTTGCTCCTGTGCTTCAACATTCAAAGGACACCCTCCTAATTGCCGACCCGAATGTTCTATCAATTCAGAATGTCTCAGCAATTTAGCGTGCATAGAAGAAAAATGTAGAAATCCTTGCATAGGTGCATGTGGTGTAAATGGCAAATGCAGTGTTTTTAATCATACTCCAATGTGTACTTGTCCGGAAGGGTATACTGGAGATCCCTTCAGTTCTTGCTATTTTAAACCTATTGATCGTATGTACCCAAACATTAAGGCTTCATTTTTTAAACCAACAAATTATTGTCTTGATTATCATACAGGATGCTACATTTTTTAAACTTTCTAGTCAAGAAGAACTGATATAAAATTCTTCAATTTTTGAAGATCCTATTTACAGATACTTAGTGACAAAGACATTTATGAAAAAGAAGACCCTTTATCACTTTCCATTAAAAAGTGAATGAGTGAAATGCTTATCTACAGTAGGAGATTGATAGATGATAGATTTATTTCTCCTGAATTTTTTAAGTTCCCTAATATCGAATGCTACGAGCTGTCAGGAAACAAATGCACATTTTCAAAACCTAAAGAAACGGTATATATTTCTAGTGTAACTTGTTTACTCTCAGATGATAACCAGTATGACAGTGGCTAAACCTCGGATATTTGATCCTAAGAGGGATAGTCAGTCGATAATCTGTTAAGTCAGTAGATGACCAGTGTATCAGCTAGCATACACTCTTAAAGCCTGAGATGTGCTGGATGAAATTTCGAGTTTGGCAGTTGATGGATAACTTGTAATGCTTTTAGCAAATGTGTCGTTTTAGTTTCTTAAATACCAATGTGTGTTCATCATCCTCTGACTAGATGGTGACAGATGTTTCAACAGCTGACACATCAAATAATTCTCTAAAAATCAGTAAGTCTTGGCTTTTGAGAATGGTAAGACTACCGCCTCACCCAAGTCTCTATGAAACTTTTTAGGATTAATCAGAGAGGAAAGCAACTAATTGGAGGTTATAACGATTTTCATATTAGTTTGTATTTCGATTTTTCACCTTTCATTCATGGACTATTATTGGCGTTCTCCGAGTAGACGGAGAACGTGTGTCAGATCTATTTACGTTCTCAAATATATGATTTTGTGAGATTTTAAAAGGCCTGTATCTTTTATGATGATGAAGATAACAATATTCAGATTCCTCAGTGAATGTTGGGATCACTAAATATACAACTCATTTCAATTCCTTTCAGAAACACCCGTAAAAGATGATCCTTGTAATCCATTCCCATGTGGGTCAAATGCACAATGTGACGATGGCATTTGTACATGTTTACATGAATATCATGGAGATCCTTACGCAGGATGTAGGCCTGAATGTGTTTTAAGCAATGAATGTCCAAGAGAGAAGGCTTGTGTAAAAAATAAATGCATTGATCCTTGTCAAGGAATATGTGGTCAAAATGCCCAATGCAATATATTCAACCACATTCCAATGTGTTCTTGTCCTTTGGGTTACACAGGAAGTGCATTCGTTCAATGCTCAAAAATTCAAGGTATTTTTGAATTATTCTGTTTTTGTTCAGACATAAAACTTCATATTTCAGAACCGATTATGAGAAATCCCTGTAGCCCAACCCCATGTGGACCTAATAGCCAATGCAAGGAAGTAAATCAACAAGCAGTATGCTCATGTTTATTGGGTTATATTGGTAGTCCACCAACTTGTAGACCAGAATGTGTTTCTAGTTCAGAATGCCCCCTTAATGAAGCATGTGTCAATCAGAAATGTATAGATCCTTGTCCAGGTACATGTGGAATAAATGCAAAATGTCAAACAGTGAATCATAATCCTATATGTAGTTGCCCGGTTAGATTCTCCGGTGACCCATTCTCGAGATGTTATGTTTTCGGTAAGATCATACTCAATTATTTTGAAAATAATCTGTAATGAAAATTTCTATTCAAGAACCTGTTGAAGATTCATCTGATCCATGTCAGCCGTCACCTTGTGGCCCAAATGCACAATGCAGAGTAACAAACGGGTCTCCTTCCTGCACTTGTCTAGAAGGATTCGTTGGATTTTCACCTAATTGTAGACCAGAATGTGTCAGTAATAGTGAATGTGCTAGTCAATTAGCTTGCATTAACCAAAAATGTAGGGATCCCTGTCCTGGAACTTGTGGCCAGAATGCAAATTGTAAAGTTGTTAGTCATACGCCAATTTGCGTTTGCACAGTGGGTTTTACCGGTGACCCATTCCTCATTTGTAATGTGATACAAATCCTACGTCCAGTCGAGAATGTATCTCCTTGCATTCCATCACCCTGCGGTGCTAACGCACAATGTAAAGTAAAACTTGGAGCAGGAGCGTGTATATGTCTGCCAGATTACATCGGAAATCCGTATGAAGGCTGTAGACCAGAATGTATTTTGAATTCAGACTGCCCTTCAAACAAAGCTTGTGTAAGAAGTAAGTGTACGGATCCTTGCCCTGGCACTTGTGGCCACGGAGCAAGTTGTCAAGTTATCAATCACTTGCCGTCGTGTACCTGTCTGGAAGGGTTAACAGGAGATCCATTTACCCATTGTACTTTTCCAATTCAAGAAAAACGTAAGAAAGTTTTGACTTTTGAAAAACTTTTTTGAATAAAGTAAATTCTATTTTAGCATTGGAGGATGACGTTTCTAGTAACCCGTGTCATCATTCACCTTGTGGCCCAAATAGCCAGTGTCGCGAAATTAATCAGCAGGCAGTGTGCTCGTGCCTACCAAATTACGTTGGAAGCCCTCCTGGGTGTAGGCCAGAGTGTACAGTCAGTTCAGAGTGTTCTCGAAACCAAGCTTGCCTTAACAAGAAATGTACAGACCCTTGTCCTGGAACATGTGGTCAAAATACAGAATGCCAAGTAATGAATCATAGTCCAATTTGCAGCTGTCGAGAAAATTACAGTGGAGATCCATTCACTAGATGTTTCCACATACCAAGTAAAGTATACATGTTTGGCTATTTTTTCCTTAATCTCCCTTATTTTGCTATTTTAGCACCGCCACCAACACAACCCATCGAGTTAGTAAGAGATCCTTGTTTTCCATCACCATGCGGCCCAAATTCGCAATGTATTAACCTAGGTGGTTCTCATTTTTGTTCTTGTTTACAAAATTTTGTTGGCAGCCCTCCAAATTGCCGGCCAGAATGTTCCATCAATTCTGAATGTCCCAGTAATTTGGCATGTATCATAAATAAATGTAAAGATCCATGTACTGGATCTTGTGGTTCATTTTCATCTTGTACTGTGACTAATCATATACCAATTTGTACTTGCATTGAAGGATATACTGGAGATCCGTTCACATACTGTCAACCAAAGCCACCTATATGTAAGTTAGAAAAATTCACCGAGAACTCGAAATGGTTAAAAATGATATGATATTTCAGCAACAATTCAGGCAGATATAGATCCATGCAGCAGGTCACCTTGCGGATTCAATGCACATTGTGAAGAAGGTGTATGCACATGTCTGCCAGATTATCAGGGAGATCCTTATAGAGGCTGTAGACCAGAATGTGTCCTCAATAATGATTGTCCCAAAATCAAAGCATGTGTGAGGAATAAGTGTATTGATCCTTGTCCTGGAACTTGTGGACAAAATGCTGAATGTTCAGTACTCAATCATATTCCTATGTGTACATGCCTTCCAGGATATATAGGAAATGCATTCATATTATGTAATCGGGTAGTATCTGAAATTATTAATGTTTGCAATCCATCACCATGTGGTCCAAACAGCCAGTGTAGAGAAATAAATAGTCAAGCAGTATGCTCCTGTGTAGTAGGGTTCATCGGAAGTCCACCATCTTGTAGACCCGAATGTATTACCAGTTCTGAATGTTCAATAGATCGGGCATGTGTTAATCAGAAATGTGAAAACCCATGTTTGGGTACTTGTGGCTTGGGAGCTCAATGCCAAGTTGTGAATCATAACCCTATATGCAGCTGTCCTGTAAGATACTCTGGAGATCCATTCATAAGATGCTATCCAAGGCGTAAGATTCCACCCCATTCAATAAAACTTTCACTTTACCTTTCCATTATTTTAGCATTACAAGACCCAGTCGTGGTAGACCCTTGCAATCCATCACCATGCGGCCCAAATTCACAGTGTAAAGAAGTAAACGATTCACCATCATGTTCTTGTTTAGAGCAATTCATTGGCTCTCCTCCGAATTGTCGGCCAGAGTGTGTTAGTAATAGCGAATGCTCAAATCATCTGGCTTGCATCAATCAGAAATGTAAAGACCCGTGTCCAGGAGTCTGTGGTCAAAATGCAGAATGCAAAGTTGTCAGTCATACACCCAACTGCATTTGTTTGTTCAATTATATTGGTAACCCATTCATTGAGTGCCAGCCGAGACCAAGTAAGAATAATAAAAATTCACTTAGTAGACCCCATCAAATCTCTTCTTCTAAATTTAATATATATGATTTTAGTTCCCCCTGTTCCGGAGATCACGAGACCTTGTTCACCTTCTCCTTGTGGTCCCAATGCCCAGTGTAGGGAACAAAATAATGCAGGAGCCTGTACGTGTCTACCCGACTTCATTGGAAATCCTTATGAGGGATGTAGACCTGAATGTAGTGTTAATTCAGATTGTATTTCAAGCAAGGCTTGTATAAGAAATAAATGTAGGGATCCTTGTCCCGGAATCTGCGCACAAAATGCCGATTGTCATGTATTGAATCATCTTCCAATATGTACTTGTGATGATGGATATACAGGAGACCCATTTACTTATTGTAATTTATTAGTTCATGACCGTAAGTAGATATAGGTCATACCATACAAACCATAATGCAAGTTTCGTTCAATTTTAGCGATTAAAAACAACACGATATACAATCCCTGTCAAACATCGCCTTGTGGTCCATACAGTCTTTGCAAAGAAGTGAATAATCAGGCTGTTTGTACATGTTTACCTAATTACAGCGGAAGTCCACCGGATTGTAGACCAGAATGTATTATCAGCGGAGAATGTCCCCAAAATAAAGCTTGTGTTAATCAAAAATGTATCGATCCATGTGTCGGATCTTGTGGTTCTAACGCTGATTGTAAAGTAATCAATCATAGTCCGATTTGTAGCTGTAGATATGAATTCACAGGAGATCCATTTTCTAGATGCTATTCTCTACCACGTAAGAAATACATAGTATATTCATCATATCGATATCCTCATATTAATCGTTATTTTTCAGCCCCACAAGCTATTCAAAACCAAAACCCCTATGAAAATTCATGTGTGCCATCACCTTGTGGACCGAATAGTCAATGTAGGGAAATAGGGATGACCCCATCATGCTCATGTTTACCAAATTATTTCGGAAGCCCACCTAATTGTAGACCTGAATGTATAGTAAATTCGGATTGCCCCAGTAACCTAGCGTGCATTCGAGAAAATTGTAAAGATCCTTGCCCTGGTTCTTGTGGCTCGGCTGCTTTTTGTAGCGTTATTAATCATATACCAATTTGTTCCTGTCCTGAGGGATATACTGGTGACCCGTTCAGTTTTTGTCAACCCAAACCTCCAACACGTATGCATAATTTCTCTAGAAGAAATAATTTGATTTTAATACAATAATATTTCAGTGGAAGAACCGTTAGAAAGTGATCCCTGTAACCCGTCGCCGTGTGGAGCAAACACCCGATGTGATGAAGGCATTTGCACGTGTTTACCAGAATATCATGGTGATCCTCTTAGGGGATGTAGACCAGAGTGTGTTTTGAATAATGATTGTCCTAGAGACAAAACTTGTCTCAGGAATAAATGCGTTAATCCCTGCATAAATACATGTGGACAGAATGCAGAATGTTCTGTCAGTAACCATATAGCTATATGTTCTTGCCTTCCAGGTTTTCAAGGCAATGCGTTCGTACATTGTTCAAAATTACCAGGTAAAAATCAAATATGCTTTGATCCACATATAACATTTAACCAATTATTCAGTTTTATATCGCAAGTTTTTATGTTTGAAAAGATAGAAAAAGATCTATCAATTTGGTAATGAATTTCATACATGATACAGCAAATTCAGATATCCTTCCCATAAATTTTGAGTACAAGGTGACAATTTTCAGCTTCTATTGTGACGAACCCATGTATTCCCTCACCTTGTGGTCCAAACAGTCAGTGTAAACAAGTAAATGGACAAGCAGTGTGTTCTTGTGTACCAGGATTTATAGGAAGCCCTCCACTCTGTAGACCAGAATGTATTTCAAGTTCAGAATGCCGACTTAATGAGGCGTGTTTCAATCAGAAATGCATTAACCCTTGTGCTGGAACCTGTGGTATTGACGCTCTCTGTCAAGTAGTCAATCACAACCCGATTTGTAGTTGCCCATCTAGATTATCAGGTGACCCTTTCTTCAGATGTTCCCTGATAAGTAAGTAGTCTTTACGTGAAATTTGCGGAATAGGGAAGTAAATAAGACAATTTATTTCACAGTACAACAACCAACAATATCAGATAACCCCTGTGAACCATCGCCATGTGGTTCTAACGCGGAGTGTAGAGTGATAGGAGATCAGCCATCCTGCTCTTGTCTTGACAGTTTTATTGGTTCACCGCCCAATTGTAGACCTGAATGTATCAGTAATAGTGAATGTGCTAGCCACCTTGCTTGCATCAATCAAAAATGTAAAGATCCATGTCCTGGCGTGTGTGGACAAAATGCGGAATGCCGTGCTATTAGTCATACACCCAACTGCGTTTGTATCTCAGGTTACATAGGAGATCCCTTTTCTCGTTGCTCTATACCACCATGTGAGTTTATATCCACCGTATATTAGCTGCACAATTATGAAAAAACTAATATTCAATGGCTTACGTAAACACTAATGAGATAGAAATAATCGATAACTTTTGAAACCTTTTCAGCTCCACCCCCTGAAAATATTTCACCCTGTACCCCATCACCGTGTGGAGCTAATGCTTTATGTAGAGAACAAAACAATGCAGGTTCGTGTATATGCTTACCAGAATATATTGGCAATCCTTATGAGGGATGCAGGCCTGAATGTATCCTCAATTCGGATTGTTCTTCTGATAAAGCATGTGTGAGAAATAAGTGTCAAGACCCTTGTCCAGGAACTTGTGGACAAAATGCAGTTTGCCAAGTTATTGGTCATCTACCTTCTTGTACGTGTATCTCGGGATATACTGGCGATCCATTCAGATATTGCGTTATGTCACCACCTGAAAGTAAGAAATCTTGAAATTATATTTTATGAAGCAAAATTCACAAGAAAATGTTTTTCCTTAGCAATATACAACGAAACACTACAATATCCATGCGAACCATCCCCTTGCGGCCCTAATAGTCAATGTAAAGAAGTTAATAAACAGGCAGTATGCTCTTGTTTGGCAAATTATATCGGTTCCCCACCAGCCTGTCGACCAGAATGTGTTGTGAGCTCGGAATGTGCAAGAAACAAAGCATGCATAAATCAAAAATGTTCAGATCCGTGTCCAGGGTCATGCGGTCTTAACTCTGAATGTGAAACTATAAACCATAGCCCAATTTGTATCTGCACCTCTGGATATACTGGTGATCCATTTGCGAGATGTTTTCCTATTCCACGTAAGTTTGTTAGAAATTCACGGTTTCATGTAATATGAAATAATTACAAAGCAAATCCAACTAATTTGATTTCTTTATCAGATTAATTCATGAGGAATTGCATTTTTGAAAATTGACTGGAACTGGCCAAAACTTGATGAAAATCCATATCAAAACTTAATAATGAGATTTATTTCGATGTTCACTACAAAAGGTTTATAAAATCGCGACATGTGTTTCGCTATACAAAAGTTTTCTCAACAGGATTTTATTAACTAATTTTAGATTGAAACATATTCTCAAAACGTTACTATGATCTATGTTTCGATCAGATAAATAATTCTAATCTAATTTGAACAACCTGAAAAGAGCAGAAACAATCATTACATCAACTCGTAGTAGAAGCAGGTAAATACAAGTGAAAATACTCTAGTAAAAATTATGTGAAAAACAAGTCAGTAATGAATGTTACATATTGATTTTTTTAGGACGATAAAAGATGATTGACTGGTGAAAACATATTAAGTAACGGGGAGCTATTTAACTCAATTTGATCGTTCAATAGATATTGGCAATTTTTGTACTTCATTTCAATACTTTCCATAAGGTCAACTTTCAAACCATTCTTCTGATAATAAAGAGTTTTGAATTCATGATTGACTCATGTCCCTCTCTAAAGAGATGACTAGCATACTTTGAATTCATTGTTCCATTCTGGAAACTGTTTTTATGTTCTTCAATGCATGCTTCAAATGATCTTCAAGTTTGACCTATATAAAACTTCGGACATGAACCACAAGACATTTCATACATTCCTGATCTATCTGACACCAAACTCCTAATAATAATAATAAATAGACTTCATTTGTCATCATACAAAGGTGTAAATAATAAATAATATTTTAAATGAAGATGAGTTAACGAGAGTTCAGCATTAGCTGAAGATTCGCCATCGAAAGTAGTTTTAATAAAACTACAACTGGAAGGGTAATGTGTCGTTTACGATTTGCATTCTTTCTGAAGTTCTCGGAAAATGTCTTCAAACTTTTTCTCGAATCCTTCAAACTTTCTGTCGACTCCTTCAAACTTTGTTTCCTGAAATACTTTTTACTGCGTCAAATTTTTTGTCGACTCCGTCAAACTTTTTGTCGACTCCTTCAAACTTTGTTTCCTGAAATACTTTTCCAAATTTTTCCTGAATATATTTCTGTACCTCCTCTTTACTCACTTGAGAAGATTTTAAATCTTCCAATAAATGAAGGTACATCTAATTGTCTTTTTTCTGTTTTACCTGAATACCTAGTAGTATTTCACGATCTTCATTTCAGCGTCATTGTTCTTCCTCTCTTTTGCCTTCATCTTCCTGTCTTCTGCGTACATCTTCCTTTCTTCTGCGATTTTTATTCTCCGTCAGGCCCGCTTGCAAAGCCTCGAACATTTTCTCAAGCTCTTCCATCTCGTCGTAATTGGCAATTGACACTTTTTGTTTTTACCATAAAACAGTAAATTTTTAGTCAATTGTCCCACTTCTGACACCAAATGTTACGTTTTTACCCGTTGGTTGGCCAATAATCAAACTTAACTTTATTTCACTTCATATACAACAAGCACTTCAACTATTTTATTTGAATGTCTATCGCTTTACTAGATCACTTCGCGTATCTCACTGTAACTTCCACTTGACTTTGTCGATATGCTCGCGGCTAGCGATTAAATATCGTAATCGAATGCCGTAGAAATTTTGCCGAAGTTCCGTCGAAATCGGTAGCATTATTCTCGCTGCTTCTAGAATGGCAGGGAACATTGTGCATTCGCGTTCTTTTAGCTACGTCACCTTTGGCTTATGTTTACCAGTGGCGACTGGCGTTATTTTCTTCCGATCATGATTTACAACACTATTGAATCTTGATGCAGGGAATATGATGAACTAAAGTGTCGAAAACCTTGCTGTAAACTAGGAGGACCAAACATGTGATTGTGTCTCCATCATACAACTTCAGTATATGATGTGTGAGGTGCATCACAAGGTTCTTCACTCTTTAAAAAACTATACAGTCAAGTCATGAAAGAAATTCACCCGATTCCAAGAGACGGGGGAAAAATTATAGAACGTTAACATATTTGAGCCAACCTGATTTGAAAATTTCTAATTTCCTTAAAAAAGTAAGGTGTAAATACATAAAATTGCATATAAAAAACAAAGATAGAGATTGGTGTCAGATAGATCAGGAGTGTATGAATTATCTTTCATATCATTTTGGTCCATGTCCGAGGTTTTACATAAGTCAAACTGGAAGACTTTTCAAAGCACGTATAAAAAACATAGATACAGTTTCCAGAATGGAAAAATAAATTCAACATACTCACCTCCTTATAGTTAAATTATGAATTCAAAACTCTTAATTTCCAGAAGAAAGGTTGGAAACTTGACCTTCTGGAAAGTGTTGAAATTACCAGGTAAAAAAAATCCCAATATCTAATGAACGATCAAATTTATCGCCCTAGAATTATTAATATGTAATTTTCATTAATAAACTGTAACCGTTTATTGTATTTGTTTTAAAATGTCCTTGAGTTTATTGTATTCGTTTGAAAATGTCCGTGTAGGACGAAACTGCAGTAACTTTGGTTACAAATACAGGTGGTATGAAAACATATGAAGTTTAATTCTCACTTTTAACAACATTTATTAATTTATTGACCTGCTTTTCACTAGTATGTATTTATATCAGTATTAAACTGCTTTACTTTCATTTTTAATGAAATTATTGTATCCGCTCTTTTCAGGTAGGTACTTGAAACTAGATTAGAATTAATTATCAGATCGGACCATAGATCCTATAGTAATGCTTTCAGAATATAATATGCTTCAATCTTAAACTACTTAATAAAATTCTGCTTCAGAAAGTTATTGTATAGCGAAACACGTGTTGCGATTTTCCAAACCTTCCACAGTAAAAATCGAAATAAGTTTTAGTGTATTATTGTTCATTTTATCTCATCGAAATTTCGGTTCTAAACTCTGTCCATTCACAAACAAAGTAATCCAAACAATGATAGATGCGTGATGAAAGCATGATCACCACGCACATTTGCATCTATTGGGTAAAATAAACAAGCCTCCTTACGCTGGCCAATCAGATCTAACTGCAATCGGCTGGCTGAATTCAGTCAGGTATATCGCTACAGGTTCGGAGTGGTGAGTTACGTTTTAACGCCTGTGTTGTGTACGTATACAGTATTTTAAATTGTAATTTCAGTCAAGTACTGATACGATTGAAAAAACTGGTAATCTGTGTCCCTACACTCCACCTAAAAAATGTTCCTGTACCAGCCGCGTATATTATAAAAAAATCGGTCGTTCCTTAGTGCGACTCTGTACAGTCAGCCTTGTCTGGGAGATCACGTGCACTATGCATGCTGTTTTGGAGCACTCTGTTGCTCAGATGGGCAGAGTTTAGTACAAGTTCATATAATTAAATAATATTCATTTTTCAATTATGCCAGTATTATATTTTTCCTATTTATCTTAGTGTATGAAGAGTCTCTGATTTAGCCCAAAACTTTTTCAGCGCCTCAATTCGACCCAGAAACGCATATAATGGAAGATCCTTGCGTTCCATCTCCTTGTGGTTCGAATTCTCAATGTAGAGATATAGCAGGAACAGCATCATGTTCGTGTTTACCTAACTATTTTGGACAACCTCCAAACTGTAGACCAGAATGTATTATCAATTCAGATTGCACAAGTAATTTGGCTTGCATCAAGCAAAAATGTATGGACCCTTGTCCTGGTTCTTGTGGTTTTGGAGCAAGTTGTAGTGTCATCAATCATATACCAATATGTTCCTGTCCAGATGGTTATACAGGGGATCCTTTCATTTCTTGCTCACCAAAACCGATAGAAACTGAACCAATCTTAAATGATCCTTGCAACCCTTCTCCATGTGGTTCAAATGCTCAGTGTGATAACGGTATTTGCACCTGCCTTCTGGAATATCTGGGTGATCCATATCAAGGATGTAGACCTGAATGTGTTTTAAATAACGACTGTCCCAGAGATAAAGCCTGCACTAAGAATAAATGTAAAGATCCATGTCCTGGAGTATGCGGCCAGAACGCTGAGTGTGCCGTAATAAATCATATTCCTGTTTGTTCATGTATCACTGGATTTACCGGAAATGCATTTGTCTTGTGTAATCCCGTGCCAGGTAAATCAAATTGAGTCATAATTAAGCGGTAGTTGTTATCTTTCTATAATTTTAGTTCAAACACCCAAGAATCCGTGTAGTCCCTCACCATGTGGACCCAACAGTCGATGTAAAGAAACGAATGGTCAAGCAGTATGTTCTTGCGTTCCTGGATTTATAAGTAGTCCTCCAACTTGTAGGCCAGAATGTGTTACAAGCGAAGAATGTTCTCTTAACCAAGCATGCGTGAACCAGAAATGTATCGATCCCTGTCCCGGAACTTGTGGTCTCAGTGCTTTATGTCAAGTGGTTAATCATAACCCTATTTGTAGTTGCCAACCAATGCACAGTGGAGATCCATTCGTCAGATGTAGTCCAATAAGTAAAAGATAATATAGAAAAATGTTAATTTATTATTTTGAAAAATATCATTATTTCAGGAGAACAAGACATAGTATCTACCGATCCTTGCCATCCGTCACCATGTGGTCCAAATGCTCAATGTAAAGAAATTAATGGGTCTCCATTATGTTCTTGCTTACCTGAGTATATTGGTTCACCACCAAACTGTAGACCAGAATGTGTCAGTAATAGTGAATGTGTTAATCATTTAGCTTGCATAAACCGTAAATGTAAAGATCCCTGCCCAGGTGCATGCGGACAGAATGCAGAATGTAGAGTTGTCAGTCATACTCCCAACTGTGTTTGTTCAGCTGGTTATACTGGCGATCCATTTTCACTTTGTCACATACAAGGTATGTTTGTCAGAAAGTTCGCAAGTCCATTCTGTTGCTCATTTGATATAATTTTTCAGTTGAAAACCCTCCTGCAGAAAGACCAACACCATGTCTGCCTTCACCTTGCGGTTTTAACGCAGAATGTAGAGAAAGAAATGGAGCTGGAGCTTGTAGTTGCCTTCCAAATTATATTGGGAATCCTTACGAAGGCTGTAGACCTGAGTGCACCGTAAATTCAGATTGTCATCCGAGTAAAGCATGTATAAATGATAAATGTGTTGATCCCTGTCCAGGAACTTGTGGCCAAAATTCGAACTGTCATGTTGTGAATCACTTGCCAACTTGTGTGTGTATTTCCGGATATACAGGAGATCCTTTCAGGCATTGTAATCTACTGCCTCCAGAAAGTAAGAAACAATCAGTCTGAAAATTTTGGTCGTGAATTCAATTCGTTTTTGTTTTTTAGTAGAAGAATCGCCAATACAAAATCCATGTCAACCTTCACCTTGTGGGCCCAACAGTCGATGTCAAGAAGTAAAGGGTCAATCTGTTTGTTCTTGTTTACCTGAATATGTAGGAAACCCACCAGATTGTAGACCAGAATGTACAGTGAGCTCAGAATGTGCACCTAATAAAGCCTGTGTGAATAAAAAATGTGGCGATCCGTGCCCCGGAACGTGTGGACTGAATGCAAATTGTCAAGTTATAAATCATAGCCCTATTTGTAGTTGTCAAATGGGATATACGGGAGATCCATTCTCTAGATGTTATAGTGTTCCTTCTCCGCCTCCACAAGAGAAACCGATTATCGACCCATGTTTGCCATCCCCTTGTGGACCAAATAGTCAATGTAGAGACATCGGCGGAATCCCATCCTGTTCTTGTTTACAAAACTTCATGGGTAGTCCACCCAACTGCAGACCAGAATGTACTATCAATTCTGAATGTCAAAGTAATCTGGCTTGTATTAATCAAAAATGTAAAGATCCTTGTATCGGTTCTTGTGGTACTGGTGCGAGTTGTAGAGTTATCAATCATATCCCAACTTGCCGTTGTATTGAAGGCTTTATAGGAGATCCTTTCACATATTGTCAACCGAAACCCCAAGAAGAACCTTCAGTTTCAGAACCTTGCAGTCTGTCTCCATGTGGTTCTAACGCACAGTGTGACGATGGAATATGTACTTGTCTACCTGAATATCACGGGGATCCTTACAGTGGGTGTAGACCAGAATGTATAATGAGTACTGATTGTACCCGTGATAAAGCCTGCATCAGAAAAAAATGTATCGATCCATGTCCAGGAACTTGCGGACAAAATGCAGAATGTTCCGTTACTAACCACATTCCATCATGCTCTTGTCTGCAGGGATATCAAGGTAACGCTTTTGTACTCTGCACTCCTGTGCCGGTGGAAGTTTCTAAAAATCCTTGCAATCCAACTCCATGTGGTCCCAATAGTCAGTGTAGAGAAATAAATGGAAATGCAGTTTGTTCATGTGTACTTGGATTTATTGGAAGCCCGCCAACTTGTCGTTCTGAATGTGTATCTAGTTCAGAATGTTCCCTTGACAGAGCTTGTGTCAATCAGAAATGTATTGATCCCTGTCCAGGAACATGTGGATTAAATACAAATTGTCAAGTGGTTAACCATAATCCTATATGTATTTGTTCACCGGGTCATAGTGGAGATCCATTTACAAGATGTCTGATTATAAGTAAGTCCCCATTTAGGTTTTGAGTGTATTTCGTTCATTTTAATTTTTCTAGAAGAAGAACCAACAGAAACATCAAATCCATGTCAACCTTCTCCATGTGGTCCTAATTCACAATGTAGAGATGTTGGAGAAGCACCTTCTTGTTCCTGCTTACCAGAGTTTATCGGAACTCCACCTAACTGTAGACCAGAGTGTGTTAGCAATACTGAATGTGATAACAACTTGGCATGTATAAATAAAAAATGTAAAGATCCATGTCCTGGAGTTTGTGGCCATAATGCTGAATGTAGAGTAGTGAGCCATACTCCGAATTGTGTGTGTTTGGGTGGTTTCGTTGGAAATCCTTTCATTCAGTGTCAACAACAAATTCAAATGACTGAACCTGAAAGACTTACACCGTGTGTACCTTCTCCGTGTGGAGTTAATGCAAATTGTAGAGAACAAAATGGTGCTGGATCCTGTACTTGTTTGCCAGATTATTTCGGAAATCCATATGAAGGCTGCAGACCTGAATGTACACTCAACTCTGACTGTACGTCAAATAAAGCATGTATTAGAAATAAATGTATGGATCCATGCCCTGGAACATGTGGTTTGAATGCAGAATGTCAAGTTATTAGTCATTTGCCTTCTTGCAATTGTATATCAGGTTATAGCGGCGATCCTTTCAAATACTGCACTCCAACACAAAGTAAGGAAATATATTCACTTTTGTTAAGACTGAAATGAATCTACTCCCATTTTAGATGTTGAAGAATTCACGAACCCTTGTCAAAACAATCCATGTGGTCCAAACAGCCAGTGTCGAGAAGTCAATGACCAAGCAGTATGTTCATGTTTGCCTGATTATGTTGGTAGTCCTCCAGGATGTAGACCAGAATGTGTTGTCAGCTCGGAATGCTCCCAAACTACAGCTTGTATTTCTAAAAAATGTACTGACCCCTGTCCAGGAACATGCGGCTTGAATGCTGAATGTCATGTAGTAAATCACAGCCCTATCTGTAGTTGTAAACATCAATACAGTGGTGATCCCTTCACACGATGTTTCATAATTCCTCGTAAGCTATAATTTATAACCTGAGTCAATGAATAGTAACGTTGAACATTTTCAGCTCCATCCGAAGAACCTAAAGAACAAGTTAAAAACCCTTGTGTACCATCACCTTGTGGTGCTAATAGCCAATGTTATGATATAGGAGGATATCCATCGTGTTCATGCCTAGCTAATTATATTGGTACTCCACCAAACTGTAGATCAGAATGTTCAATCAATGCCGAGTGTTCTAGTAACCTAGCTTGTATCAGACAGAAATGTGTAGACCCTTGTCCAGGTTCCTGCGGTGCTGGTGCACAATGTAATGTTATCAATCACACACCAATCTGTTTATGCCCTGAAGGTTATACAGGTGATCCGTTCACTTACTGTCAACTAAAACGTCAGGAGATAGAACCGACTGAAACAGATCCTTGTACTCCTTCACCCTGTGGGGCAAATGCTGTATGTGACAATGGTATATGTAGTTGCATATCGGAGTATCATGGAGATCCTTATAGAGGATGTCGTCCAGAATGTGTTCTGAATATTGACTGCTCGAAGAATCTTGCGTGTATCAAGAACAAATGCAAGAATCCCTGTCCGGGAACATGCGGTCAGAATGCGGAATGTTCAGTCTTCAATCATATTCCTACGTGTACATGTATTGAAAACTACCGAGGAAATGCTTTTGTTTTCTTGATAAATGTTACACTACAATAATAAATACAGTTAATTATAATGATTCAAGAGGTAGCCAATGATGTAACGGTTATCACAACCACGCGACTATAACACTAGGATTCGATTAATATGAATACGCGATCACAAGGTATCGTGTTCGCACTCGACCGAGAAAAGAAGACGTCCATCCACCCTGTGGATATATATAGATTCAACTTACGGAGCGATACAACCTTCAGTTGTAGTAGATTACACGATGGGAAAACTCTGTTGGATAATTTACAGCTTTGGTAGCATCACAAACTGTATCTACGCTCGATGGATAAAAAATAATAGTAGCCGAAAACTGTGTAGTCAGTAAAAGAAGGCTTATTCTGTGAGAGAAAGACAGGAAACCGGCTTCTTTCTCATCCCTACTCCGCGCTGTTTACTGAGTGAGGAGTGAGAAGTGACACCGGTAGACACCTGGTGGAAATAACTGATCTATGATCAGAGTTGAAAATTATTAAATTACTGAAATAGCTATTAAAAAATAGGGATTGTGATAGAAGGGTAAAAATTGAGGGTTTTTTAATGCCACATCGTACAAAAATAAATACAATTTTTTTTAATGTTTGTAGTGGAGCACCCTCATCACTTAGGGGTATGAAAAATATATTACAACCTATTCTCAGACCTACCGAATATACATATAAAATTTCATAAATATCGGCCAAGCCGTTTGCGAGGAGTATGTCAAAAAAACACTGTGACACGAGAATTTTATATACTATATTATACGTGTAAAATTTATAACGCAAATGGTTTCAGCTGAAGCTCCTAAGAATCCATGCAATCCTTCACCATGTGGTCCTAATAGTCAATGTAGAGAAATCAATGGACAGGCTGTCTGTTCTTGTGTAGCTGGATTTATTGGTAGCCCACCAACTTGTCGACCTGAGTGTGTGACCAGTGTCGAATGTCCTTTAAATGAAGCATGCCTCAATCAAAAATGTCAGGATCCATGTCTTGGAACGTGTGGTTTCAATGCGAGATGTCAAGTTGTTAATCATAATCCAATTTGTAGTTGTCCAAATAAGTTCAGTGGGGATCCATTTTCACAATGTTTGCCGATAAGTAAGTTAATGCAATTAATTGAAAAATAAATATTATACGTCTATACCGTTATAGGAGAAGAACCTGATGATTCAAGTGACCCATGTCAACCATCGCCCTGTGGTCCAAATTCCCAGTGTAGGGAGACTAACGGTTCACCTTCTTGTTCCTGTTTATCTGAATTCGTTGGATCTCCACCAAATTGTAAACCAGAGTGTGTCAGTAATACAGAATGTGACAATCATTTAGCTTGCATCAACAAAAAATGTCGAGATCCATGTCCAGGAATTTGTGGTCAGAATTCAGAGTGCCGCGTGGTGAGTCATACACCGAACTGTATCTGTATTAGTGGATATACTGGAGATCCATTTATAAAATGTGACATACCAGAAGTTATAGAACCTTCTGAAATTAAAAATCCGTGTTCTCCATCACCATGTGGCTCAAATGCAATATGTAGAGAACAAAATGGTGCAGGATCGTGTACGTGTATTTCTGAGTATTTGGGAAATCCTTACGAAGGTTGCAGGCCTGAATGTGTTCTGAATTCTGATTGTTCTTCTGATAAGGCATGCCTGAATAATAAATGCAAAGATCCGTGCCCGGGAACATGTGGTCAAAATGCAGATTGCCGAGTCATAAATCATCTTCCATCGTGTACTTGTATAGTAGGCTACACTGGAGATCCATTCAGTTTTTGTAATGTATTTCAAGAACGTAAGTTTTGTTGGGCATTTTTTATGATTCACTATTAATATATCTCTGTTTCAGCTGAAACACCTATTCAAACCAATCCCTGCCAACCAAATCCTTGTGGTCCAAATAGTCAGTGCAGGGAAATCAACAATCAAGCCGTCTGCTCTTGTTTATCAAATTATATCGGTAGTCCACCGGGATGTCGCCCAGAATGTACAGTTAGCTCAGATTGCTCCCTCAATAAAGCATGTATTAAACAAAAATGTTCTGACCCTTGTCCGGGATCATGTGGACATAATGCCATGTGCAATGTTATAAACCATAGTCCCATATGCAACTGTAAACCGAAACACACTGGCGATCCATTTACCAGATGTTATCTCATTCCATGTAAGCAAAACATAATAAGTTATTAAAAGTAAATATAATTTTATTATTATTTTAGCACCACCACCTGAACAAACTCCAATTGTTATCAGAAATCCTTGTGTACCTTCTCCATGTGGACCTCATTCAATATGTCAAGATTCAAATGGTGTACCTTCTTGTTCGTGTACCAGTAACTATATAGGCAGTCCACCAAATTGTAGACCTGAATGTACAATCAATTCGGAGTGTTCAAGTAATTTAGCATGTATTCGGGAGCGATGTAGGGATCCTTGCCCAGGATCGTGTGGAGTTGGAGCTTTATGCAACGTTATTAAACATATTCCAATATGTAGATGCCTTGAGGGATACACTGGAGATCCATTCAACAACTGCTTTCCCAAACCACTTCCTACTCAAGAAACAGAAAAAGACCTTTGCAATCCATCTCCTTGCGGCCCCAATGCTCAATGCAATGATGGTCTATGCTCTTGCATTAGTGAATATCAAGGAAATCCATATGAAGGTTGTAGACCCGAATGTGTGTTGAACACTGATTGTCAAAGAAATAAAGCTTGTATTAGAAATAAATGTATTGACCCTTGCACCGGCATCTGTGGACAAAATGCGGAATGTTCTGTAATCAACCATATACCTTCATGTTCCTGTATTCAAGGTTACGCTGGCAATGCTTTTATATCATGTTCTCCTCTATCAGGTACAAAACAAAATTCAATACTTTTTTTATTCAATGAAACAAAATGTCGGCAACCCTATCATTTTTTTTATAAAAACTGAGAATAACCACAAGCTCAACATATGTATTCATTTCAGAGGAAATGCCACCGAATTTATGCAGTCCATCCCCTTGTGGTCCAAATAGTCACTGTAAAGAAGTAAATAACCAGGCTATTTGTTCTTGCATATCAGGATATATTGGAAGTCCACCAACTTGTAGACCAGAATGTGTTACTTCTACGGAATGTTCTCTTGATCGAGCTTGTGTGAATCAGAAGTGTATAGATCCATGTCCTGGAACTTGTGGATTGAATTCTCGCTGTCAAGTCGTCAATCATAATCCAATATGTAGTTGTCCTGAGAAATATACTGGAGATCCGTTCACTAGATGCCAAATAATGATAGAAGAACCATTAGTTCAAGATAATCCTTGCCAACCGTCACCGTGCGGTGCACATTCAATGTGCAGGGAAGTAAATGGGTCTCCATCGTGCTCTTGTTTGGCAGATTTCATCGGATTACCTCCCAATTGTAAACCGGAATGTGTTAGTAACAGTGAATGTTCCGAGCACTTGGCATGCATTAATAATAAGTGCAAGGATCCATGCTCTGGTGTATGTGGTATACAGGCTGAATGTAGAGTTGTTTCTCATACTCCAAATTGTTTCTGTAATTCCGGATATTCTGGTGACCCATTCTATGAATGTGTTATAACTGCAATTTCCGTTTCCACACCATCTGCACAAACAAAGCCATGCTATCCTTCACCTTGTGGTGCAAATGCGTTATGCAGGGAACGAAATAATGCTGGATCATGTATTTGCCTACCAGATTACATTGGAAATCCGTATGAAGGATGTCGTCCTGAGTGTGTTCTCAATTCCGATTGTTCTCCAAATAGAGCATGTATTAACAATAAATGTAAAGATCCTTGTCCAGGTTCATGCAGTCAAAATTCTAACTGTCAGGTTATCAACCACTTGCCATCTTGTTCTTGTATTGCTGGATATACAGGAGACCCATTCATATACTGTAAATATATTGCAGTCAGAGAAGAACGTAAGCAGTCATATCTAGTTGTATCGTTTTCACACTAATCATTCAATTTTCAGCATCTGTTTCTTCCCAACCATGCAAACCATCTCCTTGTGGTCCAAACAGCCAGTGCCATGAGATCAATAACCTAGCGGTTTGTTCTTGCTTGCCAAATTATAAAGGTAGTCCACCAGGTTGCAGACCTGAATGTACAGTAAGCTCAGAATGTCAGCCCACAAAAGCCTGTTACAACCAAAAATGTGTTGATCCTTGCCCAGGGATATGTGGTATCAATACTCGATGTCAGGTGATCAACCATAGCCCAATTTGTAGTTGTTCTGAAGGAAATACTGGAGATCCTTTCACGAGGTGTTATGCATTGCCAGGTATTCATTAAATCATTGAATCAGTTTGTCCAAATAACAAGTTTGTCTTTCAGTATCCCCACCTCAGACTGATACACCCCAAATAATAAATCCATGTATACCTTCGCCCTGTGGACCGAATAGTCAATGCAGAGATGTCAATGGCAACCCATCTTGTTCTTGTTTACCACAATATCTAGGCAATCCACCAAACTGTAGATCTGAATGTACTATCAACTCTGAATGTTCAAGCAACTTGGCTTGTATAGATGAAAAATGCAGGGATCCATGTCCTGGATCTTGTGGTATTGCCGCAGTTTGTGAAGTAATTAATCACAATTCGATTTGTAAGTGCCCTCCAGGTTTTGGTGGCGATGCATTCATAATATGTAATCTTTTACCGCAACCACCAACTTGTAAGTAAATCGTATGTATTAAACGGAAAAAGACTTTTGAAGTGACATTTTTTTTAGCTATAGTTAGAGATATGTGCCATCCTAATCCTTGCGGTACGAATGCACAATGTGATAATGGAACCTGTACTTGTTATCCAGATTATCATGGAGACCCATATAGAGAGTGTAGACCAGAATGTGTGTCCAACTCTGATTGTTCTCGCGACATGGCTTGTATCCTTCAAAAATGTAAAAATCCATGTGAGGACATTTGCGGTCAGAACGCTGAATGTACTGTGTTCAATCATTTTCCTTCTTGTTCCTGTCTCCAAGGTTTTTCTGGAGATCCATTTATTTATTGTAAAAAAATCGAAAGTAAGTACCTATCGAATCTTTTCAGGAGAATCGACGTAACTGTTTTTTTTTATTATTTAGCACCACTTCCCAAAAATCCTTGCAATCCATCTCCATGTGGACCCAATAGCCAATGTAGAGAAATTAACGGACAGGGTGTCTGTTCTTGTTTACAAAGTTACATTGGTACTCCTCCAACATGTAGACCTGAATGTGTAAGTAGTTCCGACTGTCCCTTGAACAGAGCTTGTATCAATCGAAAATGTCTCGACCCTTGTCCTGGAACTTGCGGAATAAATGCGCTGTGTCAAGTTGTAAATCACAATCCTATTTGTACTTGTCCTATAAGATATACCGGCGATCCGTTCATAAGATGTCAGGTTATCATTGGTATGTTAAAATATAAATGTTCCCATTCGATATTTAATGAAAATATTTTTCTGTAAAACAGTTGAAGAAAAACCACTGCCCTCCGTCATCGAATCTCAAAATCCTTGTACATCATCACCTTGTGGTCTATACGCTCAATGTGAACCAACAGATATCGGTACAGCAAAATGTACCTGTTATATCAATTATATTGGCGCACCTCCTAATTGTAGACCTGAGTGTATATCAAATGACGATTGCTCTAAAAACTCAGCATGCATCAACCAGAAATGTAAAGATCCGTGTCCTGGTTCATGTGGATTGAATGCACAATGCCTCGTTGTGAATCACATTCCCAGCTGTATATGTTTAGATAGTTTTGTTGGTGATCCTTTCACTGTCTGTCATAAACCACGTAAGATATTTCACATATCACTCAACTAACCTTTATGTTTCACTGCTATCGCTAAAAAACTAAGCTTGTGCACCCTCATTTCTATTTAAAACTATATTAAAGCTATTTCGTTTTCCACAGTTCCACCTCCGGATATACCAACGAAAAAAGATCCGTGTTTCCCATCGCCATGTGGAGCAAATGCCAGGTGCCAAGTTGACAACAATTATGCCATTTGTCAATGCTTCCCGGAGTATCATGGCAATCCATATGATAATTGCAGGCCAGAATGCTTGACGAGTGCAGATTGTCCAATGAACAGAGCCTGTATACGAAACAAATGTTTGGACCCTTGTCCAGGAACTTGTGGCGTTAACGCCCTTTGTACCATAACTAATCATATACCAGTTTGTTCTTGTCCAGAAAAATATACCGGAGATGCTTTTAGACTGTGCATACCAGTTATTGGTAAGTACAGCTATTTTTATTTGAATGTGGTGTAACGGTAACTGTTGATCAGTCGAGGTTGGAACTTCTATTGCCTAAATGAAACAATAAATTTGAATTTTAAAATTTGATGAATAATGATAATAATTCAAATAGAAAACAACTGAACAAAAAATTCAGATTAATTAGTCAACAACGTGAAATTAAATAGAAAAAAATGTAAATGCATTCAGAATTGAAAATGCTATCTGTTAAGAAATAAATTATTGTGACCTGAAATGGAGGTCAGTTATCCGAGCGGCCGATGAATTTGATCAAGTTTTTGACACTTGACTTTCTTACCGAAAAACTTCAGCAGTACACCTACATAAAAGTCGCAGAAAATCATTTACTCTTGTAACTAGCTGGCTACGTAGCATTTAAATTTTACAAAATGATGTAGAAAATTAATTTTTGAAAGAAATTTTCAAAACAGAAACGTGAATTAGTTTATCAATTATTCTACAGTTTTTATTAAAGCATCTACAAATGTTCTATAGGTATTATCAATTCAGCAACTGATATTGGACAGTCCACTGATATAATTTTTTTATGAAAATTCACTAAGTAGATATTAAGTACATTAGCAGATATAGTTTCTTATGAATATCATTCGTAGACTCAAGAGACGACTTCCTTAACGTACAATACAGTGCGGACGTAAATATATCTCCTCCTTCTTTTAGCTATTGGACGGGGAAAGATGTCAAAGTCGGTCAACATTTTTACGAAAATTTAATATTTTTAGTACTTTTTGATAAAATTAAAAGCCAAAGTATAATATCAGTTGAAGCAGAGAGGGCTCCATCAATTTTTTTTTCAAATCGAAAGGAGGGTCTTATGACCCTTCACTCGAAAGGTATATAGTTAGTAAATAACTACTAATGACTTGAATATTACTGGAGTTTTTTCCCAATACCAAATCGTTATTTTCAACACCTCGACACATGTTTCGATCACCAAGTGATCATCTTCAAAGAGAAAGATTAAAACTAGAAACTAACGCGAAGCTTACCCTATTTATGATATATCGATATCCCATACAGGTAAACCATCCAGGTGTACCACCCATACAGGTATACCAACCTAAATTGATTTTAAAATTTTTCCTTATCTATTATTTTACAATAAGTATATGTTTAGCTGTTGTAGCTGTATATAAAACAATTTTCAGCTAGGTATATAAAAATTGATTTCAAAATATTGCCTATCTAAATTCATGTTTGCAATGTGTCCTTATGTAGTGATCAGTTAACCCAACAATATTATTTATGTATGCTCTTTGGTGTAGGTCCGTCATCGTTATTCATAATATTATTGTGTTTACTTATTTCTATACTCTCATAGGCATCTAGTTGCCTGTTGTTGTTAACTTGTCTAACTAATCTTAATGAACTGAAGTCTATGGAATGGGTTTGTTGCAAAATATGATGGGCGACTGCTGATTTTTCAGGTCTTCCATATTTTAAGTGTGCTATGTGTTCCTTATATCTTACTTTAATAGATATTTTTGTCTGTCGATAACATTTTGCATCGCAGTCCTTACATTCAATTTCGTAAATTCCAGACTTTTCCCAATTCTCGACTTTGTCTTTTGGACTTCCCAAAAGGCTCTGTAGTGTATGACTTGTTTTAAAAACCACCTTCATACCTAGTTTCTTGAGAATATTTCCAAAGTTCCTCGTATATTGGTGGTATGGAACTGAGATGTATTTTTCTTGGTTTTCGTTCTTTCTGAAAGTCGAGATTTCGTTCATTCTTAACCTAAACTTCTTCTTCCTTATTATGTCATCTACAATACCCCTCGAGAAAACGTTAGTGGCTGCAATTTCCTGTATTATACGTCTTTATTTTGTGAACCTATCATGTGTTAGAAGGAAAGTCAAAAGATGATACACTAAAAAATTCAACCAGCACGTTTGTGCTGTTCACAGTGATGTGAACTGTCAGGAATATACCTGTACGTGCTTGTTTCTTTTCTAAATATATCGTATTCTAATATTCTTCTAACAAACATATATTGAAAAATAATAGATAAGGAAAATTAGTAAAATTAATTTAGGTTAGTATACCTGTATGGATGGTACACCTGGATAGTTTACCTGTATGGGATATTTATATAGCATAAATAAGGTTAGCTTCGCGTTAGTTTCTAGTTTTAATCTAACTCTTTGAAGATGATCACTTGGTGATCGAAACACGTGTCAAGGTGTTAAAAATAACAATTTGGTGTTGGGAAAAAACTCCAGTAATATTCATTACTACACCAAAGGTTCCAAACAGTGCATCATAAGTACTATTGACTTCTTCAGTAGAATTTTATTCACAAAGTTTTCACAGCTAGGTATCTATTTTCTAATATCTGACAAATTACTCAACAACCACACACACATTTTTTTCAATGGACAAAACTTAAGCACTACAAGAAAATCCTTAAGTGCATGAGGAGCTATGGACCTTATTTTCCTTAATAATATATGCCACACTGTCTATAAGCTCATTTTGGATAGTTTTTGGGATGCCCGAAAAAACGCTACCGTTTAAAAAAGTGCCAAATTGTGAATCATATTTGCCCCATAACAATATAAAGTTCCTTGTAATTGGCGCGATTAATCGAATCTTCGGTTTCATCGTGTCCACGAAAAGCTAATTCTTGGGAACCCAAATGAATCGTAATATCGATAAGTCTTTTTAAATTAGACCGATTTTCCCTAACCTGATTATTAAAAGAAAATATGGCCTCTTTTTGAGCTGTATCTAAAGCTGTTGCTATATTTTGTTTGCTAAACAATTTTAATTTACAAGACGAAAATATATGCTCCTTAGATTTAAAATGTCTTTCTGTAGAATGAGGTAAATTTTTTAAATCGGAGTATCCTATTTTAGACCACGTTTGGTATTCGGTTTGTACGGAAAATAAAACACAGGGCCAACAAAAAAGTTTTTCTCGTTTAATGGAGCCGGGTAACCAATCGCATTTATCGTACCAACTAATATTATATCCTCGATTTTGTCGATAATTGTCGTTTTAATTGAAATCAAATTTGGTTAAGGCCTTCCCAGAGTTTTAATAATGTAAAATTTATTATCATAAGATGAAGACTTGAAATTATTTGTCAGCAACCAATCGACTATATCGTCAGATTTTTTAATTTCCTCCAACTTATCCATAATAAATGAAAAAAAACTTACCGAAAAGTGAAAATCTGAAAACACCTTGAAATTGAAAACAAAACACTTTAAAAATACATTAAAAATATTACCAAAAAGCACTGCTATAATATAATACAATACTGCCTGTTTTATACACAAATAACAAATATCATCAAGAAACACTAAAACGATTTACCGAAATATTTTTCAGTCCCGGTCCGTCACGGCATCCCGTCCGAATAATTAAATAAAAAACAAACGCAGTCATACATTAACGGAGACCAACTGGAGGCTAGCCTTCTCTAACGCTATAATTTCTGCAACTGAAATTACAAATCGGGACGTATGTCGCTGGTTGGATCAGTCTCGTGGAGCCTGTGTTTTTTTAAGCGATCGGAGGCTTGACTCCCTTGCAACGTATGGCATTTATTATTTTGGGTTGATGGTTTATTCGTTTTTCGTTCATGGGCGGTGCGTTTGAGTTTTGTTCATATAGGATACAGTGTGGTACGTACTACGTAGTGAGTGATAGTGTTTTTTCGGGCATATTATGTATTTATATTAAAAATTAATGGTAAAGTAATGATAACCAATCATTTTTAGAAAAAAATAATCATAATTATTTGTCAATATCTTTTAATTTATTGCGATCAATAGCCTCAAATTTTATGGGGAGGCTAAGCCTCCCTTGCCTCCTCTGACGAGCCGCCGCTGCTTTCTACACTTATTACGTAGTTTCAATTCTATTGTCATTGTTTTTTGTTTTACTTTAAGAATTCATTATATTATTTACATAATCCCCCAAAAACGTATATTTATAATAGAGGTAAATGAAAATGAAACAGAACAAAAAAGAAACAATTTAGATCAGTGGGGTAGGAAAAAGAAAAAAAAACGAACTATAATTGTTGAAACATTATTTCGTTTCGAGAAAACGAAGAATAAAGGCGGTATATTTTCATCACTGAATCAAACGAATTTTGACTATATTATGCCACGTTTACACTCAGCCACTCGCGCTACCCACTGTCCTGCTCTAAATACTTCTGTGGAAGCGTCGGTGCGAGTGTGTGTTTACATTATGCCTTTACTTCTCTGCTGACAGCAATGGCGGACATATGTTTGATGAGTATGTACAATTATTAAGTGTTTTGAAGAGAATCCAATTTGAAAAAATGCCGTTTCAACTTGTGATTTTTATTCATTGGACCCCATATCACCGCTCAATTGCATTAAGTTCCAAAAATTTCATTATTTTCTCATAACTCTACTCAGGTGGCGGCGGAGAAGTTGGCATTTTACAAAAATCACAACAGGTTACCAAATGTAAACAAACGCTGTTACATCAACAACTGAACTAGCAAGACGACTGAATATAAACACTCACTTCTATTCGCGCTGCCAGTCCTTTGACTTCCGTCATTAAAACCGACAATCAAGGGAGCACTGGGCAATGGCAACAGCATGAACAGTGGCAGCGCGAGGGACCCGTTGACATTCTCACGCTGATCACTTCTCACTTCCCTGTCCAATTGGGCTGAGTGTAAACGTGGTATTAAACTTGAATTTTATCAATCAACACATATTCATTAAGATGTGTTGATAGTCTTGTTAGTTATGAAATTAGAAATTATAATATAATAGTTTAATTAGGTTACAACTTCCAAAGATTTTAATGTTCATATAAATTTATTTTGAGTTTCAGAAAATATTATTTTGTAAATACATTGTTCTATTTTATAATGCTTTTGAAAGTTCTGAAACAGAATAGTCTGCCGCTTTCTGTACTGTGACTGAATACAATAATTTTGAATAAATCGGACGGAAATAAATAATGCTTAAATATTTTGAATATTATTGTGCAACGTCTTTGTTGTACAGGTGCTTTCTGCGCGGCATTAGCTGAGTTAGTTGTTTTTACGTCGGGTATCTGCCACACGTATCTACCTACAAAGTCGTAGGTATACATGAGAGGCAAGGGGTAAGGTGTTTTCACCTTATATAGACAAATAGTTCATTACCACCATCAGAAATTTGTTGTCGTTTACACTGCGACTCTCTCCAAGAGGCTTTCAAGGCATGTGCCATTTTTTCTTTGACTCATCTTTGTTGTGTATGTGAACGACTTGACGACTTGTTGAATGTATTCTGTTGTGGACAATTCTAGCTTTCAATATCAGTAAAACGAATATGATTTCTTTTGAATGCATACTGGATGATTTGTTCTTGCAGAATGCATTCATTGATAGTACAGATTGTACCAAGTTACTAGACTAGAAGTCTTCTTCGTTAACAGATGTTTAAAATTTGGTAGTTACATCCTATTAAACATTTAAAAAGCAAGGAATTGAAATTCTATAACAAAAACTTCATTTTACGCTGTAAAAGAGGCACACTTGAAATCTGGAATAGCTTTTTGAATCCATTGACTCATGAAACCAGTTCTTCAAAGACCCGCTCTCAACAACAAACTGACAGTTGTAGCTCTCCTAAAAATCTATCATATATCAAAGACACGAATCAAAACATGGAAAAAATTTCAAACATATATGATAATCAGATCATGTTTTACCTACTCTATGTTTCATCAACTTATATTTTATGGAGTGTCACTCTGAGGTTATTGTCGGGTCAAATACTTTTGATAGAAATATTAAATTTTCAAAAGGCAACAGTGAGAAGCATTTAAAACTTTATGTGGTACACAGGCTGGTACTTTACGACCATAAAAAATAATGATACTATATGATGTTATTATATACCAGAAATTATTAAACATTTGAAAACTCGTGAACGGATAAATGTGCAACGTGTTTAATGTCTTAACTAAAAATAACCTTGCCATTACATGTCCTTAAATTACTGTTTATCCATTTTTAAAAACGAACAAAACATTCATTGTAACCATTTGATATTGATGATTTTGCAACATTTATGAGCCAGAATAAGAGGCTATTTTTGTAATCATGTTTTACTCTTGATAAGTAACTTCATTGAAAGTTTTCACGATTTTCTTTTTCTGTATTAACTGTCCATAAATGCATATTTCCACAGGACTAGTAAATAAATAAATATTGTGATTTTCTTGAATTTTCAAAAATTTCTCAGATCTACTGTCTCTCAATGAAATATGCTGTCTAAATTAATTTAAAATCTTAGTGAGAATTCATTGTTTTTTTTTGTAGAAGAGCCACCAAAAGATCCATGCAATCCATCTCCATGCGGACTTAACACCATTTGTCGAAAATCAGGAATAAACGCAATTTGTGAATGCATTCCTGGCTTTTTCGGAACACCTACAGCAGGAGGTTGTAAACCTGAATGTACAATAAGCGCTGATTGTGACAGAAACAAAGCTTGCATAAATACGAAGTGTGTTGACCCTTGTCCGGGAGTTTGCGGGTTTGGAGCTGTTTGTAATGTAATAAACCACAGTCCCGTCTGTAGCTGTCCAACACCATTAGTTGGGGATCCTTTCACCTTATGTAGGGAACAACCCGAAGAAGATTCAAAAGATCCTTGCTATCCATCACCATGCTCTTTAAATGGTCAATGTAGAGTAGTAAATGGCATAGCAACTTGCACTTATCCCGAATGTATAATAAATCAAGATTGTCCCCGCGATAAAGCTTGCTATTCACAGAAATGTCGAGATCCTTGTAGAGACGCTTGTGGTTTGAACGCTCTTTGCCAGGTGGTTAATCATAAGGCAGTCTGCTCGTGTCCATATAATTATATTGGATCTCCCGAAGTTCAATGCAGTGCCTTAGCTGAAGAACAACCGAAAGTTGAGTGTACCCAAGACTCTGAGTGTACAAATGACAAAGCATGTATCAATAACGTCTGCAAAGACCCCTGTTCAGCGAGCGTCGGAATATGTGGTAGCAATGCAAATTGTCGTCCACAACTACATAGGGCTGTTTGTATTTGTAAAGAAGGTTTCACAGGAAATGCCCAACATGCATGTTTCGAAATTGGATGTAGATCGGATTCTGAATGTGGACCATCTCAAGCCTGTATCAATAGAAATTGTGTGGATCCTTGTTCCTTCACATTCTGCGGCTTAAATGCTTTATGCAGAGCTGATATTAATCATAAGGCTAGATGCTACTGTCCCGATACTTTTAGAGGCGACCCATTCGTGAGATGTGAGCGTCCAGAATGTTCTAAAGACGAAGAATGTTCATATAATCTAGCTTGTAAAAACGAAAGATGTTCTGATCCATGCGCCTGCGGATTTGGTGCAATATGCACAGTCACGAATCATATACCTCAATGCTCGTGTCCGCCTGGATATTCCGGAAATCCACTGACTTCGTGCAAAATTCTAGAAATAGTAAAAGAACCTGAGTGCAAAATGGACGCAGATTGCCCAAGTAGATTAGCCTGCTTCAACGGGAATTGTAAAAACCCATGTCTTGAAACGAAGCCGTGTGGAAAAAATACAGAATGTATCGTAGTAGATAGCTTACCACTAAGGACAATGTCTTGCATGTGTCTACCAGGATATATAGGAGATGCAGACATCGAATGTAAACCAGGTAAACAGTTAATTATTCAATCAACTAATTGTATTTTTCGAAAAAAATTATCATTTACAATTTTCATTAATGTTTTCACTTGCATTTTTCAGGGTTTTTCTACAACATTTCCCATAATAATTCCTTTCAACAGCAACACTTTCATAAACTATTTTCAATCAGCGAGAATTATACGAGTGTGATTTGTCACTTTGTATCATATTTTAAATAACCAAGTAGATAGTTGAACACACCAGACTAATAGTTTATCATTTCAGCACAAGAAAAAGAACCTGGTTGCAATGACAACAGAGAATGTTCCTCCAGTGATGTGTGTCTTAATAGAAAATGTATCAATCCATGTGCCATTGGAAATCCATGTGCTCCCACTGCTGAATGTAAGTCATCTGATCATAAAGCAGTTTGTAAATGTCAACCTGGATTGATAGGAGATCCTCTGCTGAATTGTTACCGACCGTCTGTAATTGAGCCTGAATGTAAATTTGATTCTGAATGTTCTAATGATAAATCGTGCATCAGTGAACGTTGTCAAGATCCATGCTCTTTGGCTAATCCATGCGGTTCACAAGCTGAATGTCGAACAAATTTCCATAGACCAACTTGTATATGTCCAGATGGTTGGTTAGGAAACCCACAAGTCATATGTTACAAACGTAAGTTGTATATAATTATATGAATTCTCCAACATTTTTCCCTTCTTCTCTTATTACAGCTGAATGTAAATCGGATCAAGATTGTCCATACGATAAAGCCTGCATCAACAAAAACTGCCTAAATCCTTGTAATATACAAACCTGTGGACGAGGAGCACAATGTATTGTTTTCAATCATATTGGGCAATGTCAGTGCCCTCTTGGAACACAAGGAGATCCTCTTATATCCTGTATAACTGGAATATGTCATTATAATGAAGATTGTGCTGATCATGAGGCTTGTGATCGTTTGAATCGAGTTTGTAGACCTGTCTGTGACGATGAAATTTGTGCTTCAACGGCAACTTGTATTGGACGAGGACATCAACCAAAATGTCAATGTTCTATTGGATCAACTGGTAATCCCTACATTGAATGTAACGTGCCAACTCCACCACTAAATGATATAGAATGTCGAATAGATTCAGACTGTGTTCCACAACTTGCTTGTATTAATAATCGTTGCTCGAATCCCTGCACAACGGAAAATGTTTGCTCACCCGACCAGGAATGTCGTGTATTAGACACTTCACCGCTTCGTACGATCATGTGCCAGTGTCCACCAGATACAGTTGTTGATATCTCGGGACGATGTGTTGCCATTATTCACATGGAATCACAATGTCGCTTAGATTCTGATTGCACTTACAGAGATAAATGTGTTAGCGGAACTTGTGTAGAGGCGTGCAAAATCGATAGATGTGGAGTAAACGCCTTGTGCAACTCTGTTGATCATCAAGCCATTTGTTCTTGTGCTCCAGAATATACAGGAAATGCCCGATATGAATGCACTAATATTCCAAATAGTCCATTTGTGGTGACGACGCCAGAATGTTATACGAACGATGACTGTACATATGATAAGATTTGTAAAAACGATCATTGTGTGAATCCTTGTTTAGAAGAGCAGCCGTGTGCTCGCAGTGCGTTCTGCTCTGTGAAAAATCACACAGCGATTTGCAAATGCCCAAATGATTATGAAGGAAACCCCCAAATTGATTGTATTGCACGTAAGTACTACTAGGCCATGACATTTTCATTAGCGTAACTCGGTTTTCCATTTATTTTAGCCATCGGACCAACTCTTGGATGTGCAGCGAATTCAGATTGTCCCCAAAGTGAATCATGTGTTAATCAAAAGTGTGTTAATCCTTGTAACTGTGGACCAAATGCCGAATGCAGAGTTATAAATCATTATCCAATATGTTATTGCCAGGTTGGTTATTCTGGAAATCCACAAACAGGTTGTATCAAGCTGAAATGTCAAGCAAACAATGATTGTAACGATGATCAGCAATGTTACAATGGACAGTGTGTCAATCCATGTATTCTAGGAGATCCTTGTGCAAGAAATGCTGAGTGCTTTGGAAATGAGCATAGAGCATCTTGCAAATGTCGAACTGGATATGACGGCAATCCATTCGATAAATGTGAACGTATAGAGTGTCGCGGCGATATTGACTGTCCATCCAACAAAGCATGTCTACAACAACGCTGTGTTGATCCTTGCTCAAGTGTGGCCAATCCACCATGTGCACAAAATGCCATTTGTTATGCACAAAATCACGCTGCTGGTTGCAGATGTCCACCACAGGCTCCTGAAGGTAATCCATTATCATTCTGTAGTGGTCCATCAAAAGGAGATATACCAGAATGTGAATTTGATACAGATTGTCCTAGTAAATTGGCTTGTATACGAAATCAATGTGTTAATCCATGTGAAAGTCTATCTCCATGTCATCCAAATTCACAATGCTCAGTATTGGATACAATACCAGTACGGACAATGATATGCACTTGTCCTGAAGGCTGGGTACCTTCTGAAAGTGGTGAGTGTCATGCAGTAGTCGTACCAATTCCTCCAGGTTGTACCACAGATGGCGACTGTTCAGATAGTGAAGCTTGCATCAATCGATTATGCCGAAATCCTTGTGAATGTGGTACCAATTCTCACTGCGAAATTCGAAATCATAGAGCCATTTGTTCTTGTAGAGAAGGTTTTGAAGGTAATCCAAATATTGCTTGTCACACAGTAGGATGCAGAGTAGACTCTGAGTGCGGATCAGGAAAAGCTTGTATCAACGGAAACTGTATTAATCCATGTTTAGTAAAAGATAACTGTGGAATAAATGCTGAATGCTTTGTGTACCAAAATCGGGCAGAATGTCAATGTTCCAGTGGTTATCGAGGAAATCCGTTGGATAGGTGCATGATTGTTGAGTGTCATGCAAATAGCGATTGTCCTACTGATCGGCAGTGCATAAATTCGCAGTGTATCAATCCATGTGTTTATGATAATTTATGCTCATCGCGCGCTGAGTGTAAAGTTTACAACCACCTGGCAGTGTGCAGATGTCCTCCTGGATTAATTGGCAACCCATACGTTGACTGTAAACTGGAACCTCAACCCGAATGCAGGGAAGATATTGAGTGTCCATCTCGATTAGCGTGTTTGAATAACAAGTGCCAAGATCCATGCATAATCTTAGAACCTTGCCACCGTCCATCTGAATGTCAAGTCATCGGTTCTGTTCCAGTTAGAACTATGATATGTATCTGTCCTCCAGGTTATATTAGTAGCGGCAGTGGTACCTGCAATGCCGTTACAGCTGTGACAATTGTAGGAGCATGTGTAAGTGATGGAGAATGTCCAACTGATAAGGCTTGTTTCAACGGAATATGTAAAAATCCATGCAACTGTGGGCCTAACGCTGAATGTCGTATAAAAAATCATAAGCCTGTATGCACTTGTAGGCAAGGTTTCAATGGAAATCCAGAATTGGAATGTACAAGAATAGGTTGTAGAAGTGATGATGAATGTTCTGGACAACACAGCTGTATTAACAGACAGTGCACACCAGTTTGTGCGGCAGATGGAACTTCATGTGGGGAACAAGCGAAGTGCTACGGTTTTAACCATCGAGCTATTTGTGAATGTCCCCCTGGTTTGCGAGGAAATCCAAGAACATCATGTGTTTTGGTCGGTTGTAGAACTGATTCTGATTGTCCTGGAAACAGAGCTTGTATCAACAATAAATGTGAATTACCATGTGCAACCTCCAATCCATGTGAAGGACTAGCGACATGTAAAGTATACAACCATGTAGTAGAATGTATTTGCCCACCAGGAACTCTGAGTGATGGAAAATTAGGATGCATCAAAGTTGAAGAAAAATGCAGAAAAGATTTGGATTGTCCAGCGCAGTTCGCGTGTATTGGAGGTGAATGCGTGAATTCCTGTAACGTCACAGAACCATGCGGTGTAAACGCAAAATGTACACTTCTTGAAACAATTCCGATAAAAACAATGATTTGTCAGTGTCTTCCAGGATTCCAAGGCAATGCGGCAGTTCAATGTGACAAGAGTGAGTAAATTTATATATGTCTCAACCTCCTATTATTTTTATATATTTTCAGTAGCCCTATGCAGAATCGACAAAGGATATATTAGGACCCCTGATGGTGAATGTATTTGTCCACCTAATGCAGCATTGGATGAAAACGATGAATGCCACCCTTGTCCTGTAGAAAAGGGACTGAAAATTGACGAAAGAGGTCGTTGCGTATGTGCTTTGGAAAGAGGTTTGATTATTGACGAACGCGGAAATTGTGTATGTCCAACTGAATTTGGATATCGTTTGGATATCAGAGGAAATTGCATACCAAAAACTGGCCCAGAATGTGATAGTGATAACGATTGCTTAGATCATCAATATTGTAACACCAATACTAAAACATGTGATAACGCATGTTCTACAAAGCGCTGTGGCGTGAATGCTTTATGTAATGCCACTAATCATCAAGCAATCTGTCAATGCATAACTGGTTATAGTGGAAATCCAGATATTCATTGCGGTAGGTTAATTTCATACCACTCTCAACCCTGATAATCTCAATTGAATTATTTTCAGATCATACAAGCCACTATAAAACCGATTTCCCCAGGCCAGAACTGACAGTTAGCTGTCTATCAGATGGAGTTCAAGTTGAAATCACATTAACCGAAATTGGATTCAACGGAATATTGTACGTCAAAGGTCACAGCAAAGATGAAAAATGTAGAAGGGTAGTTTCAATCGAGTCTGGTGACCGAATTGAGTATTTCAAAGTACAATTTGGAAACTGCGGGCTGATACATGTTAATGTAAGAAAGTCGTCTTTAATGATCACTTGTTTAATATTAAATGCTTCTTTTCGTTTCAGGGTGAAGCTAGTTTCGTGTTAGTGATTCAGAAACATCCAAAACTAGTTACTTACAAAGCACAAGCATATCATATCAAGTGCGTATACCAAACAGGAGAACAAAATGTTACCCTTGGTTTCAACGTATCGATGTTAACTACCGCCGGTACTATTGCCAATACAGGACCACCCCCAACTTGCCTAATGAAAATCGTTACACCAACCGGAAAGGAAATCAATTCTGCGGAAATTGGTGATAATCTGATGTTACAAGTAGACGTCCAGCCAGGGTCAATCTACGGAGGTTTTGCTAGAAGCTGCGTAGCCAAGACAATGGAAGACAGCGTAGAAAATGAGTATTTGGTTACAGATGAAAATGGTTGTGCAACCGACGCAACAATCTTTGGAGAGTGGGAATATAATTCAGATACTCAAAGTTTACTAGCCAGCTTCAATGCTTTCAAATTCCCAAGCAGTGATAATATCAGATTCCAATGTAATATAAGGGTGTGTTTTGGAAAATGTCAGCCGGTAAGTTAATTTATTGAAAAAATTGAATGTTATTATTGAAATATCAGTACGTAGTTTTTTTTGATAGTCTAGGTTTTCATAAGTTGAATTCAGAACCTCTGGCGTGAAATAAATTTATTAAAAACACGTTTCCCTCATCTGGAAAGATACATCATTTTTGTTCTGGCGAGGTAAAAGTGTTTTTCCAATAGTCTAGGCTTGTTGAAAATTGAAGAATAATGTGCTTCTTTGAATATTTTGATAAAATTTTAAATAGTAATATACCAACTAACTGAAATTCGTGATGAATTCATTGATAGGAATTGAAATAAAGATCATAGAATGTTGATCATTTTTAAGATAGTCAACAAAAAGTGTATTAAACATCCTGTTTTTCGCTGATCTATAATTATTGTTACTTCACTGAGTAATTTTTAGGTGAACTGTCGAGGATATAATGCATTTGGAAGGCGTAAGAGAGCGATTGAAGATAATGAAACAGATGTAGCAATAGGAGGAGATTTATTGACTGGGCAATTGAGGGAAGAAATCACAATTGAGTCTAATGCAATTCTAACTTTCGAGAGGCGAGAAGAGCGTTTACCAGATTCTCAAACAGGTTGATCATTATATATTTTGTATTTGCATATTACCAATCTCAACTTTTTTTCAGCTGCAAACGCTCAGAGAGTGGAAGACATATGTGTATCGATGATTGGTTTCATCATAGCAATAATAATCACTGCCCTTTTGGCTTTGGTGGCTGTTGCAGTAGCAGTTTCGTGTTGGCTTATGGCATATCGGCGCAGACCTAAAGCCTCTGGTCCACTGCCACATCCGCCGGAGTTTCCTAACCCTTTGTTTACGACTCCAGAACCAATGGCCGAGCCAAGCCCAGACTACCTCACTTAAAACACTGCGAATTTAGTTTATAAGTTCTCTAAACTTCCAAATGTATTCATTGATACCACAATAATGACATGATATACAGGCAGTATTTTAAACCGACTTGCTGGAAGCAAAAGAAATACTCGAATTTACGTAGATGTTCATTTTTGTATATTTGATTTCAGATGTTTTGTAACTCAGTTAATACTTCTTTCAATCCGTCCAGTGCTACTCACCTAATTTTATACTGCCAGAAGTAAGCAACTGATGTTACAGGCTCTGTAGTGAGTATGATATAGATGAAACTTTAAAAAATGTGTACCCCCATATAATTTCTACATTATCAGCCTGATATGGTGTGTATACATTTTTCTCAATCTTTTCCACTGGCTGTTTCTAATAAGTATCTTATAAAGACAAGGGAACTATTGAAAATGGTGGTGGCCTTCCTAATGTTTCAATCAAAACCTTTCCCAATAATTGATTCTGTAAGCCCCTTGATTCTGTTGCTAGCTGAAACTTGTTCGATCTATTGTAAATATGATAAATTTTTATTTCACAGCCTCTGGAAGATATATGAAATGATAGATAAGACTATAAATTTTATGAGCTTGTATAAAGTGTATGAAAGTTGATGAGTGTGTAGTCAATGCTCCAGAATATAATTTTGGTGACGACTGATTTTATTCAATTGAAGCAGTCATTAATTAGTCAATGTTTAATATTAGTAACATAAGTTCATATTTTTGTAGGCCTCGACGAGGTAAACTGTTCTCAACCAAAAACATTGTATATTTATTTGGTTGCAGTTACTGACATTGAACAATGTGATTTCGTTTTGCTATAATTCGTTTGTTTATCCGTCCTTTGTCTTTTGTAATAGTACATTCTAACGATGATTCCTCAAAATTGTCAAATGTGATAATCGCTTTTTTAATAAAGGATATTGTTTAATATATTTCGTGTTTTCATTCGCAGCCATATTTTAAGATCATTACTTTTTATACAGAAAATAATACAAGATGTCTCACGGATCTAGGTTTGCATATTTTGATCCAAAAATCGATGTCCATTCAGGTAAGACGGAACAACTAAGATTTCGGACACTTCTACGTTTTCTTACAGTTCAACTGTGAGAAAAACACTTTCTGAAACTTAATCGCTATTGAATAGAACTGGCGGATACTTGATGAAAATCCATATTGAAACTAATTAATACAATTTATTGTATGATTTTCACTATAAAGGGTTTTACAAAATCCGCGACACATATTTCGCTATACATGTGACGCTATACAAGCTTAAACTAAAAGTTACTTTTAAATTACAACCACGTGTTTTGTGGCTGTAATTTACACGTGTTTCACTATACAATAGCTTCCTCAAGTGTAAACTAAAAGTTACTTCTAAATTACAACCATTTTATACTCTAGAGTAAAAAATGGTTTTGTACCCAAGAGTATAAAATGGTTGTAATTTAGAAGTAATTTTTAGTTTATGCTTGAGAAAGCTATCGTATAGAGAAACACGTGTTTCGGTTTTTGTAAAACCCTTTATAGTGAAAATCATACAATAAACTGTATTAATTAATTTTAATCGCTATTTCCGTATCTACCTCTATTTCTTAGAGGATAAGGTTGAGACCAGAATGTTTTATCCAAACTTACCTAAGACCCATTTAGAACCTCGTGTATGGTGCTTCAGAGTCGCTCTTGTGGATGTATATTTAAGCCTTTCTGAAGGCCAACTCAGGCTCTAGGAGTCCTCTGTAGTTCGTACGATGTAGAGAAAACTGTTGGGTCTTTAGACTTCACAGCTCTGCTTAAGGTCACCAATTCTGAAATAGAAGTAACATTATGCAGAGCCAGCTGAGATTGTATGTATGGTACCAGGTTGCTTGGAATGGTTATTACTTGATTTTCCTCCGATGCCTCCTTTGCTACCAACTTATTGATGAGATTTTCCATCACAGATACATATGCAACTTGCATCCTCTTCAAAGAGATCATACATATCTATCGAAATGAAGCTTCCAATCATATTTTTCCAATTCAAGGCACTGTGCATCATTTGTTATGCGATCCTTCTCGAATCAGTTCATCCTATGATTTTGGTTAGAACAGCATTAGCAAGCAAATAACTCGAGTTTTCATCTTCAGACCTAAGATATAGCGCAATTCTTGGTGCGCAAACCCCCATTTGCCAGTGGATATTGCTTTTTGTGACTTTTTAATTTAATTTGAAACCGGTCGGTTTGGTAGGTATGTGCTAAAGTTTCCCGATGTTACAACATTCGGATCCCTAAGCGATGAGGCTTGTTTATGTACAACTCAGTTGGTTTCTGGAATTAGAGGATTCGAATTTTCCAATACACTCCCTTTGATCACAGATTCTTGATTCAGTATTTCCATATTATTGAAACTGGCAGTTCTCTTTTACACTAAAGTCATGCTTTCATTAATACTTCCAATTTCATCAATGAGTTGCGTACAATGGATTGATATCTGATGATCATGTTCATGTTAACGAGTTCAGATGATTGATCATCTGAACTCGTTAATGCTGTTTGTGCCATCAAATTTTTCTATATGAGTTGTTGGACAACATACACGCGGCTTCCTTGAATTTTCTCCTAAACCAGTGTTCCTCTTTGTGGATGGGTCCAAACATGCTCTGCTATTCCGGATTTGTTGGTTTCTCCTCGGTGTGTGTATGTTTCTTGTGCTCAGCAATGCGAACTTTCAATGGCCTCTTAGTTTCATGTATGATTCTCGGCACTCGCAGGGTATCCGGTACATGCAATTCTTGGAATCGCAGTCCGCGTTTGGTGGCCTGGTTTTTGTGAGGCTGCTACGGATAGTGTTCCCAGATCTGAAGCAGGTCCTGATGTTATACTTGGACCCAATCCTTCTTATCCTTTCCGATAACCCTCTGAAGTAGGGAAGTACAAGTACTGGTTGAAACAGCTTCTCTTCCTTGTGGAGATCTTGCTATCTTCTAGCTAAAGCTTGTTCTACCATCAGTCTGGAGTAACCATTCCGTTGAAGGTCATTTTTGATGATGTCTATTTCTTTTTCGAGACCTTCCTTTGTATAACAGAGCTCGAAAGCACGGTATAGTAGTCTTGATGATTCCTCTCTTAGTCGATTGATGGTGGTTGGATTTCTGGTTCATATACTGTCCTGTGTGAGTGGGTTTTCGATATACAGATGTTTCCCATTTAGTGTCGGTCCTCTTCACTAATACGTCTAAGAAAGGCAATTCGTTGTGGACTTTCTTCTCCATTGTATAAGTGATAGAAGGACTTACGTTGTTGATGTGCTTCAGTCTCTTCGATCTTCTGTTCGTAGAGATCAGTATCCATCACAACAGTAGCGTTTCCCTTATCTGCAGGTAAGATCTTGATGGTGTTGTCTCTACGTAACCCGTTCAGGGCTCTTCGTTCTTCATTGCTAACGTTAGGAGTTGGAACTGGTTCTCGATCTAGCTGTTCTCTGATTTTCCATCTGAATTATTCTGCCTCCATCTGATCCATAAGGGAACTGGTGGATTCTACTGCAATTATTGATTCCAAAGTGGGCACAGATGTTGGTGCAATGGCTAGTACCTACAGTACATAATTCTGTTGCTCTTGACACCGAATTCGGTTGGGTTATATTGGGAAAAGTTGATAACTCTCCCTCTCTCCACCTCTTTCGACTAATGTATTTTTAGCTTGTGCTGAAGGTTCCCTAGAACGTTTGGTAAAACAGTTTTGTGAACTTGAAAAGGTACCCACAGGAATAACTTCTTCCCCTGATAATATTTCAGCTGAAAAACATCTTGTTGAAACCGGAAGGTTTGAAGTCTTTCTTCCTTTCAAGATTCCAAATCTTCAATTTGAATATTCTTGAGATTTCGCGATAAAAATATTTTTTTCCCTCGGACGAAGGCTTTCAAAGGATTTTCAGCTATGTGAGCAATATAAGCAATATATATGGAGCTCATACCACAAAGTTAGTTAGATCATCCGTTTTATTATATTCCCCATCTCTGTGTTCTCAGGCCTGATAGTGAAACTATGAAAATATGTGTAGTATTCGATGCCTCCAGCAAATGTGCAAATGATATTCAGCTAAATCAAACTCTCTTTTCTGGATCTAAACTTCAAAAGAATATAGTGGAGATCCTACTCAGATTCCGCACCAATCCCATTGCTTTAACAGCAGATATTCATCGTATGTTCCTGCAAATCCGTGTTGCTAGAGAACATCAAGATTTTCAGAGGATTTTATGGAGATTTTCCAAAGGCTTGTCAGTTCAGGATTATCGTCCACTAACGGTTAGTTTCGAAGTAAGTTCTTCTCCTTTTCTTTCTCTAAGAGTTTTGAAACAATTATCTTTGGAATTTAAAAATCGATATCCTCTTGCTTCGAAAATGCTTGATTCAGACATATTTGTAGATGATATTGTATATACTTGCAAGTCTCTGTAAGAAGCGAATTCTCTAAAAGAGAACTCATTTCGCTTCTTGGAACTGCGCTTCTTTGAGCTGCGAAAAAGGGCGTGTAACCATCCAGATGTAATTTCTGATTTACCTTCTTCAAGTCTGCAATGTGATCTTTCGCCGGTAAACTTTGATCGAGAATCCAGTACTGTGAAGATATTGGGTTTGAAGTGGAACCCGCACCTCGATTTTTTCACTTTCAAGGTTATACCGTTTGATAGATCCTGTACAAAACGAACAGTTCTGTCGCAACTTGCACGAGTTTATGATCCATTAGGGTTTCTGACTCCACTCACTCTGATGACATTTATCATTCAAGATCTCTGGGCTCAAGGAATTGATTGGGATTTCGCACCACCTTCTTCAATTGTAGATATGTGGAAAATGGTAAACATGGAGATGCAATTTCTCTCCCGCCTAGAGATTCCCCTTATAATTGTCTTAGAGAATCATATGTTATACCTGAAATACACGGATTCTGTGACGCTTCTGACCTTGGCTATACTAGTGTTGCTTACCTCAGAGTCGTAGATAATAATGACAAAATATTTGTTTATCTCATTTGCGCAAAATCTAAGGTAGTCCCTCTCAATAAAATATCAGTCCCCAGACTGAAGCTCTGTGGTGCTCATTTACTTTCTAATCTCAAATTTATACTCGAATCATTTTCCGGTAAAATTACCGGTAAAATTAGTCCTTGCATGAACTGATTCACCTGTTGCTCTTTCTTGGATAAAGTCACCACCTCATAAATGGACGACTTTCGTATGTAATGGTCACTCAAATTCAGGAAAATATTCTTCCCGCTTAATTTCTAGTGATTGGTCACTAGAAATTAATGAATTTTTAAAATAGAACTCGAAAGACTGTTTATAAGCTGTTCTCCATAAATTCAATTCTTTGACGAAAATTCAACGCATAGTTGCTTACATACTCAGATTTTTGGGCAAATCAAAGCATTGCGAAAATCCTCCCGGTAAGACCTTTACTTCATCCGAAATGGACTCTGCTTTGAACCTCTTAATCAAACAAACCCAACTTCCAGCATTTTCTAAAGAGATTGATCTCATGAAAAGCAATAAACGTTTACCCAAATCATTCAAAAAGCTCACTCTATTTTTCGACTCCCTACTAGGTATTAACAGGGTGGGCGAGTGCCTTGTGAATTCGACGCTTTCCTACGAATGAAAACGTCCTGCTCTGCTTTCCATTGATCATCGTTTCACCCAACTTGTTGTTGAATACACGCATTCTCGTTTTTTACATCCTGGGTTGCGATCACTACAGAATTTGCTTCTTCAATCTGATTAAAATCTGTTTTCCGTTAATCAGCTGTCGCCCCCATACGAACGACAACTCCAATGCTATTGGATATTTTCTACGAAGAGAACTATTTAAAAAAAGTAATATCGAAATGTATGAAATGTTTTCGCGTGAATCCAATTTCACAACACCCCTTAATGGGTAATCTA